TTAGTAATATTACTAATAGCTCGTTCGTAATATATAATATAGTTTATTCGTAATATTTTAAATCCTAATTAAACGTATAATTTATTCTTGGCTTTAATATTATATATGACAGTAAGTTTGGCATTTCAGCAAAATGTATTGCAGAATGACCAGGGCCTTTGAAATACTACTAATAGCACTTAACATTTATTCAATCTTATACGCATTTCTATTGAATGGTTACATTGAGTAGACATAAAAATAAAACAATATTTTAATGACATCCATCTATACAAGAGTAGGAAATAATAATAAATAACAAACCAGTTCTTTAACCCTAGTCTAATATTAATATATCAAAGACGGTATAACTGATATTTTCATAATATTTCCTCTAAGAAATTATGCTGCTTTGATTTGGCTAGGGGCCAGTTTTTTCACGCGGTATTGATGTTAATTCGCACTTAGAACGGTTTATATCTAACGTCTAAATGACAATTATTATACAACTAGCTGACCCACGCAATGTGACACAGACGTCACATTTTCCCAATTATTACAACATTTTATTCCAGCTCCGCTTCTGTTAATCGTAGCGTGATATAGCATGTAACCTTCATCAATAAATAGGCTATATCTAAAACAAAAATAAAAACGCTAATAGGAACAAAGCTCTAATGTTCGCAATGCATTCTTCTATGTACTTACATGCTTCTCATATTATACAATATATAAGGAAAAGAAAACATAAAACAGTTACCTATTTATAAGAAAACTAAAATAAATACAAATTGTACGTGTAGGTACATATATTTTGTATATAAAAAAATCCGCAGTTAGATAATATAGATTAATGCCTATTTGTATTTAATATACAAATTATATGTATATGACCAAAAAATATGATGTGATACCTATTTTATTGTATTTACATAAGTGTATGTATTAAAATTTTATTTACATTTGTTTTATTTTATTGACTTATTTCCGCTCATGATTTATCATGGAAAACAAAAAACAAATGAAACAAAAATTATACTTTACTTTTTGTAAATATTCTCCGTATTTACAAAGAGTAAAGTAATGTTTTTGTAAATACTCTCTTATCAAAGGTTTTCTGGAAGAGATTGTATTAGTGAGTGATTTAGATCGAATTTTGTACTTAGATTTATTTTCTTTTGTTAATTTTTTTCAATGTTGATGCAATGCAAAATAAAATTTAGAACTATTACAATACATGATTATAAATACTCGTATAGAGCAACTTTATAAAATATATTATGTGTTTATTGTATTACAAACAAGCCCATTAGACTAATAATATTAATAATACACGATAACTATAAATTACTTTAGTAGCGTCGACAAATGCGTGTAAAGGAAGTATGAAAAATTATACCATAAAATTGCGTGCTTGGTATTTCTTCCGCTAAATAAACTTACTAGCTTTCGTTTCTATTCTATTAAATATAATGAAACCATTATAAAACATTTAACAATAATATTATATGTTTGTTATTGTAGTATTTACGAAAAATATCCTACCTTCCTTCCTTATCATATAATTGAGGTAATTATAATGGAAAATTATTACGAGAAATATATTAAATTTGTGGTTACTATATTTTATAACATATATTACATTACAATGAATACCAAAAGGAAAAATACAATACTCGCTAGCATTTTTCTGAAAAATAAATAAAATAATAATAAAGTTTATTTTTGTAAAAAGAACCAGTTTCCTCGTGCCATTATTAGTATAGAGTAAAATGTGAGGAAAATACAAGGAAATATATATTGCAATCTACTGCAAAGGAATAATCACATCACAAAAAAAATATTGCGCACAGAAGACCAATTTTTACAATAGAATTGTGAATGAATTGATAACAATAAACTTAAAAGTAGTTTTAATTTACTACGACTATCAGCAAATACTTGTACAAAAAACTATTAGAAATGACCGTCTATCGTTATGACCATTTCTTTAACTCTCATCTCTCTCAAAATATACATACATATATAAAATGGCAACACTTATAACTGACACATCGATGGGCAGAGGCTATTGAGAGTAAGGGGGAGTTTGCGCGTTTACCGCTAAAAAGAATCCATTTATCGTATCTCCTCAGTTTCAAGACACTCTCCTTGATGTGAAGCCAAATCTCGAGGTCCTTGGCGTTGATATATCCAGTGACGTTCAGTTTTGCGGTCATTTGGAGGACAAGGCTAAAATAGCCTCAAAGAAGCTTGGTGTGCTCAGTAGAGTGAGACGGTATTTCACGGCGGCCCATCGCTTGCAATTATACAAGGCGCAGATCCGGCCGCATATGGAATACTGTTCTCATCTCTGGGCCGGAGCACCACAATACCAGCTACTTCCATTTGACCGCATTCAGAACCGAGCAGCCAGAATCATTGGTAATCAACGTCTATGCGACAGACTCGACCCATTGGCTTTGCGGCGAGATATTGCATCTCTGTGCATTTTCTACCGCATATATTACGGGGAGTGTTCTGAGGAATTGTTCGGATTAATACCAGCTGCTGAGTTTCAACATCGTACCACCCGCCAGAAACTGAAATACCATCCTGATCATCTGGATGAATGGCGGTCTTCCACAGTACGGTTTTCTAGAAACTTTTTGCCTCGCACAACCACATTGTGGAATCACCTTCCAGCAATGGTATTTCCGAACCGATACGATATTGAAACCTTCAAGAAAAGAGCTTATTCTTTTTTAAAAGGCCGACAACGTACTTGCAATTCCCCTGGTGTTGCGGGTGCTCATGGGCGGCGGTAATCACTTACCATCAGGTGAGCCGCATGCTCGTTTGTCCCCTGTGTTATAAAAAAAAAAACTAACGCATTTATAGAAAAATGGCTTGTACTGTACGTTGTGTTCCCTCTTGAATGTTTATTGCTCTAAAAATAAAAACAGTAAAAATAGAAAAAGTTATTCTTCTGTAAATTCTAGCTGTATATTCCACATAAATTCCATTCGCGAGAAAACGCGTTGTCGCAGACAAATCCGCTGGCATAGCTATATACATAGATGGTTCATAAAATAATTACCTACTTTCTCAATTTCAAATTAATGACGTCCATAATTTACCCGACTGCTGAAGAGTAGAAGGTAATGTGTTTTTAATTGCAGTTTCATGTAATTATATGCAACTTGAAAATCGCATGCTTCGACCTCAGCACGAACGTGTGTCACTGTGGCAAGACGGCGAATATTATAAGTTCTGTTCTATCGTTCTAGGTCATCACTTCATAATTCATTAAGTAACTTTTTAAGGTGATTATGAAGGAACGGCACTATTACTTCCTACAAACTTGCCTAGGTCATTACGGATTATGTTGTTTAATACTACACACATACCTACTATGTCGGTTTAAACATGTAGGCCGGTATGTCGAATTAAGTTGTACCTTAATAATATATAATTCGATTGAGAGAGAAAAAATAATAGATATGTAACAAAGCATGTTTCAAATAATATGGCAGAGCTGTAATTAATATTACAGATGTGCACATGCCTGCGCTAACTATTCTACATAAGAGCAGAACACTAGTAGAGCATGGCAAATTCAGTACCGATGACTAAATGAATGATGATTTCCAGATAATTGGTTTCTATGATCAACCTGACATAGTACATTGCTAGCAAAAAGGCCACTGATCCCCTAAAAATTCCCACCCTCCCTACTCCTTGGCTACATTAGGCTGTATTAGCTAACTGCACTTTATAAGGCTTTGCATGTAACTGTTAAGTATACCGCGTAATGCAATTATAATGTAGGAGTATATTATTGCTTCGAAGATTAGGGACATGGCATATGTAAGAGGTCATTAATAATAAACATATTCACTATATTTTCTAGATTAATACCGATTTAGTATAACTATGTAATATTATGTTATCTGTGGTATAACCATCATTATAATAAAAATATGTCAATGTTAACATTAAAGGCTATACGTTTTTTATATATACATTAATAATTTAAGTAAAAGTATGATTTAGTAAAGATGTTATGACATTTTAAATCATATAATATTGCATATGAATATTAATATAATATAATATGCATATTAATATAATAAATTTTCAATAATTATACATTATTATAGTCAAGCGACTATAATAGTTGCTTGATTATGTCGTTATAGAACAAAATTCTATAATATGTACAATTATAAAAATAATAGTAACATCAATTCTAAATATAAAATTGGTTTCATAACCATTCGATTGAAATTAGAGTTAACATTAGTTAAATTGTTGTAATATTTTAAAATAATGCTACTTGATTAATTTTAAAATTATTTTATAGTTTTCTTGAATATGATAATATAATTATTTGTTGAAAAAAAAATATATATTGTACGTTTATCTTCTGAATAGATTATCTAGATAAACAGTAATAACAATATTTTCTTAAATCAACAAAATATGGGCGTGTAGAACAATTACAGTAGATTGAAAGCTATTAACAGAATTAGTAAGACCTTATGTAATCGAAAATAACGTGCCAAAGTGGCCGTAAAGCAAATACCGATATCCTAATACTTAGTTATAGGTAAGAGTAGTTGGCGAAATCATGTTTATGGTTACATTTAATAAATTAGCGTTAAAGTTCAAAGCTACAAAATAGATTATAAAAGTTACAAAATATTTAAATAACTTTATATTTCAATATGTATATCCTTTATTATATTATTTATATCTCATTTTTTCATTCGGTTTTTTTTTATTGTGGTACATTCACCCTCAAGTACATAGCTAAAAATCAGTGTCTTGCTCCTTAATCGATTCTCCACACTGAGCTATGAGCCAATTTGTATTGCTAACATTTGTAATTTGTAGTATATACCTTTTATAATTAAATCTATAGGTGTGTAATAATATACAAATAAGGATTCTTATCTTCTTATCTAATATATCATTCTTATAATCTATGTAAATCATTTACAAATAAAGGTGACTAATTGATGATAACTTTTTTCCAGCCAGATCCTGTACATGGACCAACATTCATATCAGATTCCCACAAACTACAATAGAAACATTCCACCCGGTAAGTTTATATTTATTTTTATATAATTGGTATGACAAACAAGCTAACGGGACTCCTGATGGTAAGTGGTAACCGTCTCCTATATACTTGAACGGCTCTATTGACATCACCTTATCATGTGATTCATGTGACAGCCGTGATACCACTAATGAGTTCCCATTCTGGAGGACTGAGTAGACATGCCTTTTTCATTGCCTAATCTGCAACCTACTGACTTTATGATAACATTTTCAATTGAAATGACTATCAAATAATAGTATGAATGTACCTATATATTGTACCTACCTATAATTATTACTTAATTGGTGTATCGACCACCAATGAACATAATTATTATTATTTCATTTATTTCGGATATGTATCCATATTATGTTAGTAAACAACTTATAAACTATGTTAGTAAATTACAATTTTATACATTTAATTCATATATTTCTATTTATGTCTATGTCCACGTCCAGAAGCCCTGGGTCCGCAGCAATGCAGCGATATCCAGTGCCTCTGAAGTGGACAATCCGACATATTGGATATGGTGTTTAGGAGGCTGTTTGCGCTCCCCCGAATTCTACACATCAGTGATGCAGTTCTATTTCGCATTATGGCTTCAAAACCATCTATCCGCGCTTCTGCAAACATCTCTGATGCGCTACAGAATCGAGGGAGCCCAAACAATATCCTAAACCCATTATTATATTGCACGTGAAGAGCGTTGTATGCCCTCTGCGTGTACCTAAACCACAGGCTGCACGTGTAAAACGACTGACAATACGCTTTAAACAACGTGGTCTTCACGTCGTTATTACACCGTGCAAACCTACGGGCCAGCATATTACATCGGACCGACAACGCTCTTCGCTCCCTCTCTATATCAGAATCATCACTTAAGTCTTTCGATACAATGTGACCGAGGTATTTAAATCGCGACACCCGATTTAATGGTGTACCATAAATACACAGCGCTGGCATATATCTTAGTTTGGTGTTATTACTATGAAACATCATGACTTCACTCTTTTTCACATTGTATCGGAGCCCGTGAGACTCTACGTATTCCTCGCACATAATTAGTTACTTATCCTTAATAATATTAATAACTGAACTATATCCTTCTTGCAGTTAAAAGCGTAATAATACAGGTAGGTTATTTATTAACCTAGTTGTACATACCAATTACGAATTACCTACTGCACAACAAAGTAACGTAAGTTTTTAGTAAATGAAACAATACAAAGCTCATAATTTACAGACGTTTAGTGTACCTAACACATAGTTGCATTAGGTTTTGCGTTTTGAAAGTGAACCCAAAAGAACTTCGGGTCAGTCTCCATCAGGTGAAAATATTGGCGTACCACAAACACGCTTTACAAATAACTTAGGTTTCCTGTTTTCTCTCTCCTATTCTTATAAGATGTTATTAAGTCGGATCAATACAAATAATGATATTGTAAAAGGCCAATGTCTTAAAAATACGAATATGGCGCCCTTAATAGAGTAACAGAAGCATAGAATTTTAGAATTCTTGTATCTGAATATTTGTACACGAATTAAACAAATACTACTGCATGGAATAGAAGTAGTTTCCACGGATGTATTGTAAAGGTCTAACGTAAAATATAGGCCCCATTTAACCACACGAAAATATATTATTCCATGAGAAGAAAGGACGGGCGGCGCTAGTAGTAGTATTAGTAGTTTAATAATGCCTTCATAGATGGGAATCATATTTATAAATTGAAATAAAGACTGTAATGCATATATTTAAAAGGTATATTCGGCAGGTTTCTATGAAAATATAATATTAAAGTTCTGACGCGGACGGTCCACTCGCTGGCATATTGCAGGCTATCCACTTAACACCGGATGTTAGTCAGCGAAACCTTACAACCGTTCAGCCAATCATTAGTCAAACTTTCTGCCGTCTAATTGCCTCTCCACTTTCTAAATGTGAGTCTATTTTTATAGTATTTTAAAAATAAACACGCCTAATCAATTTTTTGTGTATTTGGTAATAGTTTTAACGTTATAAAATTAGATTGCAAATTACATCGGCAGTAACACACCTGATATTTTTGACGTTTTGATGATCCCGCTCTTAAATCAGATTTTTTATTTACTTTTGATAAGAAAAATACCTTATAGTACTAGTGCAAAATTCAAGAGCTAAGTTTAGAATTTAAATCTTCAACAAATTATAACAATTCTTGTCGTGGAAATTAACTTTATTTGGAACTACGTCTTATGGTGTACGATTAAAAAAAATAGGCTAATACGATAAAATAAATAGATAGAAGAAATACGATTTAAAAATATAAGTCTACGATTTAAAAAAACCATACACTTCACCAATATCCTTGACTAAGTTTCTTACATTAGTCATTTCATTAATGTATTGTACCTTTGCGGACTGCAAATTAAAAGGAGAGAGCTATCATTTTATTCTTCATGTATAAAAGTCTTATCTTTCTCTTGTGGTTCCTCGTTATTTTTTAATCCCTTTAATATTTTCTAAATCATAACTTTTCATGCGAAATCAATAAAAACATGATGTCAGATGTTTCCTTAATGATTCTCTTCTCTTCTTAATCGTTCCCTCACTGCTGAGGATCGTGACTCTATACTATCTTGTTGACTAGCCGTCGCCATCTGCTGCGCTCAGATGCCTGATGTATTCCGGTGCTGACAGTAATGTTCAGTTGACGTGATATTTGATCTGACCATCGGATGGGACTTCGGCCTCGACGTCTTTTACCTTCTATCTTCCCTGTTACCATCAGTCTCTCCATATTGTCTACATCCCTCCGCGCGATGTGTCCGAAGTATCGCACAATGCGCTGCAGACAAGTAGAAAACAGCCGCTGTGAATCTTCCAATTTGAGCTCTATTAGTACAGAGACGTTTGTACGGTGGGCTGTCCACGGTATCCTCAATAATACAGAAACTCCGAGAAATTCTAATATTTGTAATACGTCTATGCAAAGCCTAGGGTTGCTAGTTGACCAATAAAATAAGGTACAAAGCTATCTCTCGCAATCAACCTTTAGGAAGTGCAAACATACACGATTACGGCTTAATAATAAATGTGTATAGTATTTACAAAAATAAAACAATAGTAATATAATTTACCTACTGAAGGTATACAGTATTAAATAGTGTAGATGTATATAAACAAAATATAAAAAAGGTAAATCCGATAGAATGTCGTTATTCTACAGGTACATCAGTGTACCTACTATACATGTTATTTAAATAAATAATAACTCATATAACTACTTCATACAGAGATAAAAATCATAATCACAGATAACACAGCGAAGTAGCAATAGTAAGCTATAGGTACTAGTTCATATTTTTTTATTCTAACTATGACCAATGGCTCTGGAGACAAAACAAATGATTGATAATATCATTGTGTAGACAAAAAATATCCAATTATGACGATTTACTTATGTTTTTTTTTACAAAATAAATATTTTTTAATGTGGGTACATACATATATAAAATTAAACCCCCTCTCTATCTATGTATAAAAATTAATAGAGTAGTTTAAAAGATCTAAGCAAAAAGTCTGCGGAAACTATTTCATTTTATATTATGTAAAGGAGATTTATATTACTGGGTACTTTATTTTGTGTTTCGGTTTTTTGCAATTTTACTTCACCAATAAAAGTAAAAAATATTTTTACGAGTATGTAACATGTACTAATTCTTTTGGCGGGCCGTTATTTATTTGAAATTTTAATCATATGATAAAATCATTTGATAACACTGGCAACCCTATGTAATAATTTGTACACAGTTTACAAAAAATATATCTCACTCCATTGAAGACACTGCTGTATTGGACCAATTTTTTAGATGATTTCTAAGTTAACTTAACCGGTTAATTAATTTTTAAAGTATTTATCATAATCTAAATAATGTAAATACTTATGTTTATCACATAAACACTTTATGAAAGAAAGAATGTAAAATATTTAGTCAGTGCTTACAATAGAAACAAAAACAAACAAAATGTTTTTTAATTAAAATAAAATGACAGATAAATAAAGAGCACAAAAAAAAGGTATAAAAATTGAAAACTTACAACAAATATAAGTATAAAATAGAAACCTATTATATATTATACTAAGTTTGTTACGTAAGTATATATGTATAAATGTCTCATTTTAATTTCATTTAAATATTTCGTATATCGTACCATATCCTAAAAGTATATAAATGTGTTTAAACGTCAGTAATTATGATTAGATTTAATAATTTATGGTGTCATAAATATCTTTATTATATGCAGACACATTATTGTTAACGAAATTCAGCACAGAACCAAAAGCGGGGATCTATATAATGTCGAGATATCACGAAACGCTTACTAGTGTTGAACACCTTACCCATTTTCTGTAAATATAGATTGTCTAGACCTAAAAACAAAATAGAATCGATATCGCAAGCAATGTAACTTGAGAAGGTAAAACTGTAACAAAAATTGCAAGAAGTAAGTAAAATTTTTGAAACTGAATCATTGTTTGTGTGAATATCAAGGAAACTAAATTCGGCATATTAGACTGCTGATGATAAATTATATTAATTATTTGTTTTTGATCAGCACAATTTCGTCATCATCAGTTTTTATTGATGCTCCGCTTCTTTATCTAGCATGATATTATATACTCCATACTTTAATATTTTCCTGGATTTCTTAATTTGCTAAAACAATTTTTAGTTGATACTTATAAAGTATTCACATTTTTTTATACGTTAAAAGTTTTTTTAGCAACATAAATTTAAATTGGTATGTATATAAAATTTCCATGATACAAAATTTATCTTAGCTTCTTGACTCGGTAATGACATTAAAATGACCATAATATTACTACTGGCATTAATGGTACAGTTATTAATTTATTTTATATATACCTGCAGATTAGACTAACCTAAATTAATCATTTAGGTACATGTGTTTATTTACAAAGCCAATAAGGAAGGTATAAGCTCTCCTCTTTATTGTTTATTAAAAAGGAACGAGTATTTGTTAAACATTATGTTTTGTTTTATTTCATTAACATTACTGAAACTTCTAAATATAGCATAGCAGACCAACAAAGGCCGGCTTCAAGTAGATCCACTGAGTAGTGGGTCCCGGCGATATCTCCACCGTTCGTTGCCATAAAGTCACTGATTACTATTATTTTGTTACAGCTTATCATAATTCCAGCAATGTAACTGTATGGTTGTAATTTCCTATTGTTTTTGTTTCAGGCAAAAACACCACAGTTTATATCGGCGTCAACATAAACCGCGTCTCTGGTGTTGACGAGAATAAAGAAGTACGTATTATAATTATTACTATCTTGTCTATGTGTACACCTTGCCTATTTTACCCACTAAGTAAATTTCTTAAATAACAAATTACTACTTTTTCAATTGCATTTTGGTTGAAGGTGAAAAAAAGGTAATAAAATTACAAAGTACTACGTAGAAGTACCACGGGCGCCAAATCATGTTGTCATAACGTCTGCGACGCTTTGTGTACATGTAACAGTCATCTGTATTTAGGATAGGATTAGAGATATATCTAAAGGTGTAACAAATGTAAAAAACATGTAAGACTTTTTATAAATGTACAAATAATATAAAAGTGATGGCAGCGGTAATTACAGAGATTTGTAAATACAAACATCCATAATCGGCTCTAATATTACATTAGTATGTCTATAAAAAATTATTATTTTGTTGTTCAAGGAGATAACATTGGACATTTTCCTGCAAGCATCATGGGAAGAGCGGCGCTTGAACGTCCCATCCGAGATTCCGTTCATCGACTTGCCATGGGAGTTCCGTGAGCTCATATGGACGCCAGACCTATACATCTGGCAGTTACAATCCATGAAGATCCTCTCCGTACTCAAGGAAATGGCCTCGCTGAGGCTTTACTCCAACGGCACCGTCTCAGTCAGTATTGGGTTCGTCTGATTTTATTTTTATCCGTAGACAATCGTTTGTTTGTTTTGGCGACTGCCCCGCTACAATTGTGCTAGAGCTCTTGTTCAACAGTCAAATATCTGAATGGTGATGACATGTAAACATATAAAAGTTATATTTAAACTGATTACATCTTAAATAGTGTCTAGTGATGTTTATATGCTGCCAACACGTCATTAAAATGAATGGCGTGGTTAAGAACATCGTTTATAACATATGATTTTATTTACCGCTTTATTATTTTTCTTTACAGTGCAACAATAACAATCAAATGCGAGATGGACTTTGTGCTATACCCACTAGATGTGCAAAATTGCGCGATAGATTTCAGTAGCTGTAAGTACCAGCAGATGTTTCTAGAATTCTAAACAATCATAAAATTCACAAGGCTGCTGCTTAGCCTTATTAAGTTTATTAGTCACCCGGTTACCTATATTCAATGTAAAATATTATCATAAATTTATGCTACCATCATATTTTCATTAACGGAGCATAAAATATTTTTATAGTTTATCATTATGAAGGTACACACAGGTTTAGGTACTACTGCTTCTAAAGACTTCTGTAATTTAAATCTCAGCAGTGCGCTATTTAACAACTATAGATTGGCAATCATAAGTATATTTATAAGAGGAGGACATGAAAGATTTTGATAATTTGTGTCTAAATTTATGTAATAATTTGTATTTAGGGGATATTATCACAAAAAGGAAAAAAAATGTATATCATCGTAAGTATTTACACATACCTAGTAGTAAAATACTGGTAGTATTTGATTATAAGTGTTGTAAAAAAACAACGATGGTAAGCATACCCACGTCTTATAGATGCTCGTTATACCCATCGCCACTTAGATGCAACATTCAAGACTCTTGGGACATAGAGAGAGTTTAGTACTTGTAAGTACTGTCCTTTAAATCTGCATAATCATAAAGCAACAAAACTGCTGAGTTAAAATTAAATTTATCAAGTGAGACCAAATTCAGAATTGAGTATTTTCTGACAAGTATATTAAGTATATCCAACTTTAATAAAAAATAATCCAACTTGTTAAACATCAAGTCCTCGTAAAGAAAATCTAATTTCACCTGTCTTCGATATATAAAGCGGCTCATAAAATATACGTGCGTTATGAATACAACGCAAACAATGAATTTCTATTCCGTAACTGCATTACATATTTACTATATTTTTTATCAAATTTCGAATTGACCGCCGGGATAGGCAGTGTGCAGCCAGCAAATAAAACGACAGGAAAGCAACAGTGTGCATAGTTACAATGATCAAAATATAATATAATGATTTTTTATTTTGTTTCTTCGCAAGTGTGTTGAAAACGTCGTACAATATACGTGCATTTTTAACACACTCGGCTTTATTATGCCTTCGAAAACGGCTCAGCCTGAAATACCGCTTCGTGTATTATAACCATCATAACGCACTTACATCGGAATATACCATAACGTATTGGTGGTTCATAGACAAATACACAAGGCAAGACGTGCGTTTCGAGTGGCGTGAGGTGGCGCCATGGCTGGGACTGGGGCCTGCCAATGGACAACGCAGCCAGTTCCGCCTCCCTAAATATGTGGTCACATTCGTCACGGACAAAAGTAATCATATTCGCAATTTTGGTGAAGGTAAATGTATATTTATTGCTTTGCGCTTAAGTTTGCGCCTTGTACTAAGTATACCTACTAACGCTGAGCATTGCTATCGCTGGCATGCTGCCCGCGTCGCTTGGCGCGGATGAAAACTCAAAAACGGATGAGTACCAGTTTAGATATCTACAATTCATCAGGTTATTGGTATTAAGAATGTTACATCCGTGCCCGGCGCACATCCTCGTATGTTACTGTGACGCATGCCATAGTCAATTTAGTGTCGGATGCATGATTATGCTTTATATACATCTGCATAATGTTTAATGTTTTAATATATAGCAAATGTAATATTATAACACAAATGTAGTACCTAAAGCAGCACCTATTAATTTCTGTCTACACACTATTTTACGGTTTTACTTCTTCTTCTTATATTTCGACCCTTGTTTCGCAAACATATATTCCCTAATAACAGTATATCGTATCTAATAATCATACATTCATACATACTGCCTTTACTGACATTACATATATTCATGAGAATGTTTAATGACGTAGATTCGTACAAATTATTTTCTTAGTAAAGCCTATAATTACAACTTTAAATAAAAGTTTTTTTTTAAAGTTGTCATACGTGTTCTCACATGTCCCAACATTATTTACATATTTTCGGTTATGGTACCCAAAATATATGACATAGAGTGCTTTTAGCAAAATCGCTATATTACTACCGTCCATATTCGTGTCATATACAGCTCCCATTTTTAATTTTATTTTATTAACAACAATAACGGCAACCAATTCCTTACACATATACCTTTCTGATTACAGAATTAAATATATCAATGTGACATTAACCCGATACTGTTCACATTTGCAACCGTTTTTATTCTTACTAAAGAATTTAAATTTAATTTTACGGCTACGTTATTTATTACGGCAATATAACGTTGTATTTTATTACACTCGAGCTTGGGAGCTCACAACAGTCACATTGCCACCAGTAGTTTCGGCTACAACACTTTCTTTAAGTTCCTATGTATACTCATATCTTGTAGAAAAAAACCTAACATCAATGTTTTTAATAGTGAAAACAAATATGCTATTATATACTTTTTAATAAACTTCTTAAGTACTAAGGTAGGGCAAATATTTTACTACGAATAGATAAGAAAGACGATACGTAACTTATCTGTGATATTCAATAGAATAGTCAATGGTTATTTACAAGAATAGTACACAAAATACAATTCAATAATCTTACATTTGGTAAATATGTACTAATAGCTTAACATAACTGCTGTATTGTCTTGTCTGTTACAATTGTATCAGTATATTATATTGCAACACTTAGGCAATGCTATATGTATTAGAATTAAACACTCGCGCGCCGGTAGAAGAGTGCCAGGGTGTTGTGTTTGCATCATGTTGTTGTACCTCATGGAGTTAATATTATACTATCTATTTTAAAAAATCTTTGTCTTAAAATTGTTCGCTAATTACATAACCATATAACATCTTGGCTATATTATTCTGCCGGCGTTCATGTATACACTCCCTAATTCTGAAAGTGGATTTAGACCAAGCAAGAAAGTTCTCCTTCATAGCCAAATATAAGACATGATGTTTTATTTTAATTCCTCAACAGGATTTTTTTGTGAATTTTGTACATAGTTCATTCTTGCTTGTTTAATGGTTAATCAATTACAATGCTATTTGTCTTGTTATGTGGTCTTTGTTCATTTAGTCTAAGTCCACTGTTATAGTCTATGTGACTTGTTACTTACTAAATTTATTTATTACTATTATGTACAGGCGAGCACTCAGCTGCTCGTCTCCAGATCAAACTGTCCAGGGAGTTGAGAAGCTACCTCCTGGAGAGTTATCTACCTTCCTCGTTGTTCGTGATCATCTCATGGGGCAGCTTCTGTGTCATTCCGGAGATTGTCCCTGGTCGGATGGTGCTTCTGGTAACTACTTTGCTGTCGCTCGTCACCATGTTTGATACCGTCAGGTAAACATTTTATCACAAATAAGATTATGAACATTGCTATTATTCATGTTTACTCTCGAATTATGTAGATCCTGCATTTCATTATTTATGTTCTGTTATTAGAACTACTCGTTTCAATATTTACTATTTAAATAAGTAGATATTTATTTCTGTATAAAAATATCTTCTGTTTAATAAAACATATGTATGGAATTATATAAAAATATTTATCTGTTCTTTCTTTTAAATATTGCAGACATTTTATACTTTACTGTGAAATCGAATCTATTTAATGATTTACAAATGTACCTATTTACGTTACATTTGAGTAAATCAATATAAATTTATACTTATATATATCTATACATTTCATCAGTTTGTTTTATTATAATCGCAGCACAAATTCGCCGGACGCACTAGAGCTGAAATGCATCGAAGTGTGGCTGATCTCGTGCACCATCTTCGTGTTCCTGGCACTGATGGAGTACTTCATAGTGTTGTTTGGTATCCGATACGACAAGAGTTGGAGCCGCCGACGGCAGGACCTGCGACGAGCTGCCTCCGCCGCCCAACTAGCGCCTCCAATGCATATGAATCATTCTCAGGTATTTAGTTAAAGGTTTTCACTAAAAGCTTCCGGTAGTAGTAAAATTACTGGAAAAAAACAGTGTTTTTGACCGGACCGGACCGGAATGAGACATATCCAAATTGGTTCAGAAAAGAAGAAGATTGGTATAGCATAGATCGGTACCTATTTCATATACCCCACACAAGAGTGTTATATATACCACACCGCTATACATAAAAAATTAGAGGCCCATACCTCTAATTTTTTACATATAGCGGCCACGAATGATATTTATTTATAATACTTACATACCTAGGTCATAATCTACAGTCCTTTCATTAAGCTAAAGTTTTATTAAAATTTACATAAAGGTTGTCTGGAAGAGATTGCTTAGCGATATGCCACCCATATTATAGATATACTCATATTCACGCTATGTACGGTGCCTACTTATGAAAACATAGTAGAAAATACTTGCCTAATAACATCGACGTACATCCGGAAATAAGTAAATTAAATGTATTACCTACACAATCTATATGAATTTGCGTGACTACGTCAAATCGAATAATTTTCTGAAGGTTTCTTTTTATATTTACGATCTTACTTTCAAACCTAGTAGAATTATACTTAGTATCACAATATTGATACAAAAGTTGTCACAAATTATGTAGCTTAGAAACAAAAAGAATACCAAATTTAATAAAATTGAAATAAATGTGACTAACATGAATTAAACCTTCCACATCGTAGAAATATTTCTTAATTAATTAAAAGAATTAATATACAATATATTTGTACTACCAGCTTGATTTGAACTGCGAGCTTTAGGGATTAAGTCAACTAGGCCACGACGCTCTCTAAGGTACCTTGAAAGTTTATCAGAAATTGCAATTCATGAGGACTTGTTGTTCATCAAGCGATAATTATTATTAGGTGGGCCGTTACTTCCCAGAAGACGTGTACACTATATATTTTATTCTTTCTAACAGAGATTAAGCACTCCTGTGACGGGAACCCCACAAGGTGGAGTGTTCACGCCACAGCTCAGCGTCGAAGATGACGGCCTCAAGCAACAAATGTCGCATCAAACAATTCAACGGGTAAATATAGAAACATAACGATTAGTTTGATTTAATGTTGTGCCTACTACACGCACCTAAAAATATATTTCTCTAGGTTTAATTAACACGTAGTACATACGTGTGGTATATTTTTTTAAATTAGGACACAAATTTTTAGTCGTCCCACACGGGAAAAAGGAATTGGAGACAAAATAAGGTTGGATGTGAAACAAGATCTATGAAGGTAAAACTAAATTTAAAACGAACACTGCACTGTGTGACCTTTAGCTCCCAATGATGTTTGATTTGCCACCTTAACTGTAGGAATATAGGTATAGAGTAGTTAATAAATGTGTAGGTAGGGTTCTGTTGCGGAAAGTTTAGTTGGTTTGAAAGAGTGTTTATCGCGAGAAACATTACAGTACCATTCTTAATACGCAGTCAAATGTGTAAATATTTCAGTAGACATATAACACAATTATATTTAATAGATCAAAAACAAATAAACAAACAGCTTAGGTCAAAATTAAACTGTAGCAATTTCAAATAACTATTATTTTCTCTGCGAAGAAACATTGTATGCTTACAGTAATGAAAATATCTGAATAGCAACGTGTTTGCACGGCTTCAACGCATGTTCGCTATTCGTTCGTGTGTAGAAGTTGGTCAGTGTTACATTGAAGCTGTACGTGGTATTTAGTCAATTAGACATTAGAAATAGCTTGATACTTTAGATATTCCCGTAAACCTTACAGCAACACGCTTGATTATAGTATGTTTCAACTCAACGCCTAAAATACCTAATTCAATTTTACTTTGGAAACAACCTAATCTTGGGTGGAGCTGAATAACCATGAATACAAAATAGGTAATGCAATTATGTATTGTTAGGACTCACCAATGCTGGATACGCTCCAGTCTAGCGGTGGTGGAGGCAGGTCGGGTAGTGGTACGCTGGCTCGACTGGGCGCGCTAGTGGACAGCGGCGTGATGTTCTGCGGCGCGCAACATGGCGCCCTTGATCGATTCGCGCTTATGGTCTTCCCAGTCTGCTTCTTCCTCTTCAACGTTATCTACTGGACTACATACCTCAGTGAGGCCCACAGGGTCTACGATAAATAAGTGAAAATCCGTTGGACACTCGACAGTGACAGAGCACGTGTTTCACCGAAATGTGATTGTTGTGCCTATATAGACATATTGTAACATACTTACTTGTAAATATTAGACGAATTGCTAGTCGACTTTACAAAAGTGTGAACCCCTGTTAATAAGTTATGATTAGGTAAGGCTTATATTAATCTTTTGACTACCACAGTTTATTTTTATACACATGTGAAGATTTTTTTGTACAGGTACATATAAATACTATATTTTTATTCGCGACATTAATATATGTACAACATAGCACTGGTAACAACAGCATTCTTTATTGTCTAATATATTTATTGTCCAATATTTTTTATTTTGTTATGTATTTTGAAATGATAACATGTTCACGTAGGTCTGTTTGTGGATATATTTTTTGAAGTCTGCTTTATTGCATGATTAATATTTCGGTGCACAATGCAGAATTACAGATTTTTTATATAAAAAAATGTAGTTGCTATCTATATTTTTGCTACTTGTTTACTTAAATAGATTGTTTCTGCCAGTTACACGATGCCGATGTTACCAGTTAGGTAGGTATACAGGAAGTGCCCTTAGGATATTCTAATAGTATTGAAATTATTACTTTTATTTTTTGTTACATTAGGTATATAAATATATATGTATACTTTATAATATATATATACTGGTATGTTAATATAACATATACGTTATAAACATATTATACTATATGTTCATATCAATGCATATCATCACAAAATTAAAATAGATGTATAAATTCATTATACATACATATTCGTATTAGTTCAAATTATAAAAATGTAAGGTGCCTTTTATACGCATTATTTTAAGTTTGATAACTATTCCATGCTTGGGTCAGAAGAAACTATGTACTCGTAGGTACATAAGATTTAATCTACATATCTGTTCTCCGTACCATTCTTACTTTATAATACCTATCTATATATATTATAAAGTAAGAATGGAATATATTATAAATTATAATAATTAATTAGGTATTTATGCAAATAAATATTTATACTTAAAACTGCTCAATACTGAAGAATTCTCGTTAATTTAACCTATACAAATACTACAGTCCTTAATAGTTCTACCGTATTATCACTTCAATTTATGGGCGCATTCAAAATCTTCAAACGTTTAAAGACTCTTGCCTCGCTTATCTTGCAATGTACATTTTGGTGATGTAGCTTACGGTATTATTAAATATTTACATTTTATGAAGCTTATAATATAAAGGTTCATCTTTAACTTTTTAGCAATAAGTATTAGGTACCTACTTCCCCATAAGTTTCAAGTTTTTTAGTTACCCTGGTCATATTTTATCAACATAATATGACCAGGGTAACTAAAAAATTAAATACCTATATGGTTTAATTGCATACTAACTAATCGATAATAAAAACTTTAAAATTTGGTTCAATCGCCTTAAAGAAAGTCTACCTAATAAATAAATATACATATTTCATATATATTATATAATAACGATGATGATTATGAAATTTAACTTCTGAATGAAATTAGGAATAAGGAAAACGGTAGGTATATAATATCTATACAGGGTATAAAATATTAACACCCTAAGTTATAAAGTCTATGCACTTTGTGATATACGTAGGCGCGTCGCACAGCAGACACTCGCATTGATGCAATGTCACAATATAAACTTAATTATCAAAAACATACTGCCAAAATTATTGTTCACAAGACCATATAGAACCAGGTACAACGAGGCATATGTTGCCCAATTAGTTCTCACGAAAGTACTTACCTATAAATTAGTAACTAAGAAACATACCTAATGTTGTATAAGATAATTTAAGACTATACATGAAATTACGCTAGATTTCTCGTACAACAAAATTAACATAGGATAAACAATATAGATTCGATCTGGTAGGTACCATATTTAAATCAATTCTATTATATACTGTAAATAATAATAAATAAATAGGGAATTTTTAAAAAATATTCACCACCTTATAACTGTCATACAGTAATTAAACTATAAATAAATTATAACAATATATATATTAATATTTTTTAAATAATAAAGATTATGTGAAATGATAGATATAATTTATTTTATTTTATAAAAAATATATATAATAACGAAACTACTTTCCATTGTTATCTAGTCATAAAAACGATCTTAATAGAAATTAAAATTATTCGTAATTGTAACACTTCATTACACTGCACCCCTGGCCCATTAGTATGGTAGGTATAGCACAAATTACTAAACCACTATTGCACAATAATGTTAATTAACAAAAAGATATAAGAGGCTCGAAAATGTAATAATGTATTAAAAGGTAGTTAACTAAATAAAAAGATTGCTCCCTCTAAACATAATTCATTGTCACGTTTAATTCATTCTTTAATATTTCATTATTAGAATTCGTCATTAAATTTATAGTGGAGTTTAATTCTGGATATTCGGTGTATAATTGTTATTCTTATAATTATTATACACTATAAAATAGGCACACGTCAATAAAATACTAGATATTATCCCCATCTGGAAATATCAAATTTTCTATTTGATATTTCCAGATGGATTTCCATTTTTAAATAAAATTACAACTAATTGTAAGTAGATACCTGTTGCAGAATCAAACTAATTCGCATATAAATACCCAATAAGTGGAGTCGAAATCATAAAATACTTGTCTTTAAGATGAGATACAGCGCCCCTAGCGGGAAGTAGCATATACTTACAAGCATAACAACTTTCCAGTACAAGGTGTTTATTTCAATTTACTCTTTTGACTGGACTATGGCGATAGTAGATCGTAGACCATCTCAAAAGTCAAATAATCGATCTTAGTGATTAAAGATTTTTATTTTAATCAACATCACAAATAGATTTTTAGTGGAGAGATTCATACCAAAAATTTGCACAAAAATACATTTTCTCTGTAGGTTTTTTACCTATATCAATAAGAAAGATAAATTAACATTATATAATAATGCGTTCATATACTTTATTTTTCAATAAGTATTACAATGTTTTACTGTTCTAAAGTTAAACACATATGCCTTGGCACTAGGCATGTGATGAGCTCTAAACCTTTTTACAAATAGTTATATAATATGTGTGTAAACAAAAACTAGTGCCTTTTAAGAATTTCCAATAAATAAATGTAACGTATATCGTGCCTATGGAATTATTCTAGAACAATTTTAAAAATCTAAGAACGGGGGACAGTATTATACACAGCTATGATTTTAGACAATATCTAATTAAATTATGGATTATAATAAATAAAAGACACTATTTTAAATCAATTGGTTTGTTTTATTTATATTCAATATCAACTATTAACATTATATACATAATGTACAATTATCTATCAACTAACCTACAAACAGATGTAACTGTAATTTACTCATAGCCATAATATGCAGCCTCTTTAAAAGCTCTCACCATGTCATCCGAGTTCCTCCTTATTCGCCTACCAATAGGTTCCAAATCTGCATAGCATTTTGGAAATACTTTTTCGATTATGTCTACGGCTTCTCTCTTACCAATTTGCCGTACAGCCATAACTGAATATAATGCTTTTGTTTTTACACAGTCCTGGAAAAAATAAAGCAAAAATTTATATGTGAAATTACTTCAATGCATTCACCTATCAGCAAAGAATAGTAATATATTTTAAATTTAAATAAAAACTTATTATTTTATTTTCTTTATTATTTATAAATGATAACATTAAGTTCACAAAATTCTATTATATAATAAAATTAATATGCTTCATAATTATTTTGACATTATGACTTACTTTGACTTACTATGACTTTTTCCAATCAGAAACTAAGTTTTCACTGACAGTTTAATGCAATACCTATTACATTAAGAATGTTCTAGTTCACTATTAGTAAAAACACACACTCCATAATTTGGCTCATACAATCTAAGGTATTTTATTGTACAATAATTTTGTTACTGTATTGGATGTAATTTTTGCTGTTAATCTAGCTTTTTTGTCGCTAGTAGACAATAAAAGACAGACAGTAGTCCAATTTGTTATTGTATTATGACAAAATTTATATAAGTACCTGGTGTGCTTGCTTTATCCTCGACCAAGAAGCATCACCTTGTGACCAAGCACTAGTAAATGAACAATGGGTGAGATTTGCAGCCCGTATCTCAGTGCACGCCAAATGTTCCATATTCTTGAAATCAAGCTCATTGCGACAATAGTCGAACATGTGAATCATTTCATGCGCCAGAACACCTTGCACCATTCCTTGTCTTGTGGATACATTTTGGCACACAACAATCTGTAAAATGTAATTAAAACCAAATCTATAAAATGTAATAATGCTCCAAAATTCTTAGAACTCATTTTTATATATTACATTATAATCTTTACTAAGCCTTATAAAGTATTCTTGAAAGTAAATTTTTTGATATTAAATTTTATATGAAATATCCTAATGAATGACAATATCCAATTAAATATCACTTATGAGATACGACAGTGGCAGTTTTGATCTGTTGAAGTAAGCTTTATATTAATATATGAAATCTATGGAGTAGGGACTTCATTTAGACTTCTTTATTTACTATTGCAGTGATCTTAAGGAGCAGATCCTGCTGGGGTGGACACTCCGTTATAAATTAATTATAAAAACCTTAAAAATGTCATATTGTTGACACAGTCAAAATATTTGTTTATAATTCCAGGATTGATTGTAGAAAAAAAATACTAAGGTATTTTTATAGTAATAACACACAGATTATGAATGAAAATTTGTTGTTATTCGGTAATTATAAACAAATACCTAAGTAAAAAGAAGGAAGGAATTGTTAGTAATGGAGATCAGTTCCTTCATTGCTATCAATGTACTTCAATTTGTGTCATGTCGACCTACAAGGGTTCCTTTCTGGAAACCATCATAGTGAATTCCAGGTAGTGTCACCTTAATGTACTAATCAACCTGACTTCATAGACATTCCATCATATCCCGACAGCATGGAAGCAAGATGCATATAACTAGCCTAGTTTTCAAAAATAACAACTAACATCTTAAAAGTTACAGTAACTTTCCAATGACTCAAGTACCTGATTTAATTCAGGATCATAACCACCACTAACAGAATAATCGCAAACTTCGCATGATATGTGTCTCCGGATGTCAATAGGACTGAAAATAAAATGAGAACAATTAAGGAATATAATTCCATATAACATTTTTATATGCCAAAAAGAACATTTTAAGTACTGTATAACAAGATTTATTTATTTAAAATATTTTTTACATCTTATATATTATTGATGGCCTGTTTGGTGTAGTAACTTTGCACATATTGATATATTACTTTTTTTTTGCATTGTGTGATGTTGTTTAGTTGCAGGTTTGATTCTTTAGGTTTAGGTGTTTTCTATGTTTATTACATACATATATATTTACAACAAAAATATATCTACAATATTTCTATTAGTTGTCTAACGTTATCATGTGGGAATTGTCCTGAGTTTGTATTGCTATTTTTAATTATTTTATCCAAGTTTTACTTAATAATTTGCACTATACAAAACTTAATACTCACCAACCAGAGCTCTTAAGGGCAGCCATCATCACTTTAACAATAGAGCCTAAAATTGAAAGAAAATGTGACTGTACAAAATAAATACATATAAATTTTAACTCCTAAATTTTATTATACTGCATATCACAAAACCTAATACTTATATATATTTAGTTATATGTGTTGAATTCAAAATTAATTCTAGACTATTAAAATAACAAATATAATTAAGAACCTAGACACTGGAGAACATACTCTATATTCTGTAACTTAGAAGTTCTTAATTAGATATAGAATATATATTTTGAATAGATGTAGTTCTCAGAAGCTAGAAAAACAGTTGCAGTTTCTTTATGTATTTTACTTACTGAAATAAAATGTCCATTACTTACTATTTTTTACACAGTCATATACATTTTTCTCACATTTTAATTTCTCAATATTCTCTTTGCCTTCTTTTCCAGTCAGAATATTGCCTAATTTAGGTTTAAAAGTACCACGTCTCTCAGGATATAAATCATAACCCCAAGCTTCTCCCTGCTTTCCTGAATTATTTTGTTCAGAATTTGTACTAATTTTCTCTACCTTTTCTTGGCCTGAGTTGCTTTTTTCTTCGACCATTATAGTAATATGAATATCCCACAAATGTTATTTATTAAATAAAAGGACCATACGTAACAGTGAGTCTGTTCAAAACATTCAGGAATGTATAATTGAATCCGATTAAGAATAATTTTGTCAAACCATCAAGAAATTATTAAATAACAAAATCTTGAATTACTCTTATGTGTTCTATACTGGTGATAAAAAAATGTTATAAACTATTGAAATAAGCTTAATTATTTGGCCATAGGCGAAAGTACACCCGGAAAATTAAGAATCAAATTTTTCTTTGACAATCTCCTAGTCTGACAGTGACACTAACAGTAAGGTCATCCATGAACTCTGTTTCACGGCTCTGGCACCCATGACAAGAGTAGCGACACATTACATAAAAAAAAAATATCTTAATGCATACATCGAAATTGCTATGGGGGTCGTGTATGTAAACAAACCCCATTGGCAATAGGCTTTTTGTTTTCCTGTATGCACTTCGTTAACCTCCATGGCGACATTTTAGGAGACCAAATCGAATGGTATATCTCCTAATCACTAGTTACATCTTTATTCTCTAAATTGCATTATTGAATACAGTAAATAAATATACCTAATTACACTATGACCGACTTTAGAATATTTTAAGGTAAAGTCCTTAGTATACAATACCAAAAACATATATAATTAATGATACTTTATTATTATCACAATGAATATCACACATCCAATTATGATGACTGTATTTTTAATAAACATCTTTGAATATTGTTGTTCCATTCTACGTACACACTTTCTTCTTGGTGCAATTTTTGATATCTTAAACCTTTCATATCTGAAAATAGTTAAAAATAAAATTTTATTAAAATTTACAAATTCAACAAACACGCTTTACATAGCATGGTGCATTTATTCAACCCAAACTCATATATCAATGCTAGCTAGTAAACGTCACATCGTAAGTAATAGCCCAAAGAATTTATTTCTATAGGACTTGTATCCCTAAAAACATACTTTTACTTAATTCTTTTTCATATTTGAGTTTAACGCTGCATTTTCCAATTTAAGAATATTTGATAGTTTTCCAATAATTATTCCCGGTGGCTAACTAAACTGAATATACCAACAAAATAAGGCACTTACCAAGTATTTTTAAAAAATTATGAAATGTTTCTTCATTACGAATGACACTGGCAATATACATTATAATATTCTTATTGCTTTGTAAGAATGCTTCAATAACAGTAGAAAGTGGAATTAATAAGGACGGATCATATATTATGTCTGCTCCAATTATAATATCTGGCAAGTTCTTAAATGCTATATTTTTAACATTGTTATCATTCCAATCCAAGTTAATTGTACCTACAATTAAAAATCAATTTATATTATTAGTTTATATAGGCTAACCCATAATTATTAAAAAAATCCAATTGTTATCAAATTAACAAAATAATAATCTAGTGTTTTATTATTACTACTAATAAATAATGCTTGACTACTTTACCTAAATAATGTTTTTCATTAACATATGATACATAATTCTTATTTTCATTCATTGTTATATCAGGAAAGTTAATTTCAATATTATCACTTATTGTCTTGAGGACATCATCATGACAATCAGATAAAATCATTTCCCTGGGTCTACAGAACTTTGAAATAACAATGCCAGTAAAGCCTACTCCAGAACCAAGTTCCAATACTGTTTTATTATGAAATAATTCTTGATTACAAAGTGCCCAGTCCACAAGCATAAATGCTGCCTGAAAATGAAAAAAGTTACAAGAGATTATCATAGTATAATATTCAGAAAAACAGTAGTTCTAGAAAAAAAAAAGAAATTACCTCCCAAGTTCGCATTCCAGTAGTGCCATTAACAACCATATTTTTAGTCTCTTTTATTGTTATAACATTACTAAGATCATTACCAATAATGTAATGACGATAACGAAATATGTTATTGTCTAAGGTATTATTATTCATTACATTACATAATTCAACATATAATTCATCATGCACTTCATGGTTTGCTTTTTCTAACTGTGATATCAGTCTTTTTAAATATAATCTGGAAAATTCATTGTTAACAGGATATTTCTTAACTATAGTACATTGAACTGTTGCTTCTAGTAACTCCTGTTGTTTACTCCAAGTAAGAGCACATATTTCCTCTGACTGCAAATTAAAATTGCTAAGTGTGAGATATCATCAGACCACATCAAAGTGATGGGTAACAGAAATAATATAAATATGGGATTAATTATTTAAATAAATATATTAGTTATATATTTAACTGTATTCTAAATAAAAATATAATTGGGGCTCGGAAGTGTACATAAAATGAGGGAATAAAAAATATATGTAAATAAATATAATGATTATTATTATTATATTCACATATTTTTTAAATTTATTTGAATAAAGATTATTTCTGTTAACTTTTATAATTGGAAACTATATAAATCAAGTATAAACATACGCACAGCCGGTGCATTATTATTGTTATTTAAATTTTGCTATATGAATAATTAAATATTCGCGAAGTACCTTTAGAACGAAATTATGAGACCCGTTGTAGTAATACCGTATAAGTTTTTTTACAATATCCGGTTCGTTTCGTACGAGTAATAACATATTGTTTACACATTTAACCGTATAATCAAATCAAATATATGTAAAATAGGCAACAATTAATTTATAACTTAGTTATGACAATAAAAAATACTATAAAATAAATAAAAAAATGTGATCAGCAAGGAACATAATACTCTAAAGAGAAGAAGGGTAACCTAGTACAAAAAAAATGGGAAATACTCCAATACCACTAGCGCTACAAATTCCGCACGGAATATTTTAGCACTAATAGTGGAGGGAAATTCAAATATTTTGGGTTTATAATTTTATTACTCAAGTCTTTAGAAGGTCAAGAGCTTCATCAAACACGGATATTTTGCCTTTAGGAACAAAAAAAATCAGGCAAATGTAGCCTTGAATGTCAAAAATAACACGTGCTTGATCAAGCTGTTGGCCGTCTACAAGCTTCATAAGAACTACCATACCCTGATGGATAAAATGGCAGAGAAGCCGTCATAAACATTAGTTAACTTTACAAATTAAAAATGTTTAAATTTTAATTTATAAGATTAACTGGCGCTTATGAAAGCAGGTCTAAAAGCATTAAAATAAAAAGTATATTTCATGTATTCTTGGAGATAAAATAAGAACAAAGATTTTGATTTTCTTTTATTAGTTTCATTCCATTTGCCCGTTCATTTGAGTGGCGTGTTACGCTTACATAGAATTCAATATCTTGACCCTAAAAATAAAAGAAACTACTTTTTTTACACATACTGAATACATACAATCACAAAAAAATACAAATACGAACAAACTTTTATATATCAATTTCTAAATTAATTTATTTAGGAATTGTATTTATATACTTTATGTACACATAATATACTGAATCTATTAGGTTGTCAGAAAACAGTGATAACACTATGTTAAAACTACATAGTAATTATAATTTAGGACTACTAAAATCATTATTATTATTTACTGTTACAATGGTGTTTTATTAGCAATAACGTTCATAGTTTGCATTATGTATGAACCATGTGAAGGGTATAACGCAATGAACAGGGAATATTACAGTTTTTGTTTTCTTTCGTTTTGTACTAATATCTATATTAATGGTGGCTAATTATTAATCTACGGGCGAAACGAAAGGAACTGGGAATATCCATGACATTCTGGTATACTTTAATAATAAAAAATTGGTTTTGTTTGCTTATTTGCAACATAACATTTGATAACTTCTAAACAATAAATTGCGATTTTCTTGTAATACATTAATTAGGTCATTCCCGGTTCTGTCTGTATGCTATATATATATATGACAGTGGCAGATACAAACTAAATTTCGGAACTACAGTTATCAGTGTTTCATACATATTAAACATTTAAATATTTTAACAGCGTTATGTAAATAGCCCTAATATGAACTACATATTTCTATTTATAGATATGGCGCTGTAAATTTATTTGTATTTTCTTCTTTCAGAGCGTTGTGTTAGATATATTACAGTTTTTTCATGTAGCGGTATACAATAAAAATAATCTAAGAATAAACAGGACTTTATTAACTATGTTTATTGTATCCAAGTAGCAACGACAATAGCTATTTGTTAAAGGCGACAATTTATACAAAACTGAATGTTGTATGTATTTTATATGAATTGAAACAAAACATTTGGACAAAATTTTGGATGTTTCAGGACGGTTAATGTAATGTGTACATATTATTCTACATATACCCTGCATAAGGGATTGCAGCTAGTTTATTAGCAAGTTACCACTTTCTTTTAATGATTGATTTAATGATTTTAATGAATGATTTAATGATTGAAAATGATTAACAAATTTAATCATTTAATAGAATAACCAAAATATTCAATGGTATTAGATTTTTTATTGTTACTGCTTTTATGATAACTATAAATTTTGGTTCTGGCCATTAACAGTTTTATCACTAAATTAAAATAATAAACTAATATAGAAAAATCTTTATGATAATTTTTAGGAATTTTAATTTCAGTTTGTCAATATATCTTTTGAAAATATACTAACGTGTTTCATTAGCAAACTTAGTCATTTCTCCCTAAAACATGTCATTTAGGTTTTTATGTGAACAATTCAATTTCTTTTTATCAAAATTTTATGTATGTTACATAAGGGGAGGTGTGGGGGGGAGGGTGGCTTAAGAATTTTAGAAATGCAAATGTGGACATAGCACAAAAACGGTTGATTAAATTATTACTATATAGATATTACAATGGTATAACATACCCGGTAAATCATATCCAATTCGACTGTGGGGTGGAAAAATCAAATGTATGTATGTATAATCAAAGTTTACTATCATTTGGAATAATATTATAGTATAATTACATTATACTATAATATTATTGAAAATACTACCTGTACCCGTGGTTTCACCCGCCTGTTCTGATACATAGGTATATTATTGTAAAGTTTTATCAAAATCCGTTCAGTAGTTTTTGCGTGAAAAAGTAACAAACATCCATCCCCACAAAAAAATTTTCATGTTTATAATATTAAAAAATACGATAATAAGATGTGAAAGTCACCATACCGTCCGACATTTGTTTTTCCAGGTTTAGGAAACCGGTGGAATGATAGTGCCCCATCCTGAATAGCAGTTATTCCACATTTAGCACACTTTCTATATGCATCCGTAGACATAGTTGATTATACCCAATATCCACAATATGAATAAATACAAGTCGTTGCAGCGAATCAATTCTAGCATACAAACAACTGCTATAATATTCAAAACATAAACACAAGAGCTAATTTATTCAACACAAGAAACAAGAAAAGAAACAATTTAAAAACTTTAGAAATGTAACGAACTTTCTAAAATGTGTTTTTTTAAATTAATATTACAACTTTGACTTTGACACTTCCATCGAAGCAAATAATCACTACGTTATGAATTTATTACAAAAATAGCATGTTCATAACGTAGTGATTTTAGTAGTAAAAGTAAGTAAACAACATTTCAGTAGGTAATATAAGTTTCTTTGCTAATAAAGCATTTAAGCGTGTAATCATTGCAAAATATATACAAAAGTATGCAGTATTTTGTTTTTTTTTTTATAATAAATTAAAATTTAAAATATAGTAAATTGAAAAAAGTTATTTTTGATTATTAATTATTCCATTTCGACAAGTATTTTTGAAAATAACTTCAATAATCTACTAAAATAAACAACTTATTACGAAAGCGAAACCACAACGTAAAGATACGCGTGGGTAAATGGAAATAATTTATTATATAAAAAACTGGTTCGCTGAGAGCTACTTCTTATCTTCATATTATATTTTTCTCTCATAAGTTATTTAATGAAATTACATTATTTTGTGGAATTCCGCTACCATACAAATCTGAATTATATAAATCCATTAAGTAATGAAACGGACTTCAGCAAAATAACACCTAGTTCTATAAAGTAGTATACCATCGTATCCGAAATGGGCTCTAAAAAGCAAGAACCCATGAATATTTTTTTTTATAAACTGTCGTTCAATGTTCTACTCTGTTAACCTCATTCATTGTCATTCATTGAATGTTGTTGATATTATTGCAAGAACTCAAGAGAAAACAGCACACTGTTTTGTCATATTAGATGTAATTTTGTTCAACCGATCTACAATCATGATAAATGGTTTAAATAATGATTATATAAATAAATTATTATAGTTTAGTCATATTATTATTTAAATGTTAATTTAATTAGTTTAAGTATATTATACGTACGTTACCCATGAAATTATTTCTTTTTTTTATTATAGCAATAGTTAATATTCCGCAACTCACACATAAGCAATTGTTCATTGTCAAAAACATCTGTATTTACTACAAAAATGTTACAAAAGTATACAAAAAGCGCTGTACTAAGTTGCCATGATTGACATCGTTTGACAGTAATTATAAAAATAGTGCAAAGTGGACTTTAGATGCAGTATTCTATGCATTGAGGAAGTAATCACTATGTCGGTAAAAATAAAGTAAAGCTCTAATTTCTCTACATTAATAGATCATCATCAAAGTACTCTGTGTTGATACACAACGAGACAAATTCAAATAAAAGTTTCATCAGATATATTTTTGAACTTTCTTTAATATAATTTATAGTTGTATTATTAATCAACTGGATTAAATGTAATGTATATAAATAAATGCTAAAACACCCATTTGTTTTACCTAAGTTATAAAAACATTAATACATTATCTAAAAAACAATGGAACAGTCATTGAACGTAAAGAAGCGGAAGGTTCAAAATATTGAAAAGGAATCTGAGGGTCCTGTTAACAAAAAAACTAAAACAAAAGTTACGCAAAACGTAAAGGAATCTAGAGGAAAAATTAAAAGCAAAGAAAAGTCTGAAGTTCCCAATAAAAAAACAAAAACGCTAACACTTGAACAAGAATCTCATAATAATGCAACTTTAAAAAGTAAACAGAATAATGATCCACGAAATACAGTAATTGATTGTGATGAAGCTGAAATGTTATCGCATATTGAAAAGATTCCGCTGAAATTGGCTTCAAACTTTATTTCACTTTTGTCTGCTGGGTGCACTTTACCATTTATTGCCCGCTATAGAAAAGAGGCAGTGGATTTCTTAATGCCCGATCGGTATGTATATTAATTATTTCTGAATTATTTGCAACATATGAATCATATTACTTTATTGAAAATTAAATGTTTTCTATTATAGTCTACAGGAGTTATTTGAAAGTTACCAAAATGTTACTCAATTGAAAAAAAAGATGAAATCAGTTATAGAAACATTGAAGAAATCTAAGAAGCTAACACAGGATATTGAAAAAAGCATTTTTAATGCTCGGAGTTTGTCAGAAATTGATTTATTGGTAATTATAAGTAATAATCTTTTAAACTTAGCTTTCACATTTACTACTGATCAGTTACAAAGATTGGTTAAATATTGAAAAGCTTTACAACACATTGTACTTATTTCTTTAAATAGACCAAAACTATATAAAAATTGATAACACTGGAAAGGAAATTAAACAGTTCAGCATAGCCAATGTCCTGTACATAACACAGTGCTGCCAGGGGTAAGAGAATTGTTAAAAATTTGGACTGATGACCTCATTGCTAGCAATGTACCAGGTTGACCTCCATGAGATTTCCCTGGAAACAATCTGGCGGACCTAACCTGTTCATCTAACCTTACTCCTCTGGTTCCCAGCCAGCATATACTGTTAGCACACTCAATGGTACCACACAGATTCCATTATCATCCTTAAAATATACCTATATGTACTTGCTATTGTTCATTCTTATGTTTTTTGCAGTATGCACCATTGAAATCTCACTCTTTGTCGTTGGCGGAAAGAGCTCGTAATTTGGGCCTAGAAAGTTATGCAATAAGAATGTTAAATGGTGAATATATTGACTTAAAATCTTTATGTACTGGTGACGAAGAGCTGTGTTCTGAATCCAAAGTGGACACACACATCACCCATATATTAGCAGATATTATCTACAAAGACACAAGAGTTCTGGAACAAATGCGAAAATTGTAAGCCTATAATAATTTTCTATAAAATTTTGTTACCAATTTGTCTTTGACATGAGTTTAATATGTATGTGTTGACTCTAATCATAGTTTGACCTATAAGAACTTATAAATATTTCATACTAAAATAAACTCTGACTTTTCCTATTCAGTATAATTATTTATATTATTGAAGAATTAACGGAAGATGCCATATATGGATATGGCATTTTCCATCAACTGATCATAAGAAAACATTTTGCAAACACTCAAGCACCATTGGAGACTAATAATTCCATTATTTTTAATATAGATCCTACTCTTTATGTATAACTTATTACATAAAAGTTATGTTATAGAAAAGAAGAAACAAGATTCACAATACAAAGCAGCCGTAGTAAAAACTCTACTAAAGAAAAAGAGAACAGTAATAAAAAGATTGATTCTAAATCTGATCCAGAGACATACAAGCTATACTTTGAATGGTCATGTCCATGCCATTTTGTAAAACCTCATCAAACTTTGGCAATCAACAGAGGAGAGGATGAAAAAATCTTGTCTATAAAAGTGATTATTCCTGATTGGTTTTACAATAAGTTGGAAAGGTAAATTATCTGAAATTATTTTGATAAATTTCAGTCATGACTTATAAACAAAATATTATTCTAGACCCCAGATCAATAATATAGTTTACTAGAGTCTCAAAAAGCAAGAATTTAGGGCCTATCATCTGTTTATGTAAAACTTCAACACACTTCTATAAATAGGACTAATGTTTCAGATATTGTCTAACGTTATGGAAGAGTAAGCACTGGGTTTGTAAAGGTTTAAGTGATGCCTATAATCGCCTTATCAAATCTTGGCTGTCCAGACAAGTACGTTCTGATCTTACTGCTGCAGCAGAAAAAGAAGCTGTGAAAACATTTACAACAAATCTTGAGAAGTATCTGTTAACTGAGCCTATAAAAAATAGAACAATAGCAGGATTAGATCCTGGATTTAAAGCTGGATGTAAGGTAACTATTGATATTAGATATTAAAGGTGGACCAACAGATTACATTGCCAGCAATGTTAGTCTGAACTCTATTGATTAGTATGTGTATTTAATCCTAGAAAATGTACATATTTTGGGAATCACATCAAATAGACAACATCTCTACAATGTAAATTCATATTGTTCATTATCAATGCTTAATATCTCTAATGGTCTCGTTACTTTGATATGTTTTTTTTATTAATTTCACACATAAAATGGTATGGTATATGTGACGTGAATGTATATAATAATTATATAAAATTGCACTGTGTATTATATCCCAATTATAGTTTCGAAAACTAATATTTTCCGTAATAATGTATAAAGTATTTTAAAGGTCTTCAACATGCATGTGACATCCATGATGTTTTATTCATGTTGTTATGGTAACCTTTTCAGATGTATTGCATACTTTGATACCATGTAACATAGAAAAAATGTGTCCTTGAAAAAATACACTCCAAATAAATTAAAAAAAATGTAGTCCATCATTGCTGCATACTTTTACTGGTAATGAGCAGACTACGGAAGTTATATTTATCACCTGCACTCGTTCATTCCTGTTCTTTCCTTTCTCTTACTATTTACACAACTGTAGATATCTTGCTTTGCCACATGACTTGATATGGGGTGCGTATGAACTTTTGTAGACTGCAATCCGTACATTTGATTTCAGGTAGGTATTATTAATCCAAACGGAGATAAAGTCGAAGCATGCACGATATATCCAAATTTAAGACAAAGCAGCCACCTTGATCCAGCTGTGAAACAACTGAAAGATCTTTTGACAAAACACAGGTAGATACATCTCTTGCTGTTACACAGTTAAGGGCTTATTTGTCTGTGAAGATATTATTATTTATAAAAAGAGCTTTAAAAGTTTTCTGTGTGATCATTATGTTGCTGGGTTTTTAGTTACGAATTGTAGATTGAGTACCTACTAATATTTCAGAGTTGACTTAATTGGTTTGGGCAATGGAACTGCATGCCGTGAGACAGAATCATGGTTAAAAACTCATCACATAGTTGGAAACATACCTATTGTAATAGTACCAGAGCAAGGTGCATCCATATATTCAATAAGTAAAGAAGCTCAAAAGGTATAGAATATTAACGAAATAAGTTAATTTTTACTCAAACTCATCCCTTTTTCAGAAACGATACAATATATTTAAAAGCAATAAGTATTGCTTACGATTCTAATGGCTGTAATTATAACATACTGTGCTGGCGGTTTCACCTGCATGATATTTATATGTGTTATTCTGATGTATAAGAAAGAGTAACATCATCCATCCATCTATTCATCCATACTCACAAACTTTCGCGGTTATAAAATTAATAAGATTTTTTTTTAGGAGCATCCCAATATGGATCCAAATTTAATATCTGCCTTATCAATAGCAAGAAGGGTAATGGATCCACTGGGAGAATTGATAAAAGTAAGTTTTTTTTATCTTTACATTGTAGTCACACTTTCATGTGTAGGATACACACATCTATGACTAAACTAATCAGTCAGTAAACATATATTTTTTTTTATATTATTTAGGTGGATCCGAAAAATTTAGGTGTTGGGCTCTATCAACATGATGTTCCTCCAAAAATGCTGGAAACCGGGTTAGATTGCACTGTGGAAAAAGTGGTCAGTTTGGTTGGAGTTGACATAAATACTGCGTCGCAAGCTATGCTAAGGTAAGTATTTATTTGAAGGAATGTGTTATTTTGTTATTATGTGCCATTTAGACATTTTTTATTTTAGGCGGATTGCCGGCCTAAATGATGGGAGAGCAAAGAAAATCCTAGCATACCGTCAAGACAGGGGCGGATTTGCTAGTAGAGCTGAAATATTGAAAGTGACTGGTATTGGGAAAATTACTTACCAGCAATGTGCTGGTTTTCTAAGGGTGCTTGGTGGTACTGAACCATTGGATTCTACAATTATACATCCAGAAAGTTACAATATAGCAAAATCGTTAGTATTTCTAATTTTATAATTCTTGTTTGCAATCGATACCAGTGTGCCAATATATGCATTTAAGTCAATTTATGCGTTTCTGAATTATTGTTCTAACCTTTTTAATCTCTATAAATCTGTGTTAAAGACATTAGACTTAAATATAACCTTCAGCAGCTTATACTTACAGAACTTTTAATATTTTAGTATCGCAAAAAAAATTGACGTTAATATAAAAGATCTGAATAAACCACACTTTCCTCAATTGGTGGAATCAAAGCTAAGTGGTTATGACATAAATAAAATGAGCAAGGACCTGGACGCAGATGTTAGTACTTTGGAACTTATAATCGGCGCATTGAAACAGAAAACAAATGAAGGGAACATAATTTCATTCTGTAGACCTGTGTACTCTATAAGCGTTCAGGGTGTGGATCAGTTACAGGAGGGGATGACACTCACGGGTAAATAAATTAATATTTACATTTTTATTGACGGCATTGACTCCGTGGTCTAGCGGTTTAGCACACCGCTAAACCGCTAGACCACGAGAGACCACCGAGTTCCTTCCGACCATTGCTTCCGATGGTTGCGAGTTCGATTCCTCGCACGGTATAAACGTTTGTATTCATGAGTATGAATATAAAAAAATACGAATTATTTATACCAGTTGTCTCGTACCCATAACACCAGCTCTGCTTACCGCGGGACTAAATGACGCTATGTTAATTGTCCTATAGGCTTATATTAAACTAGCCCTTACGCGCGACTCAGTCTGCTACTTTTAAAGATTAATAAATAGCCGCCCTTATAATATAATTTATTTCCATCCGTCTTTTTATCACAAGAACAAATATGGGCTATCTTATCTTTGAAAAAGCATGTGATGTTGCAGGCAACAGTTAGTTCTAGGAAAGAAAATATGGTATATATTCTTTTTTATAGGTATTGTACGTAACGTAGTTCCGTTCGGTTGTTTTGTGGACTGCGGAATAGGTGAGAATGGTCTGATACACCGAAGTAAACTGAGCGGCTGTCAAACTCCGAAACTGGGCGACCGTGTTTCAGTGACGGTGATTCCGTCAACGAAGCCAAAGAAAATACAACTGAAACTTGAAAAAATTTTAGACTGACTTACCAATCGGTAAAGCCATTGTATTGTGATAATTATTCTAACATTATGTGATAAGCGTGATTTAAATATTAATGTTACTTAAGTAAAATATTTTTTCTATAATTATTATATAATATTAGTGCCTAATAATAAAAAATACATAATAATGAATTATTCAGCCTCCATGATTGACACTTCGTGCTTAGGATTCAGACCGTATATGTGGAACACTGCCTTGTTCACAATGGCGTCGCAAATGCCAGAAGTTACTCTGAAATAATATTTAAATGTTTTTACTTGGTTTAGTTGATGGTATTAATATTTTTCTGCATCTATTGTTTTTTATATTTGTTCTTATGGATAAAAACCAAACATAATTCGACTACCTCAATGAATAAAGAAAAGATTTAGTTGATGGTATTAATATTTTTCAGGATGTATTGTTTTTTATATTTGTTCTTGTGGATAAAAAACAAACATAATTGGACTACCTCAATGAATAAAGAAAAGTATATTTTACAATGTACAAATTATTTACATTAATTGTCCTGCAAAATATCTGTTAGGATTTGTCTGTACATAGTCGTTCTTAATGGCAGGTCAGCCAGCACCAGTTTCAGATTACTAATTTCGTCATGATATATGGTTAAGATAAACTAGTACTTGACAACTTTTGAAGTGAGACGAAATCATAAAGTTATATTTGAAAAATATTGGAGTGGAGGAAATCACTGAATGTTTTTTAGTTTTAACCAACCAGCTGACGTTCACTAACCGCCAAAATACAACTATCACACCCATCTTGGAAGTATTCGACATGGAGGATATAATGGACGTAATTCTTCCTCGGCTATAATATGAAATTATAATGTATCTGGTCATAGTCGACGAAAGTATTGCTTGCTTTTATGAGTAAAGTGAAATCGGCAATAAAATTTAAAAATATACCTTCTGCTCAAACGTGGTTGTATATCTGCATTTATAATTTTTACTAGTTGTGAATATGTAGGTATCTCTTCTTTAGCGAAAAACTCTATTTGATTCCGAAACATCTTACTATGTAATGCATCCCTAGAAAGCAGTTGATAATAAAAATATTTATTTGTATTTGTGCAGATTTAACCATCGCCCATTCAACCATCGATTAGCATCAAAGAATATCTTTGCAATAATAATTGAATATCCTAGGGCTTTATTTCCTAAATCTTGATTTAAAATGATCGAAGTACGAAAATGGCATCTATGTGTAGCGAATATTTATACTAATAGTCGCCCAATAATCGAAATTCGACCGTAATTTATTTAAATTATGGTTATGTTTAATATTTTGTAAGATTATAAACAAATACTATTAAAGAAAACAATATTAATCTATTTTCCATGATATATGAATGTGTGTATCATATACATGGTAGTATATGTATTGTTTTTTTATTGAATTAATGCATCTTTTATGCAATATTAAAAAAAATAGCATTCTGTAAATCTACATTCATTCTCTATATAAAATATAAGTGTGCGAAATTTCATACTCCTTCCGTCCACAATTTTCGTAAAAAGGGGTACAGGGTTTTTCTTTCACGAATAATAAAATGATTATAGCCGGTACATCAACTACGATTTACTGCACAATTGGGCTACCCGAAACAGTGCTATTTTCGTAGAATGCTATTTTTGTCGGCAGAGTTTACGGTTAACAACATAATGAGCTACCTACTGCCAATTTCGCACCTTCGCATTTTTTGTAAATGATATAAAAAATTCAAACCACAAAATCCCGTCTATAACTCGTATGATGTCGTCCATGGTCATATTGTTACCGCTAGTAATCCTGTCTCCACTTCCATAATCATTTAAATCCGACGATAACAAGTCGTAAGGCGGCGTCTACAAGATAAAAGCGAAAAATAATTACAATTTTGAAACTGTTGCTAAAGTCACATGATGCCACTGAAAATATGTATGTACTTTAACAAAAAAACAAAAATAAGAACACCAAGAAGAGTACCTGAAATGAGACGAACTACTGAAGCCATGACATGTTAGTTCTCAGGAACAGCAGGTATTATAAGGTACCACGGAAATCGGTATCTTGTGATTTCTGCGGTGTCGTTTAAATCTAGACGATAGTTACCTCTTTCGTCAGCTTATTTGCAATTCCAATTACCTACACAAAAAAATAACTAGAACAATTTAAAACAAAAGAAATTAGATACCTGCTCCCACATTTGTTTTAACAACATCCTGGGGTAGCCATCACGTTGGCCTTTGGACGAAATTGACACCGACATGGCTAAATAAAATGGCTGTGGTTTCGCAATATCCAAAACATACGGCGGCGAATCATTAATATCCTGAAAATAATACATATATTGTTCAGATACCACTAGATAGCAAAGTCTCCGACTTTTGTGACAAAAATTCGACACGAGCTTTATGCACCAGAAAGAAATGTGAAATCAACTTTCTACCAGCAGCTACATGTTTACGAACCTAATCATCTAGCTATGAAATATTTATTATGAATTTTAGTCTTCATGTAATATTAATATATTGATCAAGTGTAAGTACTTGATAAATATATCAATTTGTAACAATATATTGGCTATACCTAATATAATTTAATACACCTTTGAATATATTTTGGGACTTCTTTGATCTACCTACGTTTGTCTAAAACTACATTGTAATTCTATATTATTCGTAAAAAGTAATCATTGAAATGAATGGCATTAGTGACGTAATTATTCTGGGATGGGTTTACTAACGGGATGAAATGTTCCATGTTCTGTGATAATGAATTCCTGATTACACTTCTCAATCTTATTCCTCCTGAGTAACTCATTTCTTTGGTATCGCTTCCGTTCTGTTAAATCCAATATTTCACACGCTGCTGTTGTTCTAAATAAATAAGGCAAATATTCTTTTACAATATGAAATAATGTTTTAATCTAGGTGATATGATACAAAACTTTTAACAATCATTATATTCAACTCTTCAGCTCGGATAAATGTCGTTAACAAGTCTCAGAAACTGCGGTAGTTTCTGTTTATATTTTTAAACGACTTCAAAGATTCTCGCTTGATCTGTATAATATAATATTAGGTATTTCTTAATTTTTTATTTGTGTCTACATTTTAATGATTCATGTTCAGTTCAACTTCAATGACATCCATGGCATTGTACAATTACAAAAACGCTTAATGTCACGATTATGTATATTTTAATATGTTGTTTGTTTGTATTATTTTAATTTCTACTTATTGTTGTACAAAGTTAATTAACTTTGTACAAAAATAAGTAGAAATTCTTACATTAGAACAACTTTTTAGCTATAACTGCATTGATAAGTACTTAAGGAATGAAGTTGTTGTTTTTATTATCAATATACTTTTTATTGCGTAATTGTAATTTAATTATTCTGTTTACTATAAATGATAAATGTAATATAATATATTTGTAAGTTAAACAAATTGTATTTATTTTATATCATACTGACGTGAACGTAGCGGGTTCTTGTAACGTGTATACAGTCATAGTAATCCATTCTGTGCACTTTGGCTGAATAACTCCCCAGCATGGAGTCATTACAATGTTCACTATATTTGCGATCCTCTCTCTGAAAAAATATTTTTATACGTTAGGGGCCAAATGAGCTTGCGATACACTGATGGTAAATGACTACCGCCGCCTATAATTCTCTACAACCCTTGGAGAATTCCAGGTTTCGGCCTTGTCAACTACAAGGTAGGTAGGTAGGGAAAGGAATTAGGAAAGTGAAAGGAGAAATGAGGATAGGCATCCGGAACCTCGTCTCAAAACTCATGCAAAACGCAATAACTGAACATCGACTTTAGGGTAATGTTTCACTAATGTGTTATGGTAAGCTACATTTAAATTTGTATTTTTATATTCCAATCAGTTGACAAACAAAAAATTAAGAACTGTTGTTTTTCTGAATATCATATTCAGCAACAGTTTTTATTATTCTGTTAGTAGTACTACTATTTTATATACGCATTACAAGTGTAACTGGAAGAGTACACAATTGTAAATCAGAAAGTTGCCTATAAAGATATAAAAAATATCATGTTTCAAGTTATCTAAATTATTAAGTAACTCACGGTAACCAAATAAATCGCATGACGTGTTCAGTATCGTTGCAAATTGCTATTATATCTCGAGACAAAGAGTGTGTCGGCATTATTGGTATCGTTATGTGTTCCATTGATAAATAAATCTGCAAATAAAAAAAATCTATAAGTAATGATGAAATGTTCATTCATATCATCATTAAACTAATGTACACGCGTCAGTACACGTCTGCATAAAAATATTAATAAACATGCAATTACCAAGTCATTTCTATATGCATTTCTTATAACTTTTTCCACATAATTTGGCATATCGAGTCTTGTCTCTATGCAATTTGGTAGACCACCTTGTCCTTTTACCAAGATTCTTACTGTGTCGTCTCCAAATGAACAGTAGAACGTTACCTGGTATGTTTTGATATTATTAATTAGGCAATATATGTATCTGTACAAATAAATTAAATTGAAGCTCTTTCATTATATGCATATGAACGTAGGTATATATATAATTAAAAAAAATTAGTCTGTTTATTTTTGCTAATCTCTGAAACGGCTGTACCGATTTTAACGGGAAGTACACTCTCAAATAAAATGTTATAAGAAATAACTAGGAACATATATTTTAGAAATTTTATTTATTTTAATAAAATTATGTTGAATTCCACGCGGCCGAAGTGTTGGGTAACAACTAAGTTTACCAAAAGGTAGGCTGTCAGCCTATTGTTGAAATTTTTGAAATGGCAAACAAGTTGTTTCTTGCCATTTCAGTTCCATAAAATAAAAACCTCTTCCAATAGGAAATATTTGTATATTTCTAACAAAAACGCTGGTAACCTGACCTCGTAATCGATCATTTCTGTGGGCATGAAAGCAAATGGTATCGCCAGTTTGCCGAGCGGTGGCACTTCAGCGAAGTACAGGAGGCATCGTATGACGGAGTCCGGAGATATCGTGTTTCCTCGCAAAAGGCGCCAAGTTGTAAACACAACCGTTGGATTGTATAGCCAGACGATCTAAAATTATTTAGTAAAACTTACTGGTTCTGTTGTGTGTTCTGGTCTGTTCTGTATACTTATCGTTTACTTGATTTACAGTAAATCTCTCATCTAAGTTGATAACACTTATTATAACACTGTAATGTTTGTTTCAGAGTTTCAAAAAGTTCTGACCATTTTAAAATAAGAATTCAAAAGTTTTATATCGTCACCGTGTAAAAAGAATACAGGATCTGAGCTATTTTCTATAGATTCAGTAGTTTCTGTTTAGATATGCAAAGTCACTTATTAACATTTCGTTCTCCTAATGTACATTATAACTGCTGTTTATTTTATATATATCTAATATTTTATTAGGCAAAAGGTAAAATAGTCACAGACAGCAAACAAAGTCCCAGATACATACGCGGAAATATAATATATTTATAAAAAGTTTAAACACACCCTAATCACTGGATCCAAGTTGTTGATGGGTACTCTGCCACAGTCCAATATCGCTAGATAGTCGTCTATACCAATAGGACGCCGGAGTGGGGTCAGAACACCCTTAGAGTTCAAATGCGCATACATATTCAGATAGAGATTAATAGTTCTCTGATTAGGTAGCGTCATCACATAACACAACACATTTTGCCCTTCGTTGGCGTAATTGAATTTTAAATATAGAATACCAGGATAATTGCTCTGTGAAAAACAATTAGTTCGTAAGAAGCCCTCATCTGCAATCTGCAATTTACAAATGGATAACCTCGCATTGTACATGTAGAGCTGAGGCTACTAAAGTACAGCTAGCTAAATTCATTCCAGAAGCTTTCTGATGTCTTCACACCTGGCTTCCAGGCTTATCAAAGCCAGTACATTCTATTCTAAGATTTGTGTAAGTAGAGAGGCCACTGCACGCACTCCAGGATACCCTGAGCGGTAAAGCAATTTCGACAAAGAGGATTATACGCCAAGTGTATACCTATGTGGAAACATTAATAAGATTTCATATAGGTTGATTATTTGGCATTTGACAAGCAAAGACATTGTTATTGTCTCTCGTTTTCTTTACTTCTACGATAAATCCGTGCCATAGTTTCTCGCTGTAATTAATTTACTTAAACACTGCAGTAAAAGTTGTAGCTCCTAAACGTCCGTTTCGGGAGCTACAATACCACCGATAGACATGCAGACACAAATACAAACATGCCGATCTTAATAACACTCCTCTTTTTATGTTAGGGGTTAAATATTGTTACCGTAACTATCCCGCTAAGTGGATACAATTCGACCAAAGATCTATGTGTGCACGTATGTCTCATCTCATACGTGGATATCCCAATCTGCACTTCGACCATCTCACAATTGCATATCTTCTCTCTGCGCAAATTCCATGGTAACGGCACATTGTACACACAGCCCATTATGAATATAAACTCTACAGACTCATTACGTAAACACAAGTCAGGAGCATAGATATTCACGTTCAACGGTTTATTTGGACGACAATCCAGTAAGGCTTTGTTTAATCTGCATTAAAAATAGATTATTTTGTTTTTAGTAAAGTCATCTTTCGTAATTATTAATTACTAACATTTATTATAAACGAAAATCAATTTGTCTGTTTTTAGCTTCACGCCATAAAATCCTTAGTAATCATCACGATATTTGTCATACGTATCATTTAGTAGAATATTGCTACTTATTCTCCCTATTCTCCATTAACCAATTTTTTTTAAATTATATTAGCTCTAAAATATTTCCATTTACGCAAATATATTTTTAAAGACTAATTAATTGTCACTTACGCATTAATATTGAAGATGTTCCAAACACAGTGATTGCTTAGTATAACGGGACACTTCACAGATATTGTACGTTTTACCTGCAATTGATTTAACGTCATTCTACGTAATTTAAATAAGAGCTTTTAGAACTTTCCCGAAACAATGTAACTATGTACTTGGGTTAGTTGTCCAGTACCTAACCATAACATAAACTCTGCAAACGAAGCAGACTAGATGTCGCTGAATGAGTTGTCCTGAGATATAATTAAGAGAAATATATATATATATATACATTATGTAGAAATCAAAATGTAGGTATACACACTGTATGTATTCACTTTCCTTAATTAGTCGCTACCAAAAGAAGCTCACATGAAATATATTTATGGACAAACCTTGATAGTGGGATATATACCATCGTACCAAATAGTACAAATAGTTTTATGTATGGGTTGTATCTCCTCTATTTCGTCATACTCTGTGCGGAACAATACGGTATATTTGATGTCTATTTGTCGAGGGCCAGCCCCGTCTGGAGTTATAGTCATAATAACTTCACAGTGGTTGGATGGTTTCAGACTATTCTGTTGTTGAAAAAATGCAAAATATATAAACATAGTATAGAATATTCAGAGATAAGTTTCTTAAAGAATTTTGATATTGTAAGGAAACTGGCATGGTAAATGCCTGGTGAACTTGTCACGGTGGACTAACTGATATGACTTCATGCTCATCTTATGATCCTCGACTAGTGACCCGCCAGCGTAAACTGTTAGCGTAGTCGGTTGCACTGAATGCACCATTCCATTATTATCCATTAAAAATAGCCGCGACTGTATTTTGTGAGTTCATAGTTCAAGGATATTTGTATTTATATTATGTGGGTAGATATAATTTCTGGGAATCGCCGGCACAGACAGACTTTATCCAAATCGGTCCATGCGATTAACCTTGAATACCGATACACAGTGAGAACAGTGTAGGCGATACATTTAAGTATTTAACATCAACCATTTTTTTTCTAATTTGCACAGTACACAATAGTATATATTATACCTACAGGGTTAGTCGTAAAGGATATTCGAAACCAAATGCCAAAGACCGTATTCCTGCTGCTGGACAACATTCCCAACGTGGCTTTTGGTTTAGTATACCCTTTACAAATAACCCTATACATAGGTATATGACAATATATTATTTCATAATAACAAACTACTTACAACAGCGGAATCTATCTCGAATTTATCGCCACTAAAATCATCTTCCATGCCATTTATTTGATGAAACAATCTGGATGTAAAAAAGCACGATCCATAGTTGTATAGCGTGATACTGAAAGGAGAGCTTTCGCCAACGACTATGTCATTCAAATTAATCGTTTTTGGTATAACCTGGAACATAAATAATTATTATTAACTAGAGACCCGCTTTGGTTTTTCACGGGTACATGCACTCTTCGATATTGATGTCTTGTATAAAATTGTAGCATCACTTTGCTCTATTGTCAACAATTTCCGTAGCAAATGCGATATAAAAATATATTATAATATTCACACACGTTGGGTTTCATTAAAGTTTTCATACGGATCCCTAACATGAAAAAATATTTTATCTAATCTATGTTCATTAGGGACAATGTAGGATTATAATGGTTAAAACTTTTTTTCAAATCTGTCGAATAGTACCGGAGCCTGTCCAATGCAAACAAACAATCAAGTCATTAAAATATTTACAAAGACAAGGCTACAAACTAACAATGTTAAGGCATAAGTACAGCAAATTTATAAGTAGAAAAATCAAGCTGACCCTTAAATCTGGCAGCTCCGAAAATCCTGTTATATGAATGAATATTTCATTAGGTTCGCCAACTGGTCTGCAAAATAAGTAAGGTACAGTCAACTTCATAAGAATTAGTTATTTACCATCAATAATATAAAGAAGTGTATTCGACTGCGTTAATGGTATACGCTGGCCGGGCAACACTAGAGCATTACGGATAACCATAAAGAGAGGTTAATTAGGTGATATATAATTGCAGTGGTATAATTTGTTAGTTGATAAAAAGAATCGATCAATGACTTAAGTTACCATCTAATGTCTTTATAAAAGTAATAATTTAGTAATTAGACATTAACTTACTTGTTATTAATCAAACAGATACATGAACAAGTTATTGTGGTTTCGTACACTTTATTTGGAATTTTTGGAAAAAACCACCAGTGATATCCAACTATTTCTTTTGGTGGGAGCACAATTGTACCACTGTTATCCGCTCCAAGCCAACATACATTGTTCAGGATTCTTATACTATAATATAATTTGAGATATAATAATGAATCAGGAATTAAATAAAATAACATTTCTATATACCAACCGAGTCACGTGACATTAAGTAGGTATTTTTTTAAGTGATTACTGCCTATTAGTACCCCCTAGGTACACCAGGGAAATAGTAAATGCAACTTTTAAGGACTCACTATGCGAAACAGTATAACACCTTACGCCAGTATTCTAAAGAAGTAATAGTTCTCGGTTTGAAAAAAGCCAGCCAAACCACGCGTGGTCATCTACCTACTCTACCACTTAAATACATTTTAAATCGGATAAGTAGTTTTAAGTTCATCCATTAAAAACAATTTTCAAATTTTTTTAATACTGGTAATCTTAATTCAGATAAAAAAGATTTTTATTCCATTATATTTTGAATTATAAAATAGTTACTGTAAACTCATCCTAGTTAGATTGCGCAAATAAGCTGTACAATAGTTGGTGCAGCCGGTAATTGTAGGTGGAAACTCATACATAGCGTGAGTGGAAGGATTGTATCCATGAGACATCACCTCTACTTGACTGGTCTCCGCGTTACCACACAAGCAGATTCGAGCCTGAGGAAATATAGGGCTTTAAAACATGCTCGCAGTGACGCAACTATATTATCAATTCTTCTCCTTTTAGGGTAGGTATTCCTTTTATATAAAAATGCCATTATAGTTTGTCAATTTCTTTTAGTAAATAATATAATAATTTTAGATTCGTATTGTGGTTACGACTCTCGAGCAAAGGGCCCGGCCGCCAGGTGTGGGTGATATTAAGCCCGTTTCGCCACCCACCCTATCGTTACGCCAGGTGTATTTAATTTCCTCACCGTAATGGCAATAGACAATAAGGTTTTATATTATATTACAGTCACTTCAATTATTAAGTGATTAAAGGCTTTATTTTTTTATTTATTACCTTAAGTACTTACTTTATGAACTTTGTTTATGATAAGATCCCAGGATTCATAGTAATCACCAAATGACTTCGGTTCCAGTGCCACAGATATAATTTGCCATCCTCTACTTTGTACAATACCGCACATGGGTAGCACTATAAAATTTCTGTAATATAAAAATAAATAGGTATATGGGATAGTAATAATTTAGCAAGCATTGGCATAATAATCTAGACGCTATGTTTTCGGTACTTTTTTTACGTATAATTAAAATCGATGATCACGTACATTTTACAGGTAATGAAAGTTTAGAAAGTTGGCAAATATTTACATAATCACACAACAAACCCTAGCCACACAAATAAAGCCATTGGATACATTTATGTAGATGTAGTTAATAAACTCATTGATTGCAACATAAAATTAAACGACGAATCTCTCGAATTAGACATAAACACCTATACAAATAAACATTGTAAATAAACTAGAAAAAAAAAACAAGAAATCAATTGAATTTCTTGCCAGTTCTTGATTGAATCTGCATAGGTACTGTAGGAAAAAAATAACAATATAAAAAAAATTACTAAGGTGCTAAAAAGTCTAAAAGGCTACAATAAATTATTTTTGAATTTGAATTTGATTCTTTGCTTACGTTGAGTGTGGTGCTTCGAATTTGAAATGCATTGGTATTTCCAATTTATTAGCTAACATGAAGTTGGTAAAAGTAGTTCTTCCGGGTACTGTAGGTGGTAAGATTATCTGTATTAAACACAATATGAGCTATGTATTTTATCAATGTTATTTGTCGCATGTGTACTAAAATCCTGTTAATATTATAAACGCGAAAGTTTGTGAGTATGGACTATTCCACGAAAGAACTACTGATTGGATTTTGATGACACTTTACAGTATATAACATAGCTTATGCATCAGAATAACATATAGTGTATATTTATTATTGACATTTAACGCGGGTGAAACCGCGGCGCGAACACAGTACAATATAAATGTAAGTTATACAAATTCTATATTTTTTCTTACAATAGCGATACTGAAGTTATTTAAGAACCCTTCACTATATTCAAAGAAATCCAACGAAAGCATGCGATATGTACTTATATTATTAATGTGATCAAACCTTCAAAAAGATTTTCCCGGATTAGTATTCCTAATACGGGAAAATCATTTTGGATTGAGGTTATTTCAATACTTTAATATTTCTTCCAATACCTGTAAATGAACAGGTATACAGAAAGGTTCCTACTCCCTGAACTCTTACATTATTCTGTCACTGCACATTAGAAGATATCTGCCTGCATATTAGCAATTTTTAGAACCTTCCTGAAAGGAAATTTATCTCGGTATCGTTCTCAGACCTGTATTTCTGAATATAAATTAACGGTTATGTATTGTATATTATATTTCAAATACTGTATATTACTCTGTAGGTATGTAAGTATTTAACCTCAGATGAGCATTCCCAATCTGTTGTCCATTCGGTGCAGGGTGGCCATGTATTACCGATACACGGTATGCGGAACCATGTATGTTTCAGCTTAATAACATCTGAATGTTCACCATCAAACCTTTTATACTGAAAATCTCCACACATCAAGTATCCGTATACTTCGTTTTCCATTTTCGGCCTACGTATGAAAAAATACTAAGTATAATATTTATCTCTAAACAAAATGCGTACGGCTACCATCGCACTACTCGCATAGACAGGGAATTTGTTCCCACACGTTGGAACTTAAGTGGTCTCCAGTTTTAGTAAGCTTTCTTCTTTTTAACGATCATAATGTGTAAATAAACCCTAGAAAATTAAGCCTCGAACACTTTACTTCCGATGGTCGCTTGTTCGATTCCGCACACGGTAACAATATGTGTATACATGAGTATGATTGTTTGTATTGGTCTGAGTGTTTTCTTTGTATATTGTCTATGTATTAACAGAAGTGTATCTATCAGTTGCCTAGTACCCATAACACAAGCTCTGCTTAGTTTGGAACTAAATGACGCTGTGAATTGCCTAGGGATATTATTATTATTTCTGCTTTAGACAGTCGTACTTATTATTATTTTATGTAGATACTTGCTCTTACCTAAATCTGATAGTAAAAAGTCGAGACTCATTAGGCGGAATTATGGAGTCAACTGGATCTATCAAAAATATATTATCTGGGTCTGGAATCAATAAGTTTTAAAAGAAAAATATATGCATTAACATATTATAGCCATAACTTTAAACTAGTGCTTCTCAACGTGGAGCCCACGCCCCATAGGGGGGCAATTCGAAAATGATTCGACACGACTTTAACCCTTTCGCTCCGGGCTTTTAAATGTAATGCTAGATTTCGGTGCCAAAAATGAAAAAGGTAAATTCTTAAATAATTGTTTTATCTCTTTTAGTTTTTTCCTAATTATTTCTTAATCTAATTTAAGTTTCTTAAGTGAACAATTCAACTTTTAATATTAAAAATTATGTATGTTATATAAGAATTTCAGAAAGACTAAGATGAATGGCACAAAATAGATTGGGAAACAGTAATTCAGACTCACCTGGTACCCATTGTATATAACCTTCCTCCTGTTCATGATTGGTCACGCATAATGTTTGAGATATATTTAAAGTTATATCCGATGCACTGCCCATACCGAAATCGAGATACCTCTCAAAAACAGAAGCAGAGGGTATATAGTTTAAACGTGTGAGACTATTCTCCATAAGATGTGCATAACGGCATTTACGTTTCCAATTCATCTCAAATACGTGGTCATGGATGTTGTATAATGGATTATCAGGTAACACTACTGTGGCTAACACATTCAAGAATAGTGGCTCCTAGAAACAATACTATATACTAGTACATAAGATAAGATTATATATTATTATATTAGATACATAAGATTTCTTGTGCTGCCTTTCGTACTTGTCACAGCTGTTTATATTTATAACTCTCCTTTTTTGGCTGTCACATAGTAATTTAGAATAATAGATATAGAAATTATTGGATTATCAAAAATATTACGGAGTACCTCTAAAGTGTATTTATTGCATATATGTACTGGTATAAGTTAAATATACTCATAAAGGTTTTAACTGTGCTGTATTATAGATAGAGACACGCTTGTTGACGAGAAACGAGATGTATCTCATGAGATATTTTGTCTGTGACTGCCAAATTAGCTTCGCAATCCACCGCGATTTCAATATTTTTTTACCAATTAACACTATGTATTGGTTTTAGACTTGAATCCCAAAAGATAATTAGAATAGTAATGTATACCTGATTTAACACCAAACAAACTAACTCCGCTATATAAATCCCTAGAGCAGTGCCAATAAACAGTACCGTGGTCGTAATGGTTTCAAATGCTCTGATGAGTCCACAGTTGCCTGTAGATACCTAAATATAACCAAGATTATTTAAAAAACTAAGAAATTCATTTCTGTAACATGTTAAAGAGAAAATACAAATCATAAACATTAATGAAAACACATGGATGAAAATGTTAGGACACTTAGGCACGATGAACCATGGAAAGAAAGAAAGGGGAAGGGAAGACGGAGATATAGTTATATAAAGCAATGAGAACGCGGCTATTACGAATGAATAAAGTAATTCAAGGAGATAAAAGGAAAAAAATCGTACTTGAAAATATCCTTGGCCACTTGTCGGTAAAAGCCATTGATAGGTAGTGTCTACAGCAGATTTGTTTACAATCTTAACAACTGTCCGTCTATATTCAGAAACGTTCTTGCATATTCTGAACATCAACTTTTTTTTATTCAAAGATACTTTTGGTCCTGAATGAGTTTTTATACATTTAAAGAGAATTTCTATGGAAAAAATGTTTGAACGCACACGTTATGACGTTATCTAATACGTATAATAATAATGCCGTGATTAGGTGACGAAAAAACTGACTTCAATAACTATATTGATTAAGATCTGACTAGTATTTTTTGAGTTATCCTTAATAACACAAACTGCCGTTCAAATCTTATTCAAATTTATATATAACCACATAAGAGAGATAGCTTTCAAATAAAAAAGTATTATCTAAATCACGTAGATTGTTCTGAGAATAAAAATACAGTCAATTTGAGAACCTCCTCTTTTTTATGAGGTCAAATAAAAATTTCGTTGTAGTGATTGGCATGTAAAGATGCTGAATAAATATTTCTGTGTATCATACACAATAATACTACGATGTTCTGATTTGAAATAATGATGAATTTTATTAGTAGCTATTTAATTTACGTCATGCATACCTACCGTAACACTTCCCAGTTACAGTCAATCTATAAGTATTTCCTCCGGTATCATCTATGATATAGTACTCAGTAAAAGATTGTCCTGTAATGTTGGGTCTGAATAAGACTCTCACTTTAGCACATTCAGATGGTTTAATTGGTGTCGACGTTATAGATAATTTAAATACGTGATCAATGCTATTTGAAATATACATGAGTGATACACGATATGTAAGGATTTTCTGGAAAGAATAAAAACGATATGTCGGGCATTTTGAGCTGTGCGTAGTCCTTCACCTCGTAACCACCTCTAAGGTGGAGGCTGTGATTCGTAGCTGCTGAATCAATTTATACTTCTGAATGCTTCGATGAAAACACGAATTCTTCGGTGAAGTTATCAAACTAAACATAAGAGGAGGCGATAGCTTCGCTACCCTGTCATATGGGACTCAAACATACCTACCAAGCGAAATAAAGGCGTGTCAGGTTGTACGTTGACCACGACGCGACGTCGAAGCCATTCTCAACTGGTAAGAGTCATGACAGTCTATTTTTTAATATATTTATGTACTTATATCAATTTAAACAATATATACCACAAAACCACTATGATAGAACAATAGATAACAAACTTACATCGGATTTATTTTCAACTGAAATATATTTTTCAACTACGGTATCCACAGGGACACATCCAAAGTCTACCGTCTTTACCGACAATACACTTTCATCAGAAAAGTTCTGCATTTCTAATGTGATTAATACTTTTGTTGTTCAGTTTAAATACCTAGGTAGATATTTCGTTACTATAATTATATTACATTAAATAGATATGCCTAATAGGTATACCTAATCACCATAATATAATAAGTATAGTTCAGCGATCATAATTCTCTATTATGACATACGTACTATATGTAGGTACTGACGTTTTTTTAAGCGCCAATATTTTTTAATGGCTATATCTTTGAATGAGGTTACAAGCATTTTCTACCCACTGCTTATAAAGGATATTCTCAAATATTTCTTTTCTGACTATACGTTATTTTAATTAATCAAGAGGGTGTAGGTATTATGATACTGATTACGATTATAATACTGATTTTAGATCCAAAACTGCCCACTGTCAACAAAATAATTTATATGATGGTCGTAATCGTAATCCGTGGCGTGACGAGTTCCGTGGTTTTCAGCTAAGTGTCCTTTTAAAAACTGACGGGGAGTCATTTATTAAAAGAACACTTGATAAAATACTTGCACTAAATTCTCTTTGGTTGTTTCTACAACCCCATCGAGAACACAACAGAATTCTTTATTTGAAATATCTATATAGGTATATACCTAAATAAAATTGGAGTGACTGTTTGTAATATAGAAATAACCGTTTTTTATTACATACATATGAATATAAATTTAATAATTTTGTGTATGTACCGTACATACACCAAAATAACATTTTTTACAATTTTTGTCTGTCTGTTTGTTCTGGCTAATCTCTGAAATGGCAGATGGTTTATGTAATAAAAAGTAACTTAGGCTACTTTTATATTAGAAAAATAAAGTTAAATTTCACGCGGACGAAGTCGCGGGAACAGCTAGTATCAAATAAAATACTAAGAAGATTTATTACCATTATTTTTGTTGGAGTTTCACCTATTCTATTTATAGTAGGAGAATATTATGTTCCTTGATAGTAAGTAGGTCTACGAAAACCTACCGTTGTCTAAAAATGATATCTGTATTTTAAAAAGTCTTGTTTAGTAAATAATATAAAAAATGATTAGGTTAATACATTTTTTTAATAATTGAATTATAGAATTTAATTTCAATTATTAAAAAATGTATTAATTTTTTTTATTCAGCTGTCATTTAAACTGTCAATTGCAACGATTGACATTTCTGACATTAAATTTTGAGGTTTTTATTATTTATCTGTATCTACCAGTTGGTTTCTTGTTCTTGCGAAATAATTGTCTTTTTTCTACTACTTTGAGAATTTAATGTTTAAAATGAGTGTTAGTGTATATATATAATTAAACTTGCATATAGTTCATATGGAAAATCGTTTTTAATATTAAGTGGTTTCCTCAATGTAAAATTAACGCCACTCACATTCACAGCATCTTCATGTTTTTAACTTCCTGCATGAGATGATAGACGCATGTCCTAGAGATTTTAATGTATTAAAAACAACTAGAAATCGGCAATGGATTCAGGAACGGAATGGCTTTGTGAAATACTACGCAATGTGCAGCTGGAACAGTTTTATTTACCAATTAGAGACCAGTTGCAGGTAAATAATATTAATGACTTTAATTGTAATGTTTTCTAATTTAGTCAAGCTTCATAGAACTGTATTATTTTCTAGATAACAAGGCTGGCGCACTTCGATTATGTTCATGCAGATGATTTAGAGAGAATTGGTATCAGTAAACCAGGTATCCGCAGACTGTTTGATGCAGTTAGAAAAAAGAAATTGTTATTATGGAATCGAAAATTTTGGAATAAGCTGTTCGGTTCATCTTCAAGTTCAGTTTCTAGAGAAAAAACAGACTTACCTGTGAAACCAATACAGCAGACTGAGCAACGAACAACCTGTATAATCTTGGAAAAGGATATTATGTATGTAAATTTCTTGCAATAAATAAATAATGCTTTATATTTAATTTATGCCATGTATAAATACTAAGGCTGGATTAAAAAAATATATGCTGTAAAATTTTATGAACATCTGGTGGGATAACTCAGATTACATGTACAATAGAATCATTTTAATTTAGTAAATTTATTTTTATATATTGACCCAAATAAATATTGATCCTGGGATCACATCTATATAAAGCAACATGTCTTGTGCTAAAAAGAAATACCTATGTAATTATTTTTTTCAGTCTGCATAATGAATTAGGAAATGGATCATTTGGAGTTGTTAAAAAAGGAGAGTGGAAAGTATCTAATCAGCCTGCACAGACAATACCTGTTGCTGTTAAAGTATTGAAAGCTGATGCTTTCTCCCAACCTGGGATCTATGATGACTTTCGGCGAGAGGTAGAAGCAATGCACAGTTTGAACCATCCCAACCTTATCAAACTTCATGGAGTGGTGTTTCATCCCTTGATGATGGTGTGTGAACTCGCTCCAATGGGTGCCTTATTGGATTACATTAGAAGTCAAAATGGCAAAGTTTCCTTGAATTATATATCAAAATGGTCAAGCCAAGTAGCAGCAGGTATGGCCCATTTGGAAAACAACAGGTTTTTACATAGAGACTTGGCATGTAGAAATATTCTCCTCTCCACATTAGAATTGGTAAGTACAGTTATTATTTGTCAAATAATAATTTAGAATCTTATTTCATTGAAAATATTAAATTGAATTGTATGTCAGAGTAGAAGTGAAAAGTCCACTCACTAGATATTTCCCATGCGAAACAATGTATTGTAAAACTTTTTGCGTAATTAAAATTGTTTCAATAGCTTCATAAATTGATTGTTAATCTACAAATTATACAATGTTATTCACTGAATTAATTACTTTTTGTTTTATATAGTATGGCATGTGCTGCTGGTTCTAAGGACTAATATATTATACCTCTATACTATAGTAATTTCATTGTCATAATATTCCAATTTCTCAACATTAATGACAAAGATAAACATGCTAATATACCACCTGATTGAACATGGCAGTCATCATATATCACTGGATAACATGATTTGTCTATTTCTTGTTTATTTTATACCCTTGTTTTCCACAAGACTGTTAAATCTACTAATCACCTTCATACTCATAAATACTACTCATAATACAACAGATTTACACTTATTTAGTTACTCAACCATTACTCAACTTTTGGATGCTTTAATATTTTGACACTAATGAATTAGTGCTAGTTGTTAGTACATAAATGCTCCAATCGATTTTTAGTAGCTATTATGATTAGTATTCTACATCTTACATATGTTGCTTTTTAAAACAGGTTAAAATAGGCGATTTTGGTCTAATGCGAGCACTGCCAGACGCAGATGACTGCTACGTAATGAGTGAGAGGCGACGCGTGCCGTTTCCATGGTGCGCGCCTGAGTCGCTTCGTTCGCGCCAGTTTTCACACGCTTCCGATGTATGGATGTTTGCCGTAGCGCTGTGGGAAATGTATACATTTGGTGAAGAGCCTTGGATAGGTTAGTATAAAATTGAATCAATTCATATTCATGAAGTTGTAACATCACTTTCCTCTGTAAACAAAAACCATAACACACTAATTGAGGTATAAAGGTAGGTAATAAAATACTTGAATGAGTTAAAATTCATATTAATAATTATAAAAGAACAAGTTCTTTCTTATGAATATTGTTCTCATACATTATATTTATTTTCGCAATTGAGACAATGCTACTCCACAAAATTGACTTAGGTACCAATTGCTAAGTCCAAAAACCTGTATAACTATTTTTATGTAATTGGCATGACATACCAGACGGCCCACCTGATCATGTCTCTTATTCGATTATTTTACTGCCTTATCTCACCCTGCAACAATGTTTATGTCTAATAACTAAGCTGGCTAGCGACTGAAATAGAAAAAAAATGTTATTACAAAAATATTAGGAACAATGCGTTCAGAATTTATGCATGTTTTTATTTAACTCTGTACCTACTCTATTCTTAGTGCCCCTTTTTATTATAATTAGTTTCTATAGTTACCAACTTACAGTCAAGTTTTCAATATCGATCAATTCAATTCAAACAATTTTGGTATTGTTATTTTTAAACGTAATCAAGATTAAACCAAATTAAGTAATCGATTACAATGACCATTCTTTCATTTAATGTACACATTTGAATAACTATAAATAACAATGTCATTGAATTAATACATTGCTACAGTATTAAAACTGGAAAATAGCGCATCAAACTTCGGTCATTTAGGTAAATTAAGCCAATTTCAAGTATTTAAACATAGATATTTAAGAATGAGTAATGATATTATACTCGTATGTCACATAAAGAATCCTATACATAAAGTTGACAGGTGTGGACGAAACTTATCACGATTTGTCTTTTATTTACTTTTAATGTACTGGGAGCGGCAAGTACGCTGATTACTCAACTATCCAACATAGAAATTTTCAATTGTCGATGCGCCACTATTTTGATTTACGTTTATGGCGATAAGTTTAAATATTTATTTATAGTTGATTAATATTAAGTTGATAATTATTAATGTATAGGTGGTCTAGCGATTTAGCACACTGCTTTACTGCATTTAGAAGCGAGTTCGATCCTCGCACGGTGCAAACAATTGTATTCATGAGTGTGATTGTTTGTATGGGTGTTTTATATGTAAATATTTATGTATTAAAACAAATAATGTAGTTTCTATCTGTTGTCTAGAACCCATAATGCAAGCTCTCATTAGATAAATTGGGCCTAGATGACATTGTGTGAATTGTCTTCGGTTATTATTATTTACTATTACTATCGCCACTTCTATGGCATTTTTGAATTAACTGATTACCGGACCGTGGAGCCATGTTACAGCACAGAAAATGCACAGATATACATATTTTCAGATTAATAAAATAGACAAAGAACCAAGAATTTTCTTTGCCTATTTTTTTATAAATTATTTACTCCATTTCAGTCGTGTAGTAACTTCTGCCGTTAAAATTATTATTTTTTTGAAATTTATAGCCGCTTCAATTTACGGTCATTAAATTTATATACATGAATATATACGCTTGTTGTTAATTGTGTTTAACATATAATTAGATACACGATGGAAAAAGAGTATCTTTTATTTTTAATAATTTAAATGTAATACTTTGCTAGTTTGTTTTACTTTAACACAATCGAAGGTCATGAAATTGGATATGGTATAATTTTTTAAGTCTAATTTATAGGTCATCCATTAATGGCTATAAATCAAGTTTCACTTGCACATATTTAACTTGTCTTCCTATTTGTTATTTAATTACGATCCTGGCCTCCTTCAGGTTTGAATGGATCGGAAATACTCCGATTAATCGTGCGTGATGGTCAACGGTTAGCGGCTCCGAATGCGTGCCCACCAGATGTCTATATGTTAATGATGCAATGCTGGGATCTAATACCGAAGGAACGGCCAACATTTGCGGGCATACTGCGGTATATGGAGACAAATAAATTTGAAACTGCTATCGCTGCTCTTAGGTATAAATTTATATCTAACATACATACACATAAAATACTTAATCCATGACTACTTTAACTCAAAAGAAATGCAGAATATACTAATAGTTGCTTTGTCTATTTTAATTAAAACGATTAGTTTGTACTTGTTTAAAAGTACATTAATAATTTTCAAGTGGCACCGTCATAAAGAAAAACGCTGTTTGGGTCAATGGTTGGACTATATGAGTTAGTAGACTTTGATAAATATTTAACAAGTAAAAACAGATCAAGCAAATAAGAGACCTGAGTTTATAACTAAAAAAATCTATATTCATCCATACTTCGGACTGACACCGTCGACGTAAACAAAGTCAACAAATTAAATTAAGCAGAAAGACAGCTATAGGCTTGCCACTATGTAGTCTAATATACACACAAAAATATAGAAATGGTATATGCGTTCATCCATAATTTACAATGCTTCTGTCTACCCCATCTAGGATAACTTTGTAAAGGTGTATATTATTACTCGGATTAGTATCTAAGAATATATTTCATAAAAATACTCTTGCAGCTACAAAAGACAAGGTCAAATGACAATAGAAGCCGGCGATGCAATAATTCTCATAGACAAAAGGCCCGAATTACATTGGTGGAAAGGACAGAATCAACGGACACTTGATGTGGGGCTCTTCCCGAGGTATACATACACTTAGATATATTTTCAGAAGAAACTGATTAAGAAAATACATAAAAAATAAAATCTTCTCCTTCAGTTTTTTTGCTAGTTCTTCTCAACTGAAATAGCTAAACAATTTTCTTTCTTTCTTTCTAAACTAATTGCACATGAAGAGAATGATAAAATATTATGACATATATATGTCAATGTCTTATATGCCTTTTAATTATTATACTGCTTCCAGTGCCAGTAATAATTTCTTTTTTCAGTACATTGGTGACGACTGCTAAAAATAAACATGTTCCAAGTGTAACTGCAAAGAAGTCACAAACGTTATCACCGGTTCGAAAAGGTAAAGTTGACTAATTAATGTTAATTACCTATATTAACCATTATAATGCTCAGCATACAGGTGTTACATTCTTATATCATCTGTAGGCGATATTTAGAGCCAACTTGTGAGTACAATTGATTGTGACTTAGTTATTTACGTTGCTTTTTTATATTGTTAATTTAATTAGAAAAGTGTATATGAATGTGTGACAAGGACTTATAACAGAGAGGAGTATGTACGAGGAACTTAAAATGCACAAATAATAGTTACGAAGGCACCGATTGTCTTATTATGTGTATGCCATACATAGAAGTTATCTTGTAAAAGACTTAAATAGGAACGAAGTCAATTAAAATATAGTATCACTTGTTGAATTATATACATTAAAAGTGTAATAATAATATATTTTATTGACACCAATTTACGTAGTTACAGTTATTCTTCTTGTAAACTGTTACATTTTTGTTAAATGCGCATCTTGCAGAGAATTTACTAGTAGTATCTAAACTAGGCTGACCCTGTATCATAGTTACCATTTCATCCAGCAACAATAAGTAAAAATTAAAATGTTGCAATTGCGTGGGTAGATTTACATTTCAACTTAGTGCAAAATAAGACTGAATTGCGTTAGGATCAATCCATTCACAGTACGCATTGGAATCACTGGAAACAGAAATATATTCTAAATAGAAAAAACGCAAAGCATACTGAAGTTGAACAATTCATACTATCTATGTAGTATTTATTGTTAAATTCCAGCTTTCACATTTTATACATTTCACCGAAATACCCGATTAAGACAAAGTGCCTTAATCGGATTTTAACACGAATAAGATAGTGGTGAACAATCGTTATCCAATCCAGGACGATTGTTAGAATATACATTATCTTACCTTTGTCTTCTCGTGATCTCGGTTAGTCAATTGGCATAGCTAATTGCGGTATGGATTTGCGCTGATCATATTAGAATACTCGTTATCATTCTAGAAAGTTCTGTTTTGTCATCAAGATTTTGAAATTGTATATATAATGCTTGTTTGTAAATATTTATTAGGAAATTATCTCCACTCCCCAGAAATATCAAATCATAAATACGCCGATAGGCTAGTTAGTGGAACTTGATTCAAATGTATAAATAAATATCAATATTGAACGTTATCGTTCTTTCTTTTTTAATTTTTACAATAAAATAAACGGAATTCGTTTTCATCTTCTGATGGGATAGATCCATACTATCATATTAATATAAGACATACGAAAGTCTATATGTTTACCTGATTATTTGTTACCTTTTCGCGACTAATCGGTATTCGAATCTCAAACAAATTTGACATGATAAATTTTATCAAAAATAAAATCAGACGTAGTCGGTGGTAACAACTAGTATCTTATATTAACGAATAATATGACCCTCTAGTATTATATAAAGTCGTCACACATTTAAAGTATTCTTCACAACGATGTGCGTGTACCATATCCGATTATGGTAGGCGTTGTCGTCACGTCATGCTGTATGGATTTTGTTTTCGTTCATGAAAGTGAAATTAGCATCGCGTTTATTAAAATATTAAAGCGTACAATGACGCTATTGGGTATCAGTGAAACGTAAGTTTTTATTGTTCGATTGTATAATACTGGCAAATTATACTCGGCTGCGTAAAAGATTGAAATATCGTATTTTGAACTACTACATAAATTACTTATATCTCCATGGAACTTAATCTCGTTCATGTAAGAATTATACGTCGTTTTCTAGCGTTTATATTACTGTAGTATATAATTCTGAGAATATAAATCAACATATAGGTTATATGTTGATTTATATTCTCAGAATTTTCAATTGTTGGCTGTTTTGGTATTCTATTTTATCTCATTGCCTCCTACAATAAAGTCATATTACCTGTCATGATTTGCCTTAGTGCTTCGTGGCCTATTGGTTTACAACTCGGACTCATACGTGCGGTCGTGAGCTGAAATCTGGCCAACACCGAAAAATAAGATATATGGTTCAATTTATATATCTGTCTATCTGTCTGGTGAAGGAAATACTGAACACAACAAACCAAATTAACTCGTGAAATGATGGTAGGCTCGCCACCTGCCTCGTTGGAATCAGATATACACAGCTAAATGTGCTCATATGTGTTAATAGGTGCATTCAGCTTAACGTCCAAAATTCACACAATTTGACAATGCATCTGACGGCCCCATCAGAGGATATAACAGTCTTGACCGTGTATTATATATCATTAGCCGGTAGAGCAAATATATATACTTATTAAACATACACCAGTTGTTTGAGTTTAGTTAAGTCATTCAATAACAAATTTTCGTTGTAATGTTTACTATAATTTTCTGGTGATTACGTAACAAACAGATTGTTTATCTGTCTCTGACATCGATTTTAAAAATAGTTGATTTGTATTCAATTTTTATTTTTGGCATCTCTAGCTGATTTGCGACTTATAACGACAGTTCAATCCTTATAATTTTGTAGTGGATGTCGAATATATGTATATTTTATGGCCTCGCGATGCCCGAGGTTCGTCGGATTTGATTGAGGATTCCTCGCTTGATACAAACATTCGAATTTATAACTATTATTGGCCTGGGATTTTTCTATATGCATATCTATATGCGTATATATTAACAAAAAAATAACTATTTCTACCAGATGTTTAGTACCCATAGCTTGAACCTCAGGTTAATTGGGACTAAAGGGTTCTGTGGGAATTATTGTTCCGAGTTATTATCATCTATATTAACGCCAGTTTCCTTTTGTTACATTTACCTCAGTTCGTTGCTTCAGCCACTCAAAACTTGCTTATTTTGTCTATGTCTATAATGACATTAAGGATAACGATATCAGTCTAGAATACACTGATATCCTGTTTAGCAGAGGTAGTCAGTTTGCGATTTATTAAAAATTGTTCAATATTTCTCTGACGTTTTGTAAAAGTCATAGATAATTTATATTATTGTTTGCGTTTATTTAAATATCGGACTAAACTGATTTCGTTGATAACAATGAGTGCAGTTAACGGAAGTTCCGTCTCTACTGGTATGACTTAATAGCGTTATTAATGAGTAATCGCAAGTATAGTCGATATTGCGTATTGTGACTAATTAAATTATACTATTGGTTGCGTACTAAGTAATGCAGTAACGACAAAACGTCGCACCTTCTTAGATAACAACCATTGGAATCCATAACCGAAATGTGAGGCAACGTGACGCATTTTGTATACTAAATAAAAATATATAAATCTATCTAAATTTATAAATGTTTAAATTTAGATTATTTTCTAATAAAAATAATCTAAATTTTAGCTTTATTTATCTTTGTACAGCAATTTACATAACAAATATCTAACAGTGTCAGATCTATCACCATCGACCGCTACATCGAACGGTTCAGAGGATCTGTACCGCAAGCGTCGCACCATCGAGTCGACGCAACCGCCGACCACGCGTGCCAACAACACCGGCAGCAAACATTTCAACTACAATAAACTAGTCAACGATAGAACTATCAAGTCTGCAGAGAGGGTGTCTCGCTCCACTAGAGATAACTATTCAAAAAGTTATAATCGAGGTATGTATCGCAATGAAATCGTTTCATCCTGTACAAGGAAGACAGAGCTACGTTGAAATGTACGTTGTATGTTGAATTATAATATGTTTTAACTTTAAAAAATGACAATACTCCTTTGCTTTGTTCCTATCATATAGTAGTTTCTATCCGAATCTATTATATTCTTTTCTCTTTGAAGTTTTTTATTAAATTGAAAGATATAATACAGGATAAGAGTTAAAATGTAAGTTTGTATGAGATTTAGTTTTTATATTATATAGATCGGAACCGATATTCCAAAAGAGAGAGTCTTTCTCTCTTTCGCGAATTTTGTTATCTCAGAATTTTTCTGTCTTTTCAAAGATAATAAAGTGTAAAAAATATGTCCTTTTACGAAGGAATAAGATAAGGATTTTGTATATTAAATGAATAAGAATGTATGTTGCAGTTCCAGTAAAAGAAGACCTGTTAATCGATTTGGATTTACCACCGTCAACTCGACTTAGCACGCCGACAAAGAAACTTACTATGAACAATGTGTCTATACTTGATGAGCCAATTGATGTGCCAGAAGTAGGTGAGTACACTATATATATAGTAACCATTAAAAAATAAAAAGAAAACGTGTCAACAGTAAGTGAATTATCACAAATTCTCAGGATAATAATTACCCAATACTAATTATACATTAAAACATTGTATTATTGTTTTTAGGCCAAGATTCAGATTGGAGTGAGCAGAGTATTGAAAGTTTGCCGTCATATACTACGAATTCTCAAAATGCCCAAAATTATACGAATCTCTATGGTGCTAGGTCTTTAGATAATTTAACAATACCAAATAATGCTCCGTCGGTCAATGCTCAGCATGATCCGTTCGATACGTCACAATTCTGGCCGACCTCAAGCCAAGGAAGTACGAGGTCGAATTATGATATTAATTTTACTCAACAGAATCATGTTGATACAAATAGGTATTCTACGAACAATGCAGCTTCTACTAGTACTGATATTAGTCAATTATACAATAATATGGCAGCTGCGAGCACAAGTAGCAGTGTTTATGGCGCAGTACCAGCCACAACTTATGCAAATGCAAATTCCGATTCTACGGAACGAAATATTAATAAACTAAATGTTATGTCACTAGCTAACATGTCACTGGATGACAGAATCTCGGAGTCATTGAATCTTAGGTCGAAGAATACAAATAATGAAAATATATATTCAAATAGTAGTGTCTACGGCGATCCGTCCACATCGGCAGAGGTTGCAAGCAACGGCGCAAATGAAAGCAAATATAGTGACATTCCCATTTATAACAATTTTGATATGAATCCCGCCCAACAACAGTTTCTATTGGAAACTAAGGATTACTACACAAAATTTTCTACAACCTCCAATGTAAGAACGATGAACGACTACGAGAAAAATATTTACATACCAAAATTCGAAGACGAGGGGGAGAAATTGCAAAATTTCAGTGACTCGATGCACAATTCAAAAAATTACTCAGCTCTCAAATATCAGAATGTAGATTATAATAATTATTCGACGTATGGTAGTAATTACAGTGCGAACGGTTCCGCGGCACGCATGCAAGCGACGTACGATGAAGTGAACGATACAGCTAGTAGCTTTTACAGTGAAATTAGCGAAGCAAGTAATCATGAGCGTTACGGAAGTACGCACGCCACATATGCAAACGCCGGTCTCTATGACGAAGTGTATGAAGATCCCATCCCGCGGCCGCATCGCCCTGCCCCACCATGTCCCTCCAAACCTAAATAGTGTTCCAATCTCATAATAATTATTAGTCATTGACATATTATATACTGACGTATTAGATATGACACTGTATACTGAAGTATCAAGATGCTCCATACGTGGGGAATCAGACGAAAGTTATACTTCTTCATTCGTTTATTTTACATTAACTAGTCAAAATGACTACGCCTTGTTTGATATTAAGTAGGCAATGTGGTCCAAATATATTATTCCCTCACTTGAGATTGTTATCATATACACATGATGACCAAAGCGTTCATGAGATGTCAAGTGCTGTCCTGGGAAATTACTTTTAACACCAGCAGACATCTTTTCACGCCCTATTAAAATATAAAATAAGTATACTCTACTGAGTTCTGATAACTGACTAAAGTGTATTAATAAATAGCACTGGAATTAACATTGGTCTACTATAATATGTTCCTACATACAATACCTCAATAGTAATCAGTCATTAGGTACCCAAACATTTATGATTGATATTGTCATTGTGCCTTTATATTATTCATAAGTTTTATGAATTATTCTTAAAATATATATACGATGTTTGCATTATGCACGCCATACTGCATGGAATGTAGTTAAATCTTTTTAACACAAGCAGCTCAAATTAGCTTGGATGTTCAATTTGAATACAATTTAAGAAAGGTATCTGTTAACTCTGCTATACACAACTTATTAATTAATATAATACTAAACTTTCTACAAACCCAATTCACTATTGCAGTATTTTGTAAATTACTTTCAAATTAAGCAAGTAGTTAGAAAGAAGAAAGACAAAACAGTTCAAAAGCGTGCTAAAATAAGTTTATTAGACTTCTTGCGTTTTTATGAATAATAACTATAGCATTTAAGCATTTTCCTAGTGACTTTAAAAATCTTTACATTTTTGTTCACTCTTTATTTAGAATAGTTAATGTTATATTTTTTAACACGTGCTATGTAATATATATATAGTGTCAAAATGTGATTGGTTAAAAAAAGTATTAGTTAATATTTATCTTTTTTAAGATATATTATTAATATGGCAGTGTTTAGTCCTTGTGATATTAATTTCGAAATTATTTTAACAATTTAGTTGAAATTAAAGCCTGGTTTTACTTACGGTAATTTAATATGTTATAATACTATATTCTAGATGTTTCAATGTGAAGTGAATTGTAATTTTAGTTAAGGCAAATGATTCAAAGATTTTGTATATTAATTGTTTTTAAGGCTTTTGGATCACATAAACATATTAATATTCTTGAAATCTATCAGTATAATATTGAATAGAAAACATGTCTAATATTAATTTTAATCAATAACATGGCTTTTTAGTTATCTAAAATACTCAATTCTACCTGAAGCTGGACTAGATTATTAACGTATCCTATATGTCCTAATTGGAACATAAAACTCCACATCAAATTTGTCTTTAATACAAATTAGAAATAAGTTGCCGTATTGATGTTAATTTTATATCATTTCAATGGAACATCACGATGGTGCCTCACCACTAAGTACCTGTTAGTTAAGTTCACACTTATCTCGAATTATTCTAAATTCTGCCTAAGTTAGTTATTCCGCATATTGTATTAACACTTTTCACTATGATGATTATTGGTTATAAACAGGATAATGTTAATTAACTCCTCATTACATAGCCAAATCTCCAATAATTATAAAACACCATTTAACTTAATTATTGAGAAGCGAGCTTGCTCGACACGTGGCTCTGAATTATTTATACTCAAAAAAGTGTGGAGAGCTCGAATATTATATTCACGGTAACAGTAATAGTTTATAGATCGTCTAATTATTGATTATGGTCGTGATATTTATAATACTTTTGTTTATGTTTTACAAAATAACGATACAACAACAATATTACAATACATTTTATAAAAAACTACTCATTGTAAAAATACGCAGATTTTCGCAATACTACAGCTATCTACGTTTTTATACTAGGCTGGCAGTTAATATGATAATTAGCATTATAAATTGTATTTATATACGCATTATAATAGCATTATATATTTGTATATATTTTAGTTGAAAACGTTGGCCCAAGTCAAGCTCCTTTTCATTAGAATATAATATTCGTTTATTATTATGTACCTTTTATTAAGCTGTAAAATGGATGTCTTATTTAAACGTTATATTTTTATCAATCAGTCAAATGAGCTCTTGTTTACAGTGGAACAGTAGAAATAAAACTTGCCTAAAAACATTTATTTCATAACTTTCTTTCTTTCTCTCTATTGTTGTACTCCGGAACATTTGAAGCATGACAAGACTGTTCCTCTGCTACAAGAAAGTAATAGTTTTATTCCAGTGTTCATAAATCGGTGGACTGATATACCGTTGCCGATTTTTGTATGTAATTTTCTACCAATGCAATGTATAAATATTGCTAGTGTAAAATAATGTAAAAAGATTTCAATGATAAAAATATATCTGAATACTGAATTTAAAATGTGTTGTATTGTAAGAAATATATAACCATCCTTATTATTATTATTATCAAAATAATTACCAACTACATTGCTAATTATTTCTAAGTTGTGCATGCATCTATAGTTGCTAATCATTGATTACTTTACATTTTGAAATGTCAGTTCAGCACATCTCGATATACTGAGATCCTCGATAAGCTGAAAAAGGTGCTTTGCATTTTCGCAATGTATTATAATGTACATATTTCATTTTGCATATGTTATTATTATTTGCAAACCCTTCCACATTTTTAATTCAGATATCAGAGTTGTCTAATCTGAAATTGTCTTTAGAAGATGTACATAAAAATTAGTACGGTGATTTCTTAATTGACGATAAATTTACGTTTTCGCTATGCTATCGGTAATGAATAATTTATACTCGTGTATAGATAGATACATATAGTGTATAACACATATATTAAAGTAAGTGTTATTGAGGGATTTTGTTAACGTAATATAGAACCTAAAATATTGTAAGTAATATCGGAAACGATGTAACCTGTTTTTTAGGTTCGATTTTCACTTAAAGTAAACTTACTATAATACATTATTAATTTTTTGTTTAATAATACAAACTGAACCTATGTGTTTGCAAACAAAAAAGTTATACGAACACGAAATAGCGGGCTGAACTAGTTTTATAATAATATTATATAGTTCAGTTAACCAGACGCTCTTAGCTCTCTTTTATTTCAGATGTTCAGCCCACATTATCATCCAGATTTGATACACAGTGCTAGCGTATATTTTTTTAAAGTTATGCTGCTATAAAATAATATTTAGATGATATATAAATCTTGTAATTTTCGGCAGCTATTAGATAAGTCATATGTCAGAGCAATAAGTTATTACTGTAAAAATTGTACAGTACACGTTGTGACAGTTTGTACGTTCTAGTATTTATACATTGATTATAAATAAAAAAACATGTTTGCTGCTTATCACTGAATTTTTATTTGTATATTTACGCTGAAATATCCCTAAATTACTATAAGTTTAATACTAATCACAAAAAACACTCAGCCATCTTGATTAAATGACTAATTAAGTGTAGTTACTTGCATTATTTATGGTGTTGGTTTCCAACCATTTTAAGAATTGAACAAAGAAATATCAATTATCAGCTTACTACCTTTTATTATGTACCCACATATACATCTTTATTGTAGGGATTACTCTTAGTAACTTATATGGCCTAGTACATATTTAGTATTGTTATATAAAAAGCGACAGAGCAATAAAACCGTACTAATAACCTTATCATATCACAATAGGCTTCACATAGAAAGGCTCGTAATTTATAACGTAAGTTGATATATTGTCTCTGTGGGATTACAGTATGTGGTAATATATAAATTTCATATTTCATAACATTTGTAAACTTTGCGGCCCGTCTGATGGTAAACGGATTGTAATAATAATAGCTGAAGAGTATTCTGAATTTGTAATGTTTAAGTTAGGTTCCACACACCCGAGAATAAATCCCCTCTCGATGGTGAGCTGTGCAAATGTAGTAGTTAGTTTTCTAAAAAATCTACTTTACCTATCTATAATTATAATTCCATACAGATCTTAATAAACTAAAAACTAACAGATATGTATGTTGGGGCAATTGATACAGAATCATGAATTTGTAAATATATTATTGAAAAGAAAATGAAAGGACACAGTCCTAGTTTAATCTACAGAATATGCGATTTGAGCAAAAAATTTGAGTCGTGTCGTATTAACATTTAAAAAGAATGAGAAAAGATCGTGGGTAGTTGCAAGGCTCTTAAATTATGATTGAGACCGAGAAAATGATAATTGTATTATAGACAAGATTAAAAATATCTAATGCTTTATATACACCTGAGACGCACAGTATTGTAGGCGTTCACATCCTACATTATCTAGTAATAATCCAGATGCGCGTGTAGTTAAATACCACATTCGTAATATAAAAATGGCTAGATATACTATTATTATAAGATATATATTAATTATAAGCTCTCATAACAATGAAACGGCTTCATATCTGCATGACAAGCGAAAATTAAAAAACGTACAAAATAAAAATATTTCAATTATGAATTATTCGATTCATAAGGTTTATGACAACATCATACTTGCGATGGTCGCGGTTTCGATTTTTGCAAGATACAAACATTCGTATTCATGAGTATCTTTGTTTGTATTGGCCCGCATTTTTTATGTAGATTGTCTATAAATAAAAAAAGTTTTAAATTATTTCTATTAGTTGCTTAGCACCCGTAGTACTAGCTCTACTTACTTTGACACTAGAAGACAACAGTTTCTTTTAGAAACTCTTTCGCTCTTAAGTGTCTTTCGAACTAAGTAGTTGTTGTCTTGGTTTAATTATTATTATTACATAGTAACTCAAATCCCAAAGTACCACGTAGAGTATTATTGAATACTATTTAGGTGTGTTAGGAATATCCATACTGTAAATTTCACCGATTCTCTCCGTAGTTTTACGCCTATTGCTTAAATTGGCTTAACACTACTACTCCAATTATTTCAACAAATCCAGGAGGATTGGCTTGAGCTGAATTTTATAGGATACATCTATCTCTAACTAGAGTACCTAAAGGTACAAATATCTAAATAAATTCTGTCGTTTCGCCTGTATCTCTATGTAGAGCTTTGAATGAGATCAGTAAAAGACTTGGATATAGATGTAACAGAAATGTGATTATTGAATTCAATGTATGGGGTGACCAGAATAAGCAATGAGTACCTATTTATCTAGGTTGTATAAAGGTTAGGCCAGTAGTGTGATGGAAAGTATGGATTTTATTATCTTAGACGTAACGACCGAAAGTAATTATTTAAATAAGATATTGAATATGACCTTAGATGGATATAAAAAAGGACTATGAGGAGAGGGGCTGATGTTAAATTTGATATGCACAAAAATAGAATTAAGCTTGACATAACAGCAGATAGAGATCAGTGAAGAAGAAACACATACTCGACCCGACTCAAATACATAGAAAAAGGTAAAGTAATGATAGTATAACTTAGTTTTGTTACTATTATTTTATAGATGTAGACATTGTACAAAGTAGTGAACATATAGTAGTGACTGAGCTCTTTTTATAACCTGTTTCATTTCCAGAGATTGATATGGCCCTGTTTGTATGAGGTATTACATCTTACTTCATCGGAATAGCAACGCATGACCTGTAGATACGTTACATGAGGAGGAGATATCTGTTGTGCTATTCATACATATATGTACATATACTATATATGTGTAGGCAATGGTTGAGACTTATCCATCAAATGAGCCCTCAAACTCAGCCTCATTTCAGTTACATAAAAAATAAAGCATAGTAACCATTACATATTATTTTAACATACACTGTAATTTTTTTTAAATCTCATTTTCTAGTGGATTTTCTTTAGATTTATCTTTGTAAATACAATTTACTTAAGCCTTATAGTGCTCGATATTTTAACATAGTTGACATCGCCCCGGTTCATACGTGTTATCGTAACACGTCATTAGCATTCAGGGTTCGCGATAACTTAGCGCGTGGGCGCCAATACAGACGCCACATTTCTTTATTTGTCTGTGTATACCTAATATACCTACTAGGTACTTTATATTTCATATACACACGTTGCTTCTCATCGCTTTATAAATATATATATAATATAGCTACAAAACATATTTACGTTATACTAAATATAAATGGTGAATAATGTATAGTGTTCTGTGAAAGCGCTGTATCGTTTATCAGTTATAACTTGATTGGTGTCCGAATGAAGTGCTTCAAGTGTGGAAGCTTCAAGGGCCTAGTGCTAATAACGCGTTATCTAATGATGATTGGTGTCTAACATCGGGTCGGTACGTCGTTATGTAGGCGGTGGTAGTGGCAACACGTGAATGGATGGGCACAGGATCGATAGAGCGGAGTGCGCAGGTCCGCTTCTATGTTTCACAGCTGGTGGCTTCTTCGCGTCCGCCAACAAAACGCCTCAACCTGTGTCTCAGTGCCTATTGTGAGGAACCTAAGTGCTCTGCATTGTCACGGATATGCTCAGAAATTAGCGGCTACTCTAAACGGTGCGTACAGTTATTCATTTGTACAGATAATGGTAAAATTTTACTGTGTAGAGATAGTTAGATCATTCGCCATGTCCGCGTCCACTACCATGAAACCTGTTACACGGGACTTAATAACAATTTCATTACCTTCGCGTTGATGTGGGTCTTTGTTTATAAACTAGAAATTAGTAGAACGATTTTATATGTTCTAACAAGAAATATTTTATTGAAATGTACTAGTGTACATAATGTATTTTAAATAGCCGCTAGTTCGATTGTATAGTACCTATGTTACTGATGTACATTTCATCGTAACTAATCAATTGCTGTATAGTTATCGAAGCTATTGCATTTTTACGGATTCATTGACATTATTTATTTTCAATTAAGTACTCGGTGTATACACCTACTTTAATGAACGAGATTGAGCTAGGAAAATTGAAATCGCCAGCCTGCGTGGGACGAAGCAAAGGGCATGGGTGCCTACGTCAGAGAATTCTATATAACTAGTAGCAATAGTAGACGTATAGAAAAGTTATTGTTATTATGTGTAAGATATATTCGGTATTACTTCGTTAAAATATTACAAGTAGGTACATTAATGTTAAAAATAACATAGTAAAATAGATTACAAAAGAATACATACTCTTGTCCCAATTCATACTATATCTCAAATATTACGATTACAAAAATAAGAGGTATATTTCTAATAGTGACTTATCTATTTAAAATCGAGGAGAAACACGTACAGAATTACAGATATAGCCGAAAAGTGAATTCCCTATTTTTGGCAGTTGTTCGAAATAAATATAAACAGACAATTTTATGGCTATCTTAATAAAGGTAGTCAGTCTTTTTCTCACTAGGACTAGATAAAAATTGTTTAGAAGCTTGAGCATATAAGGAGAATGGCACGCTAGCAGGTGTTGTTGGTTCTCCTGAACGGCGGTAATCACTTACCATCAGGTGTACCGCAAGCAAATGGCGTGAAAAAATAAATAAAATCACTGTCCAATATTAAAATATTGCTTTAATTATAATTAACAATATGCGGAGCTAGCAATATGCGGGGTTTCAGGAAAGTGGAGTAGGTCATTTCAGGTTTTTCATAACGGAAATAAATATTTGCCTTTAAAGGAGAAATAAAATTAAACCACAGAGGGTACCTAAGTAATAAAAGGCGGGCTCGAGCGTGGGTAGAACGAGCCACTTTATTTAGTCTAAATAAAGCACATTTTATTCAATTTCTCGAAGTAAAATACAAATAGACATGAAACACACACATTCCCATGTTCACTCTAGCTTTGTGTAATTTGTATAATGTTCAATTACTGTACCTAAATCTGGATACGAGGTTAGATATATATACTTTATTGTTGGACGTGATATAATTAAACATCTATTGTAGATATGGTTTTTATGTTCTATATACATGGAGAACCAGCAGTTACCTACGACTTCGTCTGCTTTCTTTTAGACAAATGAAAGCCTATGTTCGTCTTTATGATTAAAATCTATCTTTCTACCTAGGTGCATTGAAATACATTGCCGTTTAGTGAAAAAGTAATGGGTAAGACAGACACATTTTCGAATATTTAATACCAGTATGAATAAATGTAACTTAGATGTCATTTAAAGGGTAAGTAAGTTAAATATAAAAGATATACTTACCTACTAGAAAACTTTTGCTTTGTTGGCAATTTGCCTCGTCACGTCTGTAATAGCTCCTAGAGGGACATTGAGCTCTTATGAAATAACCCGTGGCATTATTGCATTCTTAAATTACGTTACATATTTATATTAAGACATTGTTCAATTATTTATCAAATACAATACAAAATCTCTCATTAACAACATCTTCTTTGCTTCATCTTATATGGTTGGGATCAATATAATACATATTTTCATAAGATATTGTTAAAATTGTTTTAATTTTATTACCATCCACCTTACGTTCTTAATTAAATTCCTAAGCATGTACCTGTACCCCTTATATTCTTTCAGCGCTAGCTTACATGGATCTTAGAACAAAATAATCTAAATGTAGCAGATACTAAGGTTAAAAAAAGTACCTATATTATCGATATATATATCGATTGTATTCATACTGTTAGTACCTGAAATAGATGAAGTATCATATTAAATCAGTAAATTTATTCTAAAACTCCTTCGTAATTTTTACTTAAATATCCATTAATCATTCAGTCAGTCATTCCAGTTCATTTGTAATCGGTTATGAACGGCCTGCTCAGTCGAGCTATAATTTTGCATACGTGTCCTATGTCATGAAAACGACGTGTACGATATGCATGTTGCCAACGAATTAATATTTATAAAAGCGTGTTTTTGAAATAATTAAATTGTTTTATGATTTTACCGCTGGGATCCGTTCAGTAACAATGTAATTATTTGCCTCCGAATACCTATCTATAACACAATCCATCCCATGGTGAAGGAAAGTTAAGTACATACTTGACTTGGTTATTATAGGATTATACGTAGAAATATGTGTAAACTTTAGGAATAAGTCAATTAAATATAAAATAATATGGAATCGTTGGTTTCCCAATTGCAATATCGATGCGAAACAATGTTATAAAGTGACAAATACAAAATACCTACTTGTTCGATTACATCGGTTCAAACTTTGTATTTATTCCAGCTATTCTGTTTGGATAGTATTGATTGGATTGCACACATTATTAATTAGACTGCATACTGCAAACATTATTGATTGGAGTGTTACATACATTATTAATTAGACTGCATACTGCATACATTAATGATTGGAGTGTTACATACATTATTAATTGTACTGCATACATTATTGATTAGATTGTATGCATTATTAATTGGACTACATACATTACGAGTATTGTTTAGACTGTATACATTATTGATTGGACTGCACACATTATTTATTGGACTGCATACATTATTGATTAGACTGTATATATTATTGATTGGACTGCACACATTATTAATTGGACTGCATAGATGATTAATTAGACTGCATGCATTATTGATTGGACTGTATACGTTATTAATGAGCCTGCATATATTATAGATTAGACTGTATACATTATTAATTGGCCTGCATATATTATTGACTAGACTGTATACATTATTAATTGGACAGCATACATTATTGAGTGAACTGTATGAATTATTGATTAGACTTCATACATTATTTATTGGACTGCATAGGTAATTTGTGTTTCACAATGAGTAAGGTTGCAGGTTTTCAACTCTTTTTCCTACATTTAACCCCAAAAATTATGTATTACAGCTAGGATTCTGTAGGTAAATATATGGGTAGTAAGAATGAAAATGAGTTTGTTTTGTAAATATTTTACGTATTTTGATGTTTCCTTTATTTTATTATTACTTTCGTTCTACATTCATACCCTGTAGGTGTATACCAATGTATAGTTTAAACTGTTAGGTGTACCTAACAGTTTAAACTATTATATTATGTTATATTATAATTATATATAATTAATAATTATAATTATATATTATAATTTGTAAATTACAATAAGTATTTCATATTATTTATATAGTCCTTTAGGTCTATCTATCGGTTCTTATTTATTTCTTATTTGGTTGTTGTATAAGTTTCTTACCCAATAGACTTTATCTTAGGTGGCAAATTTCTCAGTGTATGTTTTAGTGCCTCAAGTCTATTTTGAACTGTTTTGTTTTTAATAAATATTTAAATTACGACTTCTGTAATATAACAATACATTTCGCCAAGATATCTCAGGTTTGAGTGTCAAACCAGGACTGAGTGGTATCGTACCATCATCATCGTCCAAACAGGTAATAGCAATAAGGCGGGACCTTATTGCTATTACCTACTTACCTGTAAAGAATGCTCAAGGGTCACACATAGAATGTGATGATAATATGATATTCAAATAAAGTTCCGCTCTATTTGAATATCCAATCAACTATTTGTATGAATATTTTTATGTACAAAATATATACATACATGTATGTAATAGTCATACTTTATATACAGGATTTATTCCTATAAACTGCATATATTGTAAGAATATAATTAAATAGATGTTACTAATATTATAACGGCGAAAGTTTGTGAGTATAGATATATCGACAGATAGATAGATGTTTGTTACTCTTTCATGCAAAAACTAACGGACAAATTTTGATGAAATCTTGCAGTAATAGAGCTTATACATCAGAGTAACAAAAATCCATACTTTGTACTCACAAACTTTCGCGTTTATAATATTAGTAAGAGAAGATAAAATTACTACTTAATATCACATATCATTAAATATATTTTTTTTGTACGCTGTTTTGATAAAATGGAAACGTACTGCAAGCAATTACAAGCATGAAATATAGGTAGGGATATCAATATTGATCCAAATACTTCTCTCCCCACGAGTAATGGGTTCTTTGCTAATCAGTGATACCACATGATTGCAACACAACAAATACACTACGTATTTTTATTACATTACAGTATAGTTTCTGGAACCGACAATATGTGTGTGTAAAAATGGCAGCTTTAGGCACTCAGTTCTCTCTGCTTACCCCAAAAGCGACCTGGCGTGAAGATAGACAGACAATATAAATCGTAGGTGCTGATAAAAACATGGATGTATTATCGGTTATCTGGTAATAGGTTTATCTGTTCCAAAGTTGTACTTACCGTTAAACTTCTATTGATCTCGGCTCGTTTTTACAATAATTGTGTTGGTGTTAGTTATGTAAATTGAAAATATCCTTATTTACTATTCTTATCCACATATTTTCTATAGTTATGATAGACGCACTTTAACAATGTTAGGTATACTCCTTCCTTTATTATTATAAATTAATGTATTCAGCATTATGACATGGACTGTAGGTGATATTGCCTAAATCCTTTGACAGATGTGATGTGCCGCCTCTCATGGCGGCAGGCTTTGTGGGCGCTGGCGCTGCTGTGCACGCTGGCGCCCTCGCATGCCGATGGGAACATAGGTAAGATGATCTATTTAAATTTTTCTTCTATTCCTATATGTGGAGTAAGATAGTGACAGAAAATATTATTCGTTCAGTCTGTATCGTGCAACATTTACATAAAAAAGCGCCAACTTCAGTGCCAACCATGATTTTGTGAACACAAATATATATAATGTTATACAAACAATTTTTCATGTGAATAGACTCAATTGTGTTGCTGTGAAAACAATTTCAATTTATCACAAACAATTGTTGTCAATAACTACAACAACACATTCCTATTATATCAATTTTATACAACTTACCTGATAAGAGAAACCATATTCTATATAATGAGCAATTTTAATTGTATTATTATTCAGCAAATCTGTTACACCTAATTACGTACGTTATTCTATTTCTTAATCAACAGCTAAAGAGCGCCAAATTCAAATAATAATATCAATAATAAAGATTATGATGAATATTATATCTTAATTAAAGTCTATAACACTAATACTAAACTATAGTAAAGTAATAATGTTCGATTATTGTGACTGTGGCTCTCATTTTGTTTTTTATACATGTATATAATACTTTTAGATAGATTTAATGTCCTTAATTTACTTTCCCATTTACATCTTATTAGCGCACAATGTAAGTAGATAATATGTAGATGAGACGTGGGTATACAGAGTCGAGTGTTACCCACCCACATTAATACTTAACATTGAAATTATATTTCATTAATGATGTTTGTACAAAAGAAAAGGAAATAAAATTACTTTTTCAATCGCAGGTTGCTTATTTAGCGCGTCGTTATGCGTAGAAGGTGTGGAATGGTGCTACGACGGTAAGCAAATTGACTATCAGTACGTTTACTTTGCTTTGTTTCTTTAATGCTTTAATAAAAATTGCTATCCTCAAAATAAACAATTGTATGTATTGTTCCAGACTTTGCGTTTGGGAAGTGCATACTTATTTATGACGAAGAACCAGAAGACGGCTCTCTCTACAAGTAAGTTAACTATTATTAAACATTTATTTATCTGAGACACGAATATGTATGATTATCTACCCGGCGTCGTAGGTCATCGTCGATACTCACTGGTTATCTTTAATTAGTCGTATATTCGATATCCGCATAACACAAATATTTGCAATCATAATTATCTCTGGTGCTGCATTGATTTAAGTATTTCACTACTGACTTCATAGAAATATTATTTATGAGACAAATACATTGTCATACATTGTAATACACAGAGCGAAGTATACTTAATTTGACAACGATTGACAGGATAGCGAAATTAATTTCACAATTAACTGTGCCTACGTGTGTAATGCTATAATATAGATAGCACTAAAGTATTTGCATACTTGGATGTAAACTAGTAAAATTAATTTTATTGCTCTTATTAAATCTAATCTAAAACAACCTTTAAAATATGGATTTAAAATGGAAGAGATTTTGAAATCAATATGTTTATTGATTCAGGTATGATCTGAGCTCGGAACAACTCCAGTGGTTCGAGGGTGAGCTGCAGCGGCTGGCGGCGCGCGGCTACCGCTGGGAGCACGCTTACACCCAGTGCGTGCTACAGGCAATGTTGTACACGCTGCGACAAGAAATGTACGGTCTTGTTATTGTATTATACTTTGTTATTCTTAAATTGCTACTCAGCTAAATGTTCATTATTGTTCCGTATTCCGAACACTATTTTAGTACAAACAGATTGTAAATGCTCGCTTACTAGAGGAAAGGGAGTTCAACAATGCTGGTCACCAAGAAAAGCAGTACGGCTATTTAAATTTAGAATAAAAGAGTCAGTTGAAAATTAAAACTGTAACATTAAGGACGCTTCGAAACTTTGAATTTGTTATTTGAACTAGAAATAAATGAAATATATGTAATTGTCTAATAAGAGGAAACCAGATATTACGAAATAAAGGATTTTAATTCACTAAAATTGCACTGCCATTAACAATCAACTTTGACAATCAAAAGACAGAATAGTATTATTAAAATATGACAATGCTACGAAACTCATTACATTGAATAATCAGACAATAAAAATACACTCTAGAGTGTTTATTAAACTATAAAGTACATGTCGCTCCGGACGTCCCTGTGCAGGGATGAGAAAGTTCGGTGTTACTTTTCTGTACTTCGGGGTATTCGAAAAGACAGGTCTACCTAGACTACAACATTTCTCCTCCCTTCTACAAAATTTAATTTTATAAAATACATATTTTGATAATATCTGTAAATTAACTATAATTTTATTATTACAGAGATCCAGCTGAAGTCAATACGAAATTATGTGAACAGTTCGCTGACCCCAAACTAAATTCCGATCAATTCGAAGTAGGAGAAGATAATGAGGAAGAGGTACTAGACGTTAATTTATAGTATACATATCTATTGTCTTGGCAATAGATACTATTACCACAGATAAGATATTATTACATACATTACTAAGTTTGTTTCTTTTATACTTAGATTGAGCCTGATGAAACAGCATTTGTTCGTTTCACACCGAATTCAGCGCTATCCGACTCTGACTTTGCTAATGAAGTTTACAATCCGCCGTTTACTGCTGATGATGACCCAACTCCTTATATAATATCCAAAGGTAAGTGCAATATTAATAAAAACTATTTTAAATAATATTTTATATTAATATTATTAATACTTTTATTACACATCATAGATGATGATGAGTTACCATCAAATGATGATGAAACCCCAAGCGACAAGTTACGAGACTTAATGATGCTGACCACTAATCAAGAGTCTCCGATTATTCTGCCTTTTGAAGGATTTCGGGAACGTATTCAGGCCGAAAAAGCTGGAACACAAGACGCTGGAGGTATCCCAAACGTAATGATTGACAAAGAAAAGAAATCTCTTCCAGAAGATATAACACGACAGAATGAACCCAATGCTTTTCCGGACGAAGAACGTTTAGGTGTCCATTTTAGGAAATACAAAACCAAAGCTCCTCCTTACACAGCTGAATATATAACAGAAAATAGATTTTCCCCTCTCGATGCTGAGGTTCGTTCGAATGCTTTAGAAAAATACAAACAGAGTTTTGCGGAGAAAAATTTTCCTTTTGAATATGAAAACAGTGATATTCCGGAACAAAGAATTTATATAGATGAAGATGGATTAGAAGAAAGTCCATTTGATACAGGCAGTGGTGAATCTGATCCTTATCATCTAAAAGGTAATAGGTATTTTCTGTTTATATAATCTAAAATAAAATCAACTGTATAACGAATAAGCTTTAAAATTTTGGTACGTGCATCACGTCAGTTTAGATACGGCCCTGATAAAAATGATCGTGCAATCTGTAACTGGGTATAGATTTTTATTATATTTCTATTTGCTCATGTTACAGATCAAAATTCATTAGCACCTAAACCATCAAAGAATATGGAATATCTAATGAACTATTGGCGCGAAATAGTCGATTCAAAATTAAAACCCCAAGGAGCTTTGTATGCAGAGGGAGGTCCATTGAAAGCTGACGATTTACAGGGTGAGCTAAAATAATACATGTAATATAAATTACATGTCAACAATTTTTATTTTGCTTTACTGTTTAGTTCGCATTGTAAACAACAGCAGCATACACTCATTTATTCCAATGACCCAACATAACTATTTGTTTTATTCTTCTCGGGTGATATTTTTCCACATTTTATTTTTTTGGAGTTTTATTTCACATAGGCCCTTTAAACACGAGAAGTTCAGCTCTGAAGGATTCTCACACCGGAGTGAAGGTTACAAATACCGACGATGTTTCAGGTGAAAATTCCAAATTTTATCCCGAAGGATTTCAAGATTTACTTAATAATGACTGGGGCTTTAAACGTAGGGAAAGAGATGATGTTAAAAAGCCCGGGCCGCGCCTGGACGCGAAAACATTAAAGATTTTATACCACAATAATTCAGTGACAGGTTAGTGTCACAGCGGCCTGAGATAGCTGTTTTTAGAATATCGATGTTCCCTACAATAATTTTAAAATATGTCGTTGCATTGGAAACAAGAAACAATCCCTTTTAATATTTTACTAAACTTTATTTGCACTACCTATCATATTTTATAGAGAACACCGCACTAAATGTTACCTATATCGCGCACATTTTACTTTTTTAACATGATAAGCATGAGACTCGGCTCTTGTGGTCCTCCTTCCTTTTTTGTGTGAAATTTTATACGTACATCTATAATTGTAAATATGGAAATGAATTTATGATTGATATTATGGTCGTTATTATTTTGTTATATTTACATCTTCATTTTTGTCATGTATTTGTTTGTTGTTTAGATATAAGTGCATCAAATGTGTTTAATAACTTTCTTCAGCTTTAATAAAATGATAGATTCTATTTTGAAGTTTCGATTTCAGAAACCTTTGAATACTTTTATATTTATTTAAATGATAAATGGGAATAATACTTTGTACATTACATTAAATACCTAATCATGAAAGATGCTACGGAAACATGCATGTGTACAATCCTTTTGGTGTTGAAGATATATAGTAAATGAAGTATTAATTTAACTTCATATTTATATTTTTCAGCTCACGGATCTGCTAATGCACAAAAACCAGGAAACAATGTAGACCACGATCACAATGACTACGACTACGATCCATCTTATGCATATGTGCTCTTTAAAAATAGGTATTCGTTACTCTAACTCACTCGTAGGTTACATGTATTATTAAAATTAATTATCTCTAAAAAATATTTTTTGTGTATTACAGATTTCTCACTAATTGGGAAAAAGGTATCTCATTCATTGCACGACTTGAGGAGATGCTTGGTTTAGAGAAGCATACATTTACGAATCCACGGTAAGTGGCTATGCTATGTAAATGGACTAACAAACTTTATTAATAAACTAATTAAACATATCATTCTAGCGTTGATCTTGGAGAGGTCACATTCAAAGTGGAAAAAAATAGTAAAGGATACAATGCTGAAGATATTGCACGACGTGTTGGTAAGTTTTGAAAGAAATTACAACAATGATTTAATAAGTACACTATTCATACCGTACTTACCTACCGAAATGTGACAAATATATTACATTTTCTATATAGATGACATTAAAGAAGAACTGCGTCGTGAAACCGGTGCACAAGTTCTTTCCACCGGTGTTGGAGATCGTGTAAGTTACCTTTTTTGAAAAACTTAACTGAGAAATTAGTAATGGTATGTAAAATTATACAAGTGTATGAATTTAAGCGAATATAAATTAATACACCTATTTCTAATTAAATTAAAGATAATGTACAAAGTACATCAGTAGCTGTAAAGTAATACTGATTTAATAATAAAATAATTGTTCAGATTAATATTGCAATTGATATAAATAGTAAATGTAAATAATAAATGATATAAGAATTAATACAAAATTAATAATTTTCAGAGCAAACGTCCCGTCATTAGACATATAGAGTCACCAGAGACGCTCTTCTTAGGTATCGATCTACCATTATTGCTAGCCCTGATGGGAAGTCTCTCTGTTCTCATTGTGGCCGCCATCGTATTTACTGTCATGCTGAAATATGATTTTAAATCCAAAAGGAAGATGCAGGGGCTCTCAGGTGCGGCAGAAATTGATGCTGAGGCAACCAGAGACTATCAGGTATTTAAAAACGTCTATTTGAGTATTATAAATACAAAACGAGCCGTCATCGGGCAATTAATAGTTTGGATATAATTTAGAAACTTGTGTTGACTGTTCTTCGAAGGCTATTGATATTTACGATAGTCGTAGTCTGATTTCAATACTGGAATTAAACAAAATAATATAGGTAAATACATTTAGTACCGAAAATAAATTCCGTTAAGTAACACCTATTCGGATAAAATATAATTTTATTAAGTTATTAAATTTATTTAATTCATATGCAACTAAAGTTTCACCCGTGCAACTGTTGATGAAGTTAATGTTCTTAAACTAGTTTCGCTAGTATTACGATAACTTATGCAGAGAGTTTTAAAGTACATACTGATAAGTTATATCTATTTTCATTACACTAGGAATTATGTCGCGCTCGCATGTCTGGCAAGTGGACGGGACAGCAGACAACCACCCCAGCCCCAAACCCTGCGGAGGCGCCGCAGCGTATCACCTCCTTATCTCGAGAAGCTGATGTGAACTCGCCCTCCACGCGTTCCAGCACATCTTCATGGTTGGAAATTATTACCCTTAATATATTTTTGAAAAAAATGGAAATGTTACTCTTTTTATCTCTATTATAGGTATCGCTATATTTTATCTTTATTTCTTTTATAAATTTTTCATCAATTTGTAAATCTGACAACTCTACGTTTAGTAGTACATGACTAGAATATCATATAAGAACATAAATTGAGCGCAAAGCAGATAGATCTGCTATGATAGTTGAAACGTTGTTTCTTTAAAGTAGCAAATATAATATGAGTGTTATTTAATGTAGTCTTTTCTCTATAGGAGTGAAGAACCTGCGCTTACTAACATGGATATATCTACTGGACATATGGTTTTGGTAAATATTTTAAAGAATGTTTAATGTTTATTTTTAATTTTATTTTTGTCTTGAGTCTTGAATATGACTGAATATGATAAATTAGAACACAACGGTCCCAGTGATCTAACGGTTTAGCACGAACGACTTGTATGATCGTCGCGTCGGGGGTTCGATACCTCGCATGATGCCATTTGTATACTTGTGTATGATCTTGTTTATCAATACAAACATTTCTGGGTGTTTTCTATATATATTTTGTATACATATAAAAAAGTATGTGAAATATAGGCGCTGTGTGAAATGGCCAATATTATTATTATTATGCTATATTATTATTATAATACAATATATTTAGCATAATAATAATATAATCAAGATTAAATGCGAATTGCCAACAGGCGTATATGGAAGATCACCTACGCAATAAAGACCGTCTTGAACAAGAGTGGCGCGCTCTATGCGCATACGAGGCCGAACCATGCGCTACCACCGCCGCATTGAAGTCGGAGAACACTGGCAAGAACCGGTATGCCGATGTGCTGCCCTACGATCACTCCAGGGTGGCCCTCAATACGCTGTCCAACCACCTCGGATCCGACTACATTAATGCCTCAACCATTGTGAGTTGTTTGCTATAGTTAGAAAAAGTAATAATTAGAGAAAAAAAAACGAAATTTAGAAGTCTCTAAAGACTTTTTTAACTTTAGAAATTTGGTTAATTTTTTTATGTTTTCCTTTTACTTAAATTGTCAGTATGCAATTTGTAATGAGTACTACGATGAAGAGTAATTTTGAATACAATTTTCACTTATGAACAGCAATGAGAATTATACTCAACTTTTAAATATTACTCATATGTATATGTAAATATAAGTAAAACTGTTAAACATGTTTTTCTTCATTATTTTACTTTCGTTATTCTTTAATAATTAACAATGCTTCATATTTACTAATAATTTGTAGACTGATCACGACCCACGGAACCCCGCATACATAGCGGCTGCAGGCCCGCTGGCGCACACTGCACCGGACTTCTGGCAGATGGTGTGGGAGCAAGGCAGCGTGGTGATGGTAATGCTGACACGCCTTACCGAAAATGGTCAACAGCTCTGCCATCGCTATTGGCCGGAGGAAGGCTCAGAACTCTATCATATATACGAGGTACATGAAATCTATTCATATCGTTTGTTCTGAGTGAATAAAAGCTGAAATTTTGAAAGGATCTTTATAAACATTGAAGGTTACATTGATAAATCCGGAAAAAACTAATTCAAAATATTTTCTAATGCCTAAGCTCAATATAAATACAAAATCTGTTAATAAAATATATTTTTTAATCGACTCTATTAGTCCTTACAAAAGCGAAAGATTAACAGATGTTACTACAGGATAAAAGTTAAATTTAAAAAAAAATGGTAAATGCTTATCTTTGCCTTTTGTTATGTTGGAATATGGTCAGCGAAATATTAGTAGGTACTTAATTAAACCGTATATTTCGTCTGCAATAATAACATCAACAGTAAATAATAGAGTCATGTGGACCCTTTCAGCTTAACGTAGGTACACCGTAATAAAGACTACACTTGTTAAATTGACTGTTAAAAGGTACACTTGGTAAGCGAGCACATCTGGTGCGACGACTACCTCGTTCGCAGCTTCTACCTAAAGAACCAACGAACCGGCGAGACCCGCACCGTCACCCAATTCCACTTCTTGTCCTGGCCCGAAAATGGTGTGCCCGCTTCTACGAAAGCTCTTCTTGAATTTAGGAGGTAAGAAGAATATCCAAAGATATTAAAATCTTCCCCAAAGAATTTATAATTTTCCATTTACAAAACATCTAAGAAGTAGTTAAGTAGTTTTAAATAAAGGTATTCCTCTAAAGAGGCTATACTTATAATGTATTACAATATACAATGTATTTCTATATAGGGTAAAAGATTATGCCAAGATTAAGGTTTGTGCGACTTCTAACAAAAGAGTTATGTAATATGATATTTTTTTCTATATATATATCTTGTATGAATTAGAGGTCGTTAGCGAACGAAGGTGCCCGTCTTTGTTTTCAATTTCAATTGCGGCTAAGTATAACCACGAGGCACATGTAGTAAATCCGGTAACACATTTTTATGACGACTACTTTGCACAACTCTCATATTTGTTTTATTTTTAAATAAATTAAAATTTAATTTCGCCATATTCCTTTTTTACAGGAAAGTGAATAAGTCCTACAGAGGAAGGTCTTGCCCGATCGTTGTTCACTGCAGGTAATATTTCAAGAATATTTATAGTTTATCAAAATTAATGGAAATTATTTATTACTACGTACCTAAATAATTTAGAATCTACAATCTATTCTTCATATCTACTTCCATTCAAATTTTGTGTCTATTTTTTTTAAACAATTACTTAATTATACAAAATTAATTATTTCAGTGACGGCGCCGGACGTTCTGGGACGTATTGCCTAATAGATATGGTCCTGAATCGAATGGCAAAAGGTGCCAAAGAGATCGACATCGCCGCCACCCTGGAACACATCCGAGACCAGCGACCCCGAACTGTGGCAACCAAACAACAATTTGAATTCGTCCTAATGGCTGTGGCTGAAGAGGTAAAATCTATCTACCTTCCTTCAGTTTTATTACAATAAAAACTGTGTCATTTGGTAAAATAATATATTATTATTTTCCAATATGTTTGTGCATATCCCTCTGTAATACTATATTTTAACGTTAAATTTTGTTAAGACCCCCCCAGCTATTGGATAGCGAAAAAGGCAACAAACAACGGGACACGTTGTTTGTTGCCTTTTTCAGATACTCCTTCGTATTGACTCATATATATATCTATAAACAGAACAAAGTAAATTTGTACTTATGAAATATATCGTAGTCCTGAAATATTTTAATTTTGACTCTTTCATAGGTTCACGCTATACTAAAGGCTCTACCAGCCCATTTGCAACAGCTTCAAGAAAAGAAGGACAAGGAAAAAGAAAAGGAAAAAGACGGCAACAACAAGGAAAAACCGAACAATTAAATTTGCACCTCCTGTACTAGCAGGAGAAACACATGAAATTCTGACGGCTTACGGATTCCTCGATGTCTGTGTATCTGCGTGTCAGGTTGAGAATTTCGCTTTATTGTGTTAATATATTAAGGTGACACTTATTGCAAATTAGCTTATTTAATTACCTAAACTAAAGCCGATTCTCAACCTTGTCAATTTTATGAATGTTCTTTTCTTTTATTTTTAATTCTAGATATAATATACGTATTTATTTTATAACACATTTTATAACGGTTTGTAAAAAAAACTATGTACCATGAATATAAAATGGCCAGAAAAATATATAAAATAAATTTCAGGGGAGATTCAGAAGTTTCTGAGCCTTAGCATCTACAAATTACTACGTTTTGTACTTAGTTCAATATGTGCTACAATAAAGTAAATAAATATATTTCCCCCTTTTTAAAGCGCTGCCTGATAAAAAAACGTTACACTAGCAAGGCATTAAGTTACACAGCTTTTAATGGTAGAAATAGAAATGAAGGACTGCACTTTCCATTGTACAAAGTATAAGATGCTTAGAGATTTAGCTACCTTATACTTTCTTAAAAAGCACAGTAGGTTCTGTGCTTATCCGTTATGACATATATTTAAAAACATAATGAGTGTTTTCTTTACAATTGAAAAACTGAAATCGTTAATATTTCCTTATTTTAGCTTTTATCATATAGTTAAAAAATATACCATCGTCAATTGATAAGGTGTCTAATACAACATTTTATTTCACTTTAGCTATTACAAGTCGAAATCACGTTTTCGTGTATATTGATGGGTATAAAAATCCGAATCAATTTTATAAACCTACTTTCATGTGTCCCTTTCAGTAAAATACCTTTAACAAGTTGAGCCCAAGGTTACTGTACCAACTTTAAATATGTATGACGATAGAATAATAATTTTGTAGTTCGCACTGTAGTACCTACATGAAGCAACATATTTTTTTAGCATGGAATAATACAAATATAAACACAGTTAAATAATCGCCTACTGAAATTCGTAAACACGTTATATTTATATTTCTAGATTTTACATGAATTTGTATTTTATTTATTATAATTCATAGGTCACCAAAAATTGTTATTGTAAGTTTAAAAGAATCGTATTCTTATGTTTATGAAAGTATATTGACATTAAATGGGCATATTCTAAATATTTAAATAAAATGTTATATTTATTCATAGCGGTAATATCAACTGGCCTTTGTCTTTAAAAATGTTAGGGAGTGTTGCGACCAAAGATAATACCACATTTTGATTTCATAAAGTCAAATATATTTATAGTTACCTATGTAGGTACTTAATTATATTTATTAGATTTGTTATTGTGCATATAATGCATAGGTATATCTGTAAGTATGTTGATCTAGTCAATACCTACTACGTTAGTTTTATCCATAAATTTTATCTTTAGTTTTGTTATGCGTGTACCTACTTAAGTAACATCTAACGTATTTATATTTTTAAGTGTGAAATATTACACGTAACTAATATTCTACATATATAATATCTTATATGGAATCCATGCTTATATCCAAGTGTCTACCTACATGTCTAAAACTGACACAAATAATATCTTTACACAGTCATATCCTGAGTAACCGGAATACCTGATAAATTGATAATTGGAATAAATAAAACAAATTATTTACAGAAATAAAACAATAGACTTACTTATAAAAAAATGAAATTTGTATAAGATTATATTTATTGCATATTAAGGGAAAATGTAAAAAAAAAATAACTTACCCACGAAATTATGAATGTAGTTTAGAATTAAGAGAAATATATTTAACCGTATTTCTGTATGAAATTATATGTAGTTTTTATGTGAATGATTGAATAATGGATTTTGATTATTAAATTGTTTTAGGGAATAAGACAATATTCGTATCCTGTTCTCCTACATACTTAATTTTAATGATTTCTCTGCTACCTGCTTTTCCTATCATTTTCCTGGTTCCAAGCTGAATACGAAAAAATGAAAACCTTATATTTAATGCAACTGAATTTGTCTGACTCTCTGTCACAATACTACCTTATCTAATCTTTCTGTCCTATAAAATCAGAATTCAAGTATAATAGATTGTCAGAGAGTAAGGTGGATATTCAATAAACTACCTACCTACTTAAAAAAATTACGGTTTGCCTTCTCGGAGCCCGATTTCTTTCATGGCTATGTGTGAGACTATTCTATTTAAATAAAACATTTAAAATTAGAGAAATATTAACCAGGTTTTACAGATGCGTGTTTATTACTTTAATCGATTGTATCGACCACCATACAGTCTCACAAAACTATTGCTTTTAATGGTAAAAAGTGAAATAAAATTATAGTAGTATTAAAATGGAAAAAGGAAGAGAATATAATTTTTGCTGGTTTCATAATTTATCGGCACTAGATTATAGTGATTTTGATAAAAGTAAGTTACTCATCCAAATTAATTTATCCTACACTGATGATTTATTTAAAATGTTTAAAAAGAAATGCCGGCGTTACATAATCAAGACCAAGAAACAATATTCCATTTTATAATTACCTACCCACAAATGCACACAACAGACGTGGCGATTTTTATTTCTACCCAACAAGAATGAAAGAAAAGCAAAGTGTGATAATTAAGTAGGTGTTTTTTAATTAACATTATCATTATTAAAGATGTTCTGACATAGCTAAATTTAGGTCATTATAATACTAAAATTACATATTAAAATGAATTCTAAACCAATTAAAAAACAACAAATTCCAAGATAGATGAAGATTTTACGGCTCTATAAACGCAGAATGTGAGCGTTAAAACAAAATAATGTTTTTTTTATTAACTAGTTTACGTCCCTGGAAAAAATAATACGTCCATTGCAATATTACCAACTATGGTTATTTTACCCTACAAGTAAGGTAGTTTTTTTAACTACAGTGATTTTGCTTTCAATCACTGTATAGCGGGGGGGAAATTGTTAGTAATGTGGACTCATGACCCCATTGCTAGCAATGTACCATGTCAGGTTGACCTCCACGCAATTCCCCCTGGAAACTATCGTTATAAATTCCTGGTGAATTTGTCACGATGGGCTAACTGACCTAACCTCATGCTCATCATCCTCCACTGGTGCTCCGCCAGCGTAAACCGTTAGCGGAGGCGGAAGCTCCATTCCATTATCATCCATAAAAAAAACCACTGTATAGTTACAATGCTGGATATAAATTATAGCAGTTTTGTCCAAATAAGGGGCAACCCTGTAAGTCACTCTAAAAGACGTCTGTCACTTTGTGACTGACTGCTTGCTTTTGTTTTCTGAATCAGAACGTCACTTCTCTGTGTACGTATGGTTTGGTACTGTGTGTTTTCAACTGTTTTCTTCAGTGTAAAAATTTGGATTTCAATTTTTTTGCAAATTACTTTTTCATCATTTTATCATTACTCGTCAATTCAATAATTGCTAGAAAATAATAACAGAGATATTGTATTTCATAATAAAAAAAGTCTCAATTTCGTACTTAATTAATCAGAATGATTAGTGGACGTGCTTTACATTTTGTTTTCAAAGTTGCCGATAGAACCCTTACAGCCAAATTTTACAGAGATGTTCTGGGAATGAAGGTAAATAAATATTTTTCTAAATAAGCTTAACTAATTATGTATTATACACCGTCACGTCTTATGGTTTTCAAGGCCACAATATAAAACATCGAACCGGTAAACTAGAACTAATTTAGTTTGCGTTTCCTTTTACTATATTTAACGTATTTACATATTACCTTCAGTAATATATTAATACTTTTTGTATTTTTTTAGAATTGCTGTATATTTTTAAATGTTATTATTATATGATTCCATATTGATATTAGATTACAACTAATAATCTACTGATTTTCATAGTAGTAGTCATCTAATACAAATAAACACTACCTTTTTCTTCTTGGAAACTTGTATTTCCAGGTATTACGACATGAAGAATTTTCTGAAGGATGTGAAGCAACATGTAATGGGTAAGTGATATCTTACTAAAACAGAATAAGAAACAATGACAAAATTCAGATACATTCACTAAATTCAATCTTTAAAATATTATAAAGTTATAAATTTATTAACAGATCAGACTTTAATTTCATGTGTTTCAGTGTCATCAGTAAGCAAATGTAGAATAATATTATTTCATTTAATGCGCTACTACAATTTATTTACTCATTTTGACAATCATATTTCAGACCTTATGCTAACAGATGGAGCAAAACCATGGTAGGGTATGGACCAGAAGACACACATTTTGTTGTAGAGCTCACATATAATTATGGGGTGACACATTATGAACAAGGCAATGACTTTCTTGGCCTTACAATCCAATCCAGTGAGAGCTTACAAAGAGCAGCAAATAATAATTGGCCTGTAAAAGAACAAAATGGAATCAAATATTTAGAAGCACCTGGTGGCTACAAGTTTTATATTGTTGATAAACCACAGCCCTCTGACAAAGGTAAAAATACAATTAAATATACAGTTTTAAAATGTGTATCTACATTTTGTAATATTACACTGTAATATTTGAATTGCTTATCAAAAGAAGTTATGCACTTCTAGATCCTTTGTGCCAGAATATATTTGATATTCATAAATTATAGTGCCAACATATAATGAAATGTTGATACCCCATCAATCACCCTGACCGTTACATATTGTGTTTTTATTAAATAGAAATACTACAATTTGAAATAAATGTTTGTTTACTATATTGTTTGAATGGATTTTTTAATGCTGTTTAGTTAGTTTTATTGATGTAATTATAATATGTATCGTCATATTTTTGTACATTAATAAAATAAATCTTTACCATATGTACTATAATGGAACAGTTGAAAACATTTATATATTCATAATTTTCAGATCCTGTGTTAAAAGTATCACTGGCAAGTTCAAATCTGGCAAGATCTATAGCATATTGGAATGGACTTCTATCACTAAAAATATTTGAAAAAACAAATAAAACTGTTGTACTTGGTTTTAGTGAAGATCAAACTAAACTTGAATTAGTTGATATTGGTAAGATTTATAAATTACAAATATTCTACTTTAGGCCAATATCTCATGTAGTATAAAATAAGATAGTCAAAATATAAAATAACTTAAACATGAAAAACATTATAAGACTAACATCGGATTAAAATCTATAAGGGGTTACAGTATAGCAGTGACATCAAATCAATTTTGTAAATAATATCCTTGATTATATAAATGTTATAATTTTGCACATTTATAGTGCCCTATTTCTCCAAATTCACAAAAACCATAGTTGATAAAAAAATTTAAAAATGAACAAATTGATTAAAGTCAACCCTGGACAAAATGCTTTAACAGTGGCATAGCTGCTGTCGATATAAATTAAATATTACAACATATTTCCTTAATAAAACATGCTTGAAACTAGAACTTTGTCTTCACAGAAGGTTGAACAAAGGAAATAATAATATAGTATATGTAAATTGTATTATTTGTACTTAATATAATTTATATATGACAAGGATAATGAAATAAAATATCTCCTTTCAGTTTTCATGAAGTGTAATAATATTTTCTAAAGTTACACAATATTTTACTAAATTGAAGTATTTGTTCAACTTTATGTGTCAATGATTTAGCATATTCTATTAAATCATGATACATTATCCCTGTCTAGAAGATTGAGTAAGATAAGATAAATTATTATGTAGTCTGATTGTAGTTACTATACATCTGTATTTGTGTTGTATACATAATATGTAGATCTATGTACACTTATTCTAATAAATATATTTGTTTATAGCAATCCTCCATTAAAATAGTACTTAAATGTGCAGGTGTATACCAATATTATTATTGATTGGTGGATATGGGTATTGATTGATATCTTAAATTAGTATGTAGTTACAAGCTTGCATGTTACATACTATACATTTAAAAGATTAAAGAAATAACACGATTAATAAACAATCTTTATTGTCATTTATAGTAATATTTTTTTTTACAATATTCTAGAAAAATTTAAGTGTATTGCTATAAATGCTTAGTATTATATTATTGACATTTATATTAATATATATATGTAGTCATTATACAATTACTTGCCTTATCTATACTTCTATTGGGTTATAAATGATACAAGGGTATAATGCTCTATTAATACTACTAATGTTATTACATACAATAATCATTACACCGTAATGTTTGCTTTATTTATCTCAATAAAAATCGTTAACACTAATTATCAAATCTGCTTTGTCTTGTTAGTCTAAGATACGAGCCTATGAGGTCCTCTAAAAATATGTGACTTGAAGTCACTGTACCTAATATTATATATTTAAATTATTTCTGTATATTTATTTAATTATAGGTGTACCCATAACCCCCACTTAAAATAATAAACTATTTTTGTCATAAATTACAAATCATCAAAAAGTTTCACTTTTCTTAAAGTGGAACTTTCTGATAACCTTATTTGAATCATCAATTATTTCCAGGTGGCACAGTTAACCGAGCTAAAGCTTATGGGCGCATCGCATTCTCATGTCCATTCGAGCAGCAACCACTCATCGATAAGAAGATTCAAGAAGCAAAGGGAACTATTCTCACTCCACTCATATCCCTAGACACACCCGGTAAAGCTACCGTGCGTGTCATCATCCTCGCGGACCCTGACGGTCACGAGATCTGCTTTGTTGATGACGAGAGTTTCCGGCAGCTGTCCCAGGTTGACCCAGCCGGTGACGCCGATCTGAATAAGTATATCAAGGCAGACAAGTCGCGTGCTTAAACTTATACAACAAGTTGTTATTATTACACTCTTTTATTTTTTTATCACATCATATTCTACAAAAATGTTATTGATATTGCTTGTAACACTATGTCACTATTGTACATTTTCAAAGTGCTTTTCTTTAAATGTGGAAAATCTTCACCAAGATCATACCACGAATCCACTAAGGGATCCTATTGGAATATATGGCATTTTCACCTTCTTTAAACCACCACTACAACGATATTAGTAGCTACTAGTACTAGTACCATAACTAAGCTAGTTCCACACACAACATAAAAATAACTATTGTAGTTATTTTTATGTTGTGGTTATATATCTAATATTAACCTTATGCTAAACTTCATTACTATGTATATGTGACCTTATTGTAGTTATGATCTCTGTACAAATAAATATCATGTGAATTATTTTACATTTATATATAATCTACATCCAATTTCTTTGTTGTTACTATATTGTAATACTTTCATATATAGTATGTTGTATAGTTTATTCCAGTACTTAACTTCATTAGGTTATAATGTAGTAATTACTATATTTGTCATTCCAACTTTTATTAGTGTATAGATTATACAGCAATGGTACACAGTAACTCAAGCTTAATTATTGATCTGTTAATTAGTATTATTAATTATTGTATTCTGTTATGTGCTTCTATATTTAATTTTCATGATTAATATATATATAAAGTTATACCATGATCTATTTTTCTTTCCCTTCTTTATCTACTATTGAAAATTTATAAGAAATGTAGATAAATTAGCGATTTATCTGTATCTTCAACACACAAAAAGTATGTAATAATGTGATTTCCTTCAAACATTTTTATATCAGTTTCTGCATTCATATCACTTAACATTTTCAAACAACTTAAAAAAGGTGGAGTTCTCAAGGGAAACAAAAGTGACCACACAAGGAAAGTGAATCTAAGAGATAGAGCCGAGCCACATTATCTAGAGCACATTGCCTACACTACACATGCATGAAGGTGTTATTTACGGGTAAATAAATTAACTAAGTAGGTACCTACGATAGAAATTAAATAAGCATACCTATCTATTTAATGCGGCATTAAATCTTAATTGTATTTGAAAAGCAAATATCAAATACAACCAATATGCATAAATAAATTTTGTATTTGTATAAATAACTTTAAAAAGCCTATGAATAATGTCCGTTTTAGAACAAACATTTCGTTGAAATTACGCGAAAAGATGGACATCGCCTACGGCGGTTGTACTCCGAATATTGTGAATTGGTCGGCCCGTCAAATTTCGCCCGTCTGTGGTGTTATTTCAGCGTTTTTTAAATCCCTATTAATAAGACATCGACGTGTGACGGGTTCTGCCGCGTCTTCTGGACTGGGTATTCATGTAAAGTACTATTCTTGTCATGTGGTCTGATGATTGCCGCATGACGTGACCGTACCAACTTGGGCGATTCTCCAATAGTTGCCTGCAGTAAAAAAATACTTTGCTCAAATTTATCAAATTACCTACATCTATGTTTAGTGGTAGTTGCATAAAATGTGCAGTAGTTTACGAACTCCAATAAAAGGTGTGCGAGTATTGCAAAAGGGTAGCAATTCGTAGGTTTTTGAAAAATGCATCTAAAGAACTCCGTAATCTTCAAATATCATAATAATATTGTATAGTCATAATATATGAAACTTAATATAATAGCTTAAATGATAATAACGTAATTTATAATTAAAAGGATACATTAATTTTTATATTATAGTATGCAGTGGAGTATTATATTTAGAATAGTAAAGTTAATTTCTAATTAAACTTGGTGAAATGTAGTGGTTAAGAATCACTACAAACATGCGTGTTTTTATCTTTGCTATTGTAATACTGATGCAAGGCTTTACAGCTTCAAGGAACGATAGGGGACGAGTGCAAATGGCAGTTTAAACCCGCAGAAGGTTTTATGGAGTGACCAAGCGTCAACTCCTCCGAACCTCGACTCAGGCCCTCTTAATTGCGATCCCCGTGTAACCACTATAAAATAAAAAAAAAACAAAATCTAAACTGACAATTCTAGCATTGTAGCAGTTTTTATTACTCTAACTTGTGCCTTTTATTAACGTTGACTTGACGAATACGAATACGAAAACGCAGTTCAGCCAGAAATAAAATTTCGCTATTTCACAATCACAAGCACCAATGAAGTTAGAACGAACAATTGTCTCTTATCGCATTGATCAAATAAAGTTGGACTGAAATAATTCTCAAAAGTGTAGGATTGCGTGACCTGACTCGCTGCTCACATTCTTATCCAGACAATTAGTCAAACTTTAGCGAAAATGTCACCCAAATTTCTTCCGCTATATTCGGCGTCTACCCTTTGAACCTCGATTAAAACAATAAAAAAACCACCATGGCAATGTGTAAAGACTGTATTTTCCAATATAAAAAATATATGCAAAATCTTTTAATACTTGCATAATTTATTACGGCTGATATTTTTTGTGAATGTTTGAAGGATTAATTCTTATTTTTTCGCCCAATAACTAGAGAGATTCGAATGTAATTGTAAATGTTATGATAAGACATCACCGTAATCTAAATGATATAGGAGTCCTGTATTCAATTGCATACAATTCGCACAGCGCCATCTACAACAAACAACTTTGTACAGACAACTTTGTACAAAGTCTTCCTCTGTAATGCCGACAAATTGAAACAATTGACAAAAGATTACAATATGGGTTACCCTGCTTGCACGTGCTGTCACATTTCGGCACTTATTATAAATGCGAAAGTAATTATGTCTGTCTGTCAGTCGCGCTATCACGCCAAAACTATTGAACCGACTTAAATGATATTTAGTACACAGATCATCTAGGCCCTAAGAAAGCACATTTTTTTATGAGAAAAAAAGGCTGTAAGAGATGAATGATGAAATTTTGAAAGCTAGAAGCTTGAAACTTAATTTTAGGCTGTTCTTTAAAAATAAATAAATATTAATTAAGTTTTTAAAAAATGTACTCTTAAGGGGGTAAAATAAAACAGGGGTTGAAATTCGTTTACTTTGGAAGCTAGAATGATGAAACTTTTTTTATTGTTTGGGCTACATTATTAAATCCATTTTCTTGTTTCTTTCATTCGTCAAAAGTACATTACTTTCGAATTTAAAGCTCATATAATACTCTATGCCTTAATTGGTACCCGCCCCTGCTTCGCTCAGGTGTACGTATTATACATACATTTAAACTTTCTTCTTGAATCACTCTATCGATTGTTAAAAACTGAATCCAAGCGAACAGACAGTTGAAGCGACTTCATTTTATACTACTGCAAATACCTTATAAAAGTAACGTATGTGTCTTATTTGTAAAATATTTATACTAAATAATTAAAAATACTTACTATGCATGGGTACAATTCCACGGGGACGAAGACGCGGGCAGAGATAGTCATTCACAAAAAGGCTTACATGCACTGCAGACTAAATAAAATCATCCTAATGTTGTAATAAAATTTCAAAGAAACTTAAATATGCGATGTAATAAAACGGTATTATCCATAAAATAAATACAAATTACGTAGTAAACATAAAAGTTGTCATAATTATTTTTTTCTCTCCTTTAGGCTCCGGTAATATTATATTAATACCTATGTTTGTAAAATATAATACTGGCCATCATCACCTACATAGTACATACCGTATTCGTATTTCAAATATGTCATTTGTACATTCCAAATATGAATTGACATAATTTTATTATTTTTTCTCGAGCAAAATTAAAAACAATATTTTAATATTACCTTTGCCTTCTGTTTTCAGTAAGTAGATATATATGTCATTTTTGATTTTTTCCAGATTAGTAACTTAAAGCCCCACGCAAATACAACAATTCGTTAACTCGGCGGAATCAAATTCGATGCAAGAGAATATTTAAAAATCTATACCATATTGCGTATTGTGTCTTCTAAAAAAATATAAAATTCTACCCATTTGTTTTCTTCGTGCCTAATGCACTGCTATTCACTGTAATATATAGGTATTTTTTTCCACTTATATATGTCTAATATATACTAAGTGTATTGTTAGATATCTATTACATACATGAGTATAATTTTTTATATGATGCTTCCAATGTTATGCTTTCAGATGTTGCTGTTAATTTAATAGAATAATGTCTATTGGATATTTATATAGAAGCACATCAGGTAGGTACTTATTAAAAGACTAGTGGTTCCGTGACTTCATAAACATTTGTCAATTGCCATCATGTTTACTACGCCATCTATTAATTGATTGCTGAATGAAATTATAATAAATAAAATATAGACATGATTTTTTGTTAATGTACAAAAAAAATAATTTTTTACAACTGTATTTAATATTTGTGAATATTTTATCGTATTTTCCTCCATTTTTATGTGAGACATTAACATCCAAACAAACTGTTTGCCTCATTCCGATTTTATTAATTATGTTAGTATCTATATGTCATACATATTACATAATATGTATTAAAACGCTAATTCAGTAAATCTGTGCTTTTATACACTAGCAAGTTATTGCTCAGTCGGCGGGTATCATGTCGATGAATAGATCCACGACCTGTCATAAATTTCATTGCAATAGAGGATCCGGCTGATCAATTTGCGAGCGGAGTTGGGCGGGCGGTGATGGCACGGGTCGGGCGGCGGGGCGGCAGTGCGCGTGCGCGGGCCCGGGAACGGTGGCGGTGGCGGCGGCGGCGGCGGCGGGCGCGGCCCCGGCCGCCGGCAGTGCGCGAGACGTCGCCGCCTGCCGCGCCGCCGCTATGGCCGCGCCGCGCCGCGATCGCTGACCGCAGCGACCTACCGCGCCCGACACCCGCGCGACTAGTTCCGCGCACCGAACCTCGCCCCACGCCCGGCGGCTCGGCGGCCCACACCTCGCTACGCCGCCGCTAGGTAAAGTATCCGGGGAACCCGCGGCCGCCGCTATAGTAGCTTGCGCCTTGCGGCGCCCGCATCGCTTCTAGTGCTGGCCCACGCTTTGTTCTGCGGTGTCATTGCGCCGGGCTCGGGCGTCCCGCGCGACCCTCCTCGCGCCCCGCGCCCCTCGCCTTCCGCCCACCGTTCATGACGATACATAGGTAACGTTATCACGAAAACAGTATAATCCCGGGTCTATTTTGCTACGTCACTACTGTCTTCTATTATCTGGACTTGAATCTCAGCTCTGGTGACTGCCTAAACCGACGATCGTGTGTTGCTCATCCAACTGCTCCGATGCTCTATCGGTTAGTCAATTCTTCTTCTTCTATCTTTCTTACTTAACTCGCTTATTTATAGTACTTTTCAGTATATAAGATGCTTTAGTTTCTTTTAGTATTTGGGTAGCAGCTTTTTGTAGTTACATAACAGAACGTAGGACCTTCCTTGATGTCGATCGGCGCTCATACGTACCTAGGTACTACCTATGTTACGCCACAACAGTTCTTGACACTACTGATGGCAGTTTAGTTCTATTTTAGCGAATCGTATTTTGAAATATTTTATTATAATTAGGATTCTTATAAATTCATAAGCGTCTCTACTGTCTACGTATATAATATTTAATTTCTAAACATGTTTTTCTAAAATATAATAAATAGTAACTTCATTTTTACCAGAGGGCAGTCAAGTAGTACTAATTCTCACGACTACCTACGAATACATGATCTATTTTGTGGATTGAAAGATATAACAGGAATTATGAAGATGAATGTTGATGTGTTGATAAAATGTTAAATCACTATATCCGGAACAGACTAAGGCAGTTAATTTAGAAAAGTAATTCCACGGGCTTTTCAGTCTATTTTGTAATTGATGTGGTGCTGTTTATGATATTTTAATTACCTCCACGATTCTTACTAATAACTATTACGACGGTAGAGTAAGTAGGACATCAAGTTAATATCCTTTCATATAAAAATGGTCAAATACAAAAACTTTTGTTGTATAAAGTAATTATTGCATTTCGTGATGAAAATGAAATTGAACAAGTATTCATTTTTTTTATATTTCTAATTAAGAGCGATCTTCTAATTAGATACCTTAAATAAAAATATTGCTAATAGTCAATAAAACATACAAATATAAAAAGAGAAATAAATCTGACTTAGGACTTTGTACTACTACAATCTTAATAATATTATGAACGCGAAAGTTTGTGAGTATGGATGTTTGTTACTCTCTCTCAAAAACTATGGAACGGATTTTAATGAAACTTTACAGTAATATATGTAGCTTATGCATCAGAATAACACAGGCCATATTTTATATTGGAATTTAAAGCGGCTAAAACCGCGGGCACAGCTGACATTATAAAAGTAAATAAAGAGTAGATACCGCATTTAGACTACTACTCCTAGTTGTTAACAAAATTTACTCACGTCTAACATAGTACACCTAGATACAAAGTAGAGCTACACAAAGGTCGAGTTATCGGTGATTGGTGTTAATTGACTCATAACGACTCCACACAGACGAGACAGAAATGTACCAAACTGTCCATGGAAAGAGACGTCATCATTGTCAGGCGCCTATCGCTATGTGCCCCTCTAAAAAACTGGATATTATATTTATTGCTTACACTAATTCTATTGCTAAATTTGAAAATCCATTTAACTTATTTGATATCAATTATAAGATATGAAATTGCAACACCTTGCACTATAAACGCACGGTAACTTGTCGCATTTCTAATTTCTATGTGATTCAACAATATTTTAATGTCTGTTTACCTACACAACATTTCCACAAAAACTGACTACCTACAATGTGTTTATATATCCAAGAGTATATAAGATATACGTACAGATTGTTGATATGTATAATTCTAAGTAGAATCATAAAGCCATGAGATGAATCATCTTGATATGTAGATATCAAGATGATTCATCTCATGGCTTGGCATGAAACATGGTTCTATACGTAGGTATAGAACCATGTTTCATTGTTATAAAAAGAGATTATTAAAACTTACAACATACTGTGTATTTATGTTGGCGAATCGTAATATACACAAATAGATAATAAATGTTAATTGGAATTGGATCATAAAGCCTTCAATAAAAAAGTTTTAATGTAGAATTTATATAAATAATGCTTAATTTATAATCATTGCAATGCAATGGCAGTGGGCTGGTCATATATGTCGCAGAACCGATGCTCGCTGGAATAGACGTGCTCTAGAGTGGAGACCGCGAATTGTCAAACGTAGTGTAGGACGCCCCACAGGTAGGTGGAGCGACGACATACTCATACGTAGGATTGCAGGTAAACTGGAAGATGATAGTGAATTAGTATTTATTCTTAATATAGTTATAATATCCTGTGACAAAACAGTGATTATTATAGAAGCACGTTATATAGCTAAAATTAGAACTACGATTGATGCTGATTATGATTTCCTTAACTACATACTTCAGTTGCATGATGTAAACATTCGATTTGTAAACAAATACCGATCTTACGTACTGGTATGTTTTTGCCAATCGGTTACAATTTATTACTGTACTCTGGTTAATATAACGACGACTTTCAAGTCTCACTGTTTATAAAAACAAAATAGTTTATACGGTTTCGTCTGATCGTTGGATGAAAATCGGAAAGTATCTACAAGACTACACAATTATATTGTACTATGTATAAATCAATATAAGTAAAAATTTCTAAATTTAAGTAGATATGCATGACTGCTTTAGTAACTCAGACTATTACATGAATGTAAATTGAAGTGGTATCTATACTATAACTAGACGTCCGCCTCGGCTTCGCCTGGGTGGAGTTCTTTTAGGTTGATAAACATCATCATGCTTTGATATTTTTTAAATAGTAATAACAAAATATCACTTCTAATGTTACTCTGGTACACTGTAGCTGTCTAACAGTGAAATCGTTTCATTGGGTCCGTACCCAATGAAACGAGTGTTTAGGTTTAATTTCCGTAAATTAAACCTAAACTCAGGAGTTTAGGTTTAATTTCCGTATGACTTCAGTCTTTATAATAGTATATAAATATCTGTAAATTTTATTCATTGATAAGGCTGACAGGTGTTGTTATTATATATAATAACTTTTTCAGATCTGAAAGAGTAGGTATTCATCTAGTTTAGGGACACGCTTAATTTAAGAATATATGTAATTCCGGTAATCAAAGTCGGTTGCACTGCACTATATGATTGAATACAGAAATCATCACTATAATATTTTATATTTAACGATAAGTGTAATAGGTAAGTAGATAGGTACTTCACTGCGTTATAATGCATAAAGATTATATTTCCGAATCAAACTACGCTTTATTCAGCGCTAGTTAGGTAATTTATTATCAATTCCTACTATAGTATACAGGAAATCCTTACACCTTTAATAGGAGTATAAATAAAGTCGTGTTGTGAATACTTATTTAACATTCGTCGTATGTAGGTAAATTTAATATGCAAATAAAAAGTAACCGTTGGTTATATAGCAATAATAGTTTTGGCATTTTTGTATTATATAATTTCAATTATTAATTTTTTTTGCGATTTGTGTTTTAATATAACAATACTAATCACAGAGTCAACAATAACGTTTGGTACATAAATTTGTATCATGGATTATCTTCTTATCAAGCGTCAAACTGTCAACCCGAGCACATATTTTATGTCTTGTAAATTGTCTATAATATTAGCAACGAAAATCGACTGGCATATACGGGCTATTTTCGTTAATATACTCATTCAGGATACCTCTCGCGTACGACACAGATCACTTATCGCACTTATCATAAGATGCTTAAGCCTCCCAAAATTCCCCAACGACTCTAAAATTTATGACTTGAAAAAAGATTTCAGCGGTCTTATCTGTTTTATCAGATGATATTGCGATTCGCTGTGCGTCTTTCGTTTTCTAAACAATAGTTGTGGAACACAACGCCGAGAGTGGAGCCGCGTCGTCCAAGAACAATATTTACGCGTTGCGGGCCCAGACTAACATTGTATCATGTGTAGCGACCGCATGTGTTTATGGGGATAAGCGCCACTGCTGCCCAATCAATGTGCTTGGCTGCCTATGATGCATTCAATGTGATGGGACATGTTATCATTTGATTTAACTATTCCAAAAATGTGAGTAATCATGTGATTATTTTTAATTCTTATCCTAATTCTTGCTATTTTACAAATGGAAATGGTAGGTAAATGTAAATACAATTTAAAATTAAAAATGATTATGAAATTAAAATGCTGCCAAAAATATAATGACACCAATAAAATGGTAGCATTTGATACCTTCTGTGTGTGATACAGAAATCTATAAAATCATGACGTTTGGCAATTATTTATTTGCAATGTATATATACAAGACTATCAAAAAAGATAAAAAGAATAATGTATATAAATATAGTGCGCAACACTTTCATTGCATGGTTAAGGTAATCTTTGGTCTTCAGTACAGTCGATCAATCGCTTCGATATATCGTCCGCGAAACTTCAAAAGTTGGGACATCATATTTTTACAAAATAAAATTATTCAGATAACGATCTAGTACACGACTAAAATGTGTTACAATTTTATTCCGTTTCAATTTCACAAAACATTTCAGATAACCTCAAGTACCAAATGACATCAATAGACGAATTTGTGAATTCCCCAGCATGGCTCATCAAGGTATCATATTAATTACATTATAAATTATATAATATATTTATTATATCTAGTTAACAATATTAATAAATTTTTTTTTAGGACCTACTTATTCGTCTTCTATAATAAAGCTATACTATGTATACAACAATACAACTCAATTACCATCGCACTACGTCGCTATTTCAATTTTAACTGCTTAACATTATTGTATGATCTACACGTAAAATACCAAGTTGTCTGTCTCTAGTCTATCATTTAATCCTATAGATTAAGACTAACATACATACATACATACATACGTACATATATATACAGAGGCCAGTGGTAATCTACAGAGCGTAGAAGAAACATTTTTATAGGAAACTTATTTTACGGTTAAAACATGTAGCTAAAGGTTTTATTAGAGCAGATGAATGCATTTTGTCCATAAGAAAACATATGAGCTGTCGATATTGTAGTGATTGCAAACCTTAACATGTAAACATTACGCTGGGTATGTATATTTGCTCTCAACTTGTCTGTCAGGGGGCGAGCCTACTGCCATGTTATTTTTATAGCGGAATGAAGGATACACCTTCACTGGAATGTCAGCGAAAAATATAAATGTTGGTTTGGTGTCGGCTATCTTTATAATTATGACCTCTTGTGTGTAAATCAGAGTTGTAAACCACTAGGCTATAACTCCCAGCAAAAATATTGGTGTACTACTAAGTACCATAAAAATGGTAATTTTTTCTGTATTTTTTAGTACCTACTAATAATACTTAGAACATTGATTATATTCAGAATACTATCTAAAATCCACTCTTGCATTTCGAGATTTACATTTTCAATAATAAATAAATATATCTTTCTCTTATAGAGTTATAAAAATGGTCAATATTTATTATTAGGTAGACGTTGAAGAATATTCTATTCTTTGCAATATTATTACTCTACTATAGCTTATGCCTCTAAGTACTGGTTATTACGCTACGAACACACTGGCAATTTACTACAATTATACCATTTTACAATAAGCCTATTATTTCAAGGTACGTCTTTGATTCAAATTATGCACTTGTAGCATAGTTTTGCATGTTAGCATATGCGTAGGTTCATATATGCTCTGCTGGTTAGTTAACGGTTTACATAAGTAATGAAATCATGATCCATGCACGTCTAAAGTAACGGACTTGTTGCTACGATTACAAATCATTAATTCAATAAATTCATCATTTCATTCTGTGATTAACCATCAGTATTAGTAGGTATATTTGCTCAGAGAAAGCTAGTTTCGTATTGCTATGAATTATTTATTCGTCTACTGAAAAGTGGTAAGTAGCCACCTAAATGCGCATTATGCATCGTAGACATTGGTTCTTTAATGTGATGAATACATTATGTACGTCAACATATATTAATTATGAAATATCATATAGCACATCGTGGCGAATTGACCAGAAATAAAGTACGATGGATTATTATAGCAAAGACCGCTTAATTGTCAACCTGTTTGCGTATGGATGTTTTTATGAAAATCGAATTACTTCAAACTATCGGTCCACCTAATAGAAAGTGGTAACCCATACTATTATAATGAGTGTCATCACACTACAGCCATTACAGAATAGATTATGATGCCCATAAAATGCGCGGCATTTAGCGGCAGAATTCTTTTTATTGCATAAAATATATCAGCCAATATTCTTCCCAGAGGTATAATGGGTCGCCTGCATGAGAACGTATAGATGGATGGATGGATGAATGTTTGTTACCCTTTCACGCATAATCTACTGAATTTTGAATTACTTTACAGTAGACAATTAACTTTAACATTAGAATAGCACACAGGCTATAATTTACAAAAGAAATTTTATAAATTATATATTTAATTATAAATGTCAGGTAAGTGTTACTTAGATGAACTTGCTCGGGTCAGCTGGTTATAGAAAAAGTGCCATGACATCTTCAGTCATCAGTCTTCTAGCATTCCAACGCAGAAGTACGCACAACGCAGATTAGGTGTCACATGATAACGCGATATACGTAATGCCGTTCATGAATAGAGGTGACGATTACTACTTACCATCCAGTAAGCTGTCAGCTTGTTTGCTATTCAATTATGTACTTAAAATATTAACTTATAGATCGTAACCGGAACTCATCTATAAGATTATAATTTCTAGAACAGAAGCCAATTCAACCCGACTTGATGATGTTTGTAAACAATGAAGTGTTGAAGAGATGCCAGCTTATAAAATTTTCCATATATCTACGGTAACACAGCCTAAACATAAATATGTCAGTCTAGTTATTTCGCGGTACGTAAATCCTTACTTTTCGTAATTTAGAGAAATATCAAATTTCCTCTCCATATTACTATCCTAACAACCTTAATTTTTAATCCAAATACAATACTAAAATGTAAAAAGCATAAAAGGCATTACAACAGAAAACACTCTCATAAAAAGAAATAGTGCACTTATACTATGGACTAGCATACCTACATGTTTACTATTAATGTTTTCTTTAAATATGGCGGAATTTATAGCAATACGTAACAAATATATAAATGTATGCAAAAATAGCCACACGCCACGTCGTCCGCAACATTGCACTCAATCTTCATTCACCATGACTACAACCGACGAGAAGCGCAATTTTAGTTAAACATTTATATAATACCGAAGGCTGCTACTACTTACCTAAAATGCTAACAAAACTTAAAAAAATAAACAGACATGAGTGAAATCTTGATTTTTATATAATATGAAATTTTGTTCCGAGCTAGAGTTCTGAATAATAATTTTAGCAAATAAATAAATTCATTTATTTGATTGCATAGATTAGGATGCGTTAATTTCCGGTTGGCAAAAAATGTCTAGGTTTCACTAGAAAGCAGCATCCGTAATGTGCTCTGTGCTCAAAAGTAGGACAGATTCTAAAAAACTCGGATGGATGGCAACCCTATTCCTAGCTAATACTTACGTTATGTTTGGCAGGTGTCGGGGGCGCAGCGCGGGCGCGAGCGGCATGCGGCCCCGGCGGCAGACGCCCATGGAGGTCGGCTAGCGGCGCGCGCGCAGCCCCCGCGCCCGCACCCCCCGCCCCGTCCCGCAGAAGCCATGGAACTCGCTGACGTGCCTCGACACCGACCCCTCGCCTTCGATAAGGTGAGTACACATTTTTTTATTTTTTTAATACGTCTGCAATGTTAAACGTGCTAAAAGTCCACCTGATGGAAAATGTTAAGTGTTACTTCTGTAAAGTTTTAAAAGTTTGTCATAATTTATTTGTCTACCCTCCGCTTTCACGAAAACACATATGACACAACCAATATGATATCACACAAGTAATGACAACTTCATGCCACATTTACAGAAAAAAAAAAGTTTTATAAATACATTATAAGTATAACATAATAGTCGATATAAATTCTCTACATGCTTAATACAAGCATAGTGCAGTATTAAGTTACTACATACATTATGGTAAATGCTTTATAGACTTTAATTAATTAAATTAAATTTACAGTAAATTAATATTAAATCTATGATAATTTATTAAAGTTATTAGTGTCCAGGTTTCGCTGAAATTCTTTTACAGCTCGTGGAGAACGCAGACTAACTGTAAATTATTCTCTATCTAGTGCTTTTTGTTTGTTGACGAGAAGAAAGTACTATTCATGCGATCATCAAACATTGATGTTATTCTGAGAATCCATGATTTTAACTCGCATAATTTCTTGAAATAACACACTTCAAATATGTATTACGGAAGTACTATTATATTCCGAGAATTAGATACGTTGCCAAATATGAATTCGCCTTCCCAACTTCCTCTCTCTCTGATAATTCAATATAAACATACTGCTATGTTAATATTTATTTTGGAATTTTGTTCATAAAACTACAGTCAATTATAGTCAACATATACAATACACAATTATATTGGCAATCATAATTTTAAAGCAAACGACTACGATTACTTTCTGATAAATATCTAGTTATTTTACAAACATGCATCTAACGCATTTTTAAGTTTTTTAGATTATGATAGAATAATGCTAACGGTATGCCGCGGCACCAATATTTTGTGACCATATAGGAGGGCAGTTAGTGGTGATTCACTAGTAATAGAGCCGCCGTTCTAACCGCGTTAAGCGTTTTTCAAGTTTCACATAGTAAATTGAGATGCCGGTCGCCCTTCGTCCTCACAACTAGCCCTTTACTATATCCTTCCCCTACCCACCCCTTTCTGGCAGCGGAATATAAAAGAAATTTGCTCTAGAGTAACTACGTTGCTAGAGAATCCTGCCCTGAGAGATCACACTCCGCTTATTTAGCGGAATCGGAAACAGACTAAAACTCTATCGGTATTTTCCTTACCTTGTATAAGATAGAACATCCTTTTATTCCATAGGCCGGTGGGTGCGTTTATGTAAGACAAGAATTTTCTTTGTATACTTGAAGGACCTGTCCATTTTATAATTGCACGTAGTTTGCAACCAACCATACATCTATACATGCTTATATAGATCCCACAGCAGTAACACTGACAGTGAAACTGACCGACTCATTGAACATATCAACTAGCTACAGATCTGTTGCTCCAACATATTCCATTTGCTGAGATCGTGGCTCATGGCGATTTTAATGCCCATCACTCTGAATGGATCTGTTCAAGTACTACCGACTATGTGGGGAAATCTGTTCATGACTTTGCTTTGGCTGATGTTTTGACAATATACTTTCACTGTTGCACCTTCTGCTGACTTCTCAGCCGGATGGCTACGTGATTTCCGGAGAAGGCTCCGCTACGTGATTTCTACATTACTGTTATATAAAAGGAAGGGGTATACCTCTTAGTATTATATTTTGGTATTACCAAGACGAGTATATATTTAACAACATTTGTTTCTATTCGAAAGAGAATGACATTGCACTACACCTTTCTAACTGCTGATACTTACTGTACTATAAGAAACTTATCCTTTCCGATTCTAATTTATTTTTAACGCTAAGTTGTCGGTGGTTGTGGCTTGTCTGAAAATCAATAGGTTGCTTCGGTCAACGATATGCCGGTAGCGAGTCTACTTTCCGCACGCTATCCACTTCTTGTCTAAATTGGGATTTTCTCGTAAATTTTTTAAAAGGCTTCAGTCAGTATATATATATATATATATATATATATATATATATATATATATATATATATATATATATATATATATATATATATATGTAATACAGATTGGTGAAGGGTTGCTAGATTTTATCATGTATATAATCCTGCATACTAAATGTACTTACCTCAGCCCGCTTACGGTAACTAAAGGTATGTATGGATATAGATATAGATGTGTCCTGTAATGTGACATTACCCCATTTTATCATCGTTATAAATGTAATAAAATAGTAAACGAGGCATGAAAAAATAAATTACCAAATATGTTATAATAAAAATAAGTCTTTCCAACAGCAAAGTTCTACTTAGTAACTCGGGTCAAAAAAAATACTTTTTAGGACAATTGTTGGTCTTTCTGTTAGTTTGTGCCCACAAATATAAAAAAAACGTCTTACCCTTGGGTATTTGGGTAGATGAACATGTAATCATAATGTTCAGCTAAGTTGCATACAGTATATTCTACAATTTTTTCAGAAATGTATGGATAAAATAAAAACTATAAGTGCTTTACAAAACTGTTACCATTAAAATATGTATACTTAATCGATTAATGGTGTCTTTTATATATACTAGGTAACTATGGTATGTATCGTATATTATTAGAACACAAAGTTCACAGAAAGCCATGTTAATTTAATGATGACAAGGAACACAGTATTGTGTTAATTATACGTATTGATATCTTTGATTTACGAGCCAACTACCCACATCCAGGCCTTTTATATGAAGCGACATACACGGCGCTATACGGCCTTTGTTATACGAACGTCGAGGAAACCACCAATACAATACCCCTTAGTATACACAAGAGTTGAATACAAGAGATTCTATTTGATTCTAGAATACATAATTTTTTTCTTTCAGAATGTATAAAATATTTTTAAAAACAATTATGTTGCTAACAACAAAAACTCGTATTCACTACAACGTATAATATAACCAGTACAAAACTAAGCTGTAAATTATAACTGCGACTAAATATTATGAAGTCTCAACTCGTGTATGTTCTGGATTCGTGCCAGATAAAACTACAAAATTGAAAGTATAAACTACAACACCATTATATCCCCTTTCTGTACACGCTTTTGGTATACCGTTCATAGCGATCGTAAAAATGTCCCTTAATCTGTGTTCCAGTTATATTTCATCCTTGTGGTCATTCATTTTTGTTGGAAAATTTACAATCCGGCGAAGTATTTATTAATTGAACAGGAGTCAGCAAAAAAGTAAAAGGTCTAAATAGGGCGCGGTTGCCGCCCACGCGGTTTCATGGACGCGTTTGGGCAAACGTACGTCGGTACCTACAGTACGACTATACACGAAAAATGTTTTTGCGAGATATATTTTAGTGAAAACACTTGTTGTAACATTATTACATACAAAAGTCACGTTTTATAGATTTTTCTGAATATTTATGGAACGTTGTATGGACGCTCTGTATAGTATTTGCATATAAATGAAACAAAACATTTTTGGTTTATCCACTGGTTATATATTATACATAAAGTTACAAAAATATTTCTACAACATTGTTATTGATATTAATAAAGTACCTTGAGGAGAGTAAAGATCTGGTTCTTAATGATACTGGCAAATAACTACCAGGGATCTTCCACCAAACAGTAATAATGTAAAAATTAGACAATTGGCTAAAATGAGTTAATATCAACTCAAGTAGCAATTAATCACTATTCATTTTTCATAAAATATATTTAAAACTATATTAATTTGTTTTAAATCTGAATAGAATACCAGTACCTATCTATATTAATTATTTTCGTATATTTTTTATGTTAAAATGACTTCTACACATATAAATAAAATTGGAGTGTCTGTTTGTAATATTGAAATAACCGTTTTTTACTACATGCATTGAATTTTTTTCTGTCTGTCTGTTTGTTTTGGCTAATCTCTGAAATGACTGGACCGATTTTGACGGGACTTTTACTGGCAGGTAGCTAATATATTAAGGAGTAACTTATGCTCAATTGGTATCAAGAGTATACTAGAAATTGAATTGAATTTATTTCGGTAAATGAGGTGTCCTCTCTTTGTAGGCATTTGTTATCTAGTACCTGTTAGCATAACAAAAAATGTATAAAAATACCATTATCTTCGACAAATCTGAAATAATACAGTTTATTTAAGTTAGTTAAGTTAAGTCTTAAAGATATAAATAACCATAACAAGAAAACAGAGAAAATTCTAACTAGACGTGAATTTTAGGATTTGTCAAATAATATTCTTCCTAAAGAATCTTAATTGTGAGTTCCGTTTTAATAAATATGTATATATGTATATGGGAATAAAAAATGTTTTCAGTTAAGCCAGTTATGATGCACAATTTCACCACAAAATATGCCGTTGCATATTTTAATAAACCAACGGGACTTAACGAAAAATATAAATTGATATTATGTATATATTGTTTGATCAAACAAGCTAACCTATAGGATAAGGAACCATTGTGTAAAATTTCATAGTTTTGATTTTGGTAGTTTCGGTTGAGAGACCATGTGTAGTTTAGTAGGAACACAAACGATTCCTTATGTTAATGACCCTAGTAAGAAATAATAAATTATTTCCCAATAACTCGTGGAATGGATACTAAATATCTCTGCGCGTAAATAACTCGGCATCAAGATATTAAATATGCTTAATTTGTAAATTGTAATTGTAATTGTTTATGACATTAAAATACGTTATGGATCTTTTATTCGAATTCGAATAATGAATCCAAATCAATGAATTATTCTACTCATTATCTGTCGCGTACTCACCTAATTCATTATTTCTACTTCGGTGCTCGTCGACATAAACTTACCTAAATATTGTTTTGGGTATATAATTTTAAAAGATTTATTTTTTCTGCAAGCCGATTATATTACCTTGAATTGAAATTAAGATGAAAGTATTAAAAAGGTAAAAATTATATTATTATATAAATTACTACTATATCGTGGGTCGCTAAGTTAAATGAAAAAAAAATCAGGAGAAGTGATAGTAAGTTAAAGTGACCCAATGTGCGGGTCACTTTAACTTACTATGACCTCGGTCAAAGATTATAAAAGTAATTAAAGATATTTAATCAACCTGCTGAGAATTCTTCTCATTTCAACATTATATGTTACAGCATTACTTAAACAAAATTTTTGTCAAGGTGAAGATGTTCAAAACAAACAATCTTTAGGTGTAATGAATTGTAGAGAGAAGGGTGGAGAGGAGACAAGGGGGATGGAAGGCGTCCGCGATTGCGGGATGTGACCCGCGAGCCACCCCGCGCCGGTCGATCGATCGCGCCCGTGACGTCACCGCCTTAGCCTTCGCCCCCAGAGCTCCCGTCTCCTGGGACCAATGAACGTCCACCCCAAAAATCACAATGCGATCTCCACATCAAATATTTTATCAATTGATCACTGATCGCAAGTAATCGCTGTATAGGAATCGCGAAATGAATTACATGTTGTAATGCGGAATACACATTGTAGATATAAATTTATTCGACAATCCTAAATTAGTACCCGTATAATCATAGTAAATGGATAACCCCCATATAAATCTTAACTGTTTATATAGTTCGGTGTCATAGAAACTGAATGCAATGAGTTATCAATTATACTACGATAGGAATATCGATTAATTAGTCTATAATACCAAGGACTGTCTAGGGATGAGAATAATGCAAAGTTTCGACGTCATCACTCTCAATCAAACGAAATACACTTAGATATAATACAAAAGGTCAATATGATCGACCCATTAACAGCTACAACACCTTTGGAACCAAGCCTAAGATGGTTAAATTCGGGTTTTGACAATCTTAGGCTTGGTTCAACAGAAGAAAATATTGAAGTTTCCTACCAAGAACTTATCGGATTCTTAATGTACATTGCCTTTGGTACCTCATCGTTGGACCTGACTTTCATACATTCTTTCACAAGATTTTTATATATAAAGTCTCTGCTGCCTTTAAATCATGGGAAGCACGCATGCAGCGCGCAGTCGCGCTTTCTACCACTGAAGCCTAGTTAGCTTTAGCAGAAGCTTGCTAGGAGGCAATTTACGTCATAACCGTCATCAGTGAAATATTCATCATTCATACTAACAACCAAAGCTCCTTAAAACTGGCATATAACACATGAACTCATGATGAAGAACTCACGCATCTGTATATTGTCTTAGGTTAGGTATTGAATATAGGAATTTGTTAGTGATATAATATTGAGGTTAAGTTTAAAACTGTACGTTTTAAGTTTTATTATGATTTTATTTACACAGAGTTTTCTCATTACAAGGCGTGGTAGTCCTACAATGAGATTCACTGGCAGTTTTATATACTTCTTTATCCGCATTTAAAATAGAAGTATTATTTTTACTAGATTTTGTATCCACTTCTGTTCGGCGCTCTGCTATAGTAAACGTCTAAAAGTATATCTTTTTTTATTATGTATTATTATTGCTACACTCTTTAAATTCGCTATTTCTGCTATCAAACAGCAGAAACAGATAGATAGAAGAGTACCCATGCTATCCACAGCTATCCACATTATACAGTTTTCGTTTAGTAAAGTAATAAATCTAAACAATAACAAATGAAACATCTTAAAAACATCACACTAGGTTTCTTCAATCCAATTTTAAATCAACTGTCGCATTTAATAAAGTACATTGAAAACTTGAAAGGTCTCAAATAATAGTACGATATCGATGTAGCTGCATAAGCTTTGTTCATGTTGAGCGCTCTCGAATGCCTCGTCGAGAGCTTTCGTCGAGATCGTCACAGGGTCATCCATTGCCGATATAGGCGCTCTAGGCCAACTCAAGTGCATATTGACCTAAAAGGATGCAGATGAATTCATGCTCAATATTCAATGCCCTGAACTCAATATTCAGTCGCCGCAGTTCAATTTGAAATTTAAACTTCTCTTATCGGTAGATAGATATATACTTTATTTGATACAGTTTTTTAATATCATCAAGTACCAGAATCCATTTATCCTCATGGAAAGGTTTCAAAAATGCATTTAATAAGAATTTTGATATTTTTGGAGCTATATCTATATTTACTCTATTCTTAATATATAAACAACTGATCTTTATTTACTTTACACTGAGTTAGGTAAATGGAATTCTCATTAATATCAACTCGAACATATTTCATAATATAAGCAAAAAAGGAAAGGAATGGTGAGAAATACATATAAAATATAAATAGTAACAATAAACCGATTATTACCTCAGAAATAGTAATTAATTTTTACTCAGTGGTCTATTTGCTCAACTAGCAAAACACTATTTTCAGTAGCTGCAACATTGATGACCTTAAATAAATACTTTACAAGATAATTCCAGTATTACTGATTGTTTATTTAATGTTATAGTATATTTCAAGTCGGCATTTTGCTGTTAGTGCCTAGTTATTAGTGTGTATTGATTGTTACCACTGCCAGCGATGTTGCAATTATTTCCGCTACATCAAAAATATGCAGCAGGCAGTTGTAATTAACGACATGTACATAACATCAATAACTTATGTCGTCAAGCTGTTCCACCAACGACAATTCAAGTAGTTAACTTGATTTATAACAAACAATAGTACTACAATATACTAGTAAATAATAGCAGACTGACTCATCATGTTAGTTTATCAATATTAAGGAAAGTAGGTATAGCACGATATTTATATCTAAATTTAGAATTTTTAATCATTATTGTCTCTATAAACACACTTACATAATTACATATCTAATGTAGCTGAAAGCAGGTAGTTATATATCGAATAGTGGTTTATAATTTACATGTCTAAAACTATATACCTATCGTTAAAATATGTAGTACGTATTTTTTTTAATTACAAGGATTTTTTATTGGAAAATAAGTAAACTAAGTAATTCTACATAAATTTTTTAAAGTACTTTTTTACCGTATTATATAAAGTTTTGGAAAAATTGTTCCAAAATACTAATAAGAGTATTATAAAATATTTTGAGATTGTAATACCCATTTGATATATACAAAAACGTTTAAATGTAGTTTCAATGAGACAAATAATTTCATACCAAATTCTCTATTAAACATGTATTAAAATATTTTTTCTCTTTCTACTTACAGATGGAAAGTTTGATAAAGGAAATGCAAGATCCAGAAACTGGTGTACCAGTACGAAGTCAAAAACTATTTCTTAGTGTTATTCCATCTGCTTTTATGGGTAAGATACGACAATGTATTCTTATGACTATAAGTTCAGATGGGGTAGTCGTAGAGATATTATTAGTCGATTATTATTTTGATTAAGTACAGTTCGTAAAACACAGTGAATATAGCATCTAAATACCGACTTATGATCATTTAGATAAAACTCGATTCATGTTCTCGATTCTACAGTAAATAACACTGATGTTTTAACAATCCATTAGTGACTAAGTTCGTGAAATCTAGCCTATACGCCAGTTAATACTGTAGCGGTCTAGGAAATATTCTAATTGTAAAATCAATATAACAAGCACACACTACTTTAACCCGTTCTTTATCTACTGTGTATGCAAAGTTCAGTCAGGTTTCTAATGGTGTCGTATTATTTTAAGAATATCCTAGAATTTTAAATTTCTGTACCCAAATACGAAATAATTATTTAAGGAATATTATAGCGAAGAATAATGGTTTGACTAATAAACAATCGTAATTTGGGCCTTTAATTTCCAGGATACGATCTTGTCGAATGGCTAATGGAACGGTTTAATCTTGATGAAACTAGCAATGGTGAGTGTTTTGTAGCAAGCAGTGGACCCTGGGCTGGGTCCCGCCGCAGGAACCCCGTAGAGTCTAGCTATATTGAGAAGTTCAAGTTGTACCCCCAGGTGTTAATATGTAGGTAGTGCCATCACTATCCTCTGCATGATTGTCAGTATTCTTCGCTACTCGTGTATCTATTACTATTATATTGTTATCGTTGGAATAAATTAATAATAATTAATAATGCAATGTCGCCTCCGCCCTTAACATTAGCTATGCCTCTTCGTTGTCAGCGATATTGTAAGACTTTGTCCATTTGTAGCGGAAATAAGTTTTATAAGAATGTAATGTGACATATCTAAACATAGGAATAAAATAATAATAGGTTGTTGTTGTTGTTGTGTTGAATATGTAAAAGGTACAACTTTTACATATTCAACAAAAATTATTATAGAAACAGAAGCTAAAATAACATCCTTAGAATTTTTGTTTGTATGCCTATATGTTTGTAAACACATCACGGAAAAACTACTGCATGTAATTAAATGGAGTTTTCACCGATGTATTGCTAGAGGTTTATTTAAAATATATAAACTTATTTGTATAATATTTTTTATTTTGAAATATTATATAAATAGAGTTTATATTTTAAGTTAGACCTCTACCAACACACAAGGGAAGTGTCATATTATTTAGTTCTCTATGTAATAATTATTCGATCGATTTATAATAAATGCACCAGATTTTAAGTCATATCATGAAAGTCTTAAAAATTTCATTGATATCCATTTCAATCTCCTCGTCTCGAAATAATAAACCGACTTTCATTCTAAAAATTCTAGCCTAGGGTAGAATATTTTTGTTGTGTAGATAAAATCTGACGTCCGCGTTTGTGTAATTTTAATCAACAGATAAAAGTCACAATTGGAACAACGCTTTTCACTTCTCTCGTGCTGTATAATCCCTGCTTTCGCTATTGTCATAAATATTGTGTTATTTTTGCCAATAATTTACAATACTATATAGAAGTATTCTTAATTTCAGTTGAAGCAATAAATTTAGCCAATCAACTCTGCCAATATGGTTACTTCTTTCCTGTCAACGATTTAAAAAACCTTGTCTTAAAGGATGACTCTTCTCTATATAGATTTCAAGTGAGTATTCGTATTTACTTAATATATTTTTTGTCATTAACCACAAACGTGTAAACATTAAAATGTAAATCATTCAATTAAGGCCTTATATCATCAAAATAAACACTCAATTTAAACATAACTAATGAATGAATGACCAATTTTTTCTGGTGATCGTTTGTTTAACCGCTACTTTATATTTATAATATAATGTATGTATGGATCATTCACTGTTTCACTTATTTCTGTCGCCGAACGCGAACTGTATGTCTGTGATATAACGGGGATTACTATGACACTGAAAACCGCAAGAATGACAACCCACTAGAGTCGCTATGTATACTTTTTAATCTCCGCGTTTCATTTTTATGTATATACGCGATGGTTACCTCGTTGAAATGTCTATTATTGACCGGCTTATTGATATCGTAGCGACCGCTTATAGACTAATTTAAATAGCTTATAGACGAATGAAATAAAAATCAAGAAACCTTAGGTCTTTACGTAGATTTAACTCTATCGTAGGAGTCCTCTATATTGGAACGTATTATATTGTTTTCTATACATTTAGAGTCCATATTACTGGCCATGGCAAGCTCCGCGGGTTGCCGGTGGTTCCGGAGCTCCTACTCTAGGCCCCGACAATGTGGAGTACGCTATATACCTTGTGAAACGTACCCTACGCAACAAACAGCGCCATGGCCTTGAGGAATATGAACAGGAGGCGCTCGCTAATCTTAAGAAGAACCTGGCTGCCAAGTGGGATTTTATAACAATGCAAGCAGAAGAACAGGTGCGTTTAATATTTAATTTCTGTCATTGTTGAGTTTCTAATGCGTTTCAATAGAAAGTACTCTCTTGATGGACTGCACGGATGATATCTTATTGAATTTATCTCATTCTCACTGTTAGTCTTTACAGCCATGCAAATAATAATACGAATTATTATATATAATAATTTAATAAATTGTTAATATTCATAATTCAAATTTTATAATTATTATTAAAAAATAATTCGTTGGTAGGGTAATTGAAATGTTTACTATCTCACCCAGGTCCGGCTTGCGAAAGAGCGTAAAAAGGGTGACAAGATAGTGAGCGACAGCCAGGAGCGTGCGTACTGGCGCGTGGCGCGGCCACCCCCAGGAGTCTCGAGCGCCCTGGAGCCGTGCCCCGTGCCCGTCCGCAACCGACACCCGCGACCCAAGAAGCGCACCATACACCAACTCACGCGGGAGGTACGTCACTACATCCTCAGTGCCCTGTGCCGCAACCTACACCCGCGGGCAACCTACACCTCATACTCATCTTATTATCCTCCACTGGTGCCCCGCTAGCGTAGACCGTTAGCGCGGGCGGGTGCACCATTACATTATCTTCCATATAAAACCCTACACCTGCACACCCCAAGAAGCGCATCATACACCAACTCACTCGGGAGGTACATCACTACATCCCTATCCTCGTCAGCAAACATCACAAAACGAACACCTCACTGTAATACACTATTACTTGCCTGTATTGATATAAAAGACCGCCTATTCGCCGCCGCGTCTTCGGTATTTAATCTATTTTGACATCCAATGTATCCTTTGTCCTGTTTTGGTAAAAGATAGACAAATGTACTTTCCCATTTATATTATTAGTATGAAATTTACCGATTATCGTGTTAAGTCACGCAGGTCATAACATGTCTCAATTTTAAGAGATTAAAATCAATATAAACTACTACCTTCAGAATGGAAGTTATAAGCTAAATTAAAGGGTTCACAATTACTGTTAAAACAGTTAACTGCTTCAAATAAGAATTTATTGCCATTGCACATCAAATCCCAAACCAATTTAATGAGACTACAAAAGTCACTTAACTAATTATTTTTGTTAAATTTGACTTGTTAATAATTTTTAGACTAGTTTTTAGATATAAAATGCCTTATCTTTAATATGCTAAATTTGTCATATAGATACCTATATACTTGTGTACTTGCCTATTCGACCGTGTCATCATAGTTAATGACATTATAATAACCCCAAAAAGGCTACAGTTTCGTTTGCCCAGAATTAATGTATGTATATGGTAATGTATGTGGCACTAGACACGATGTTTTAAATAAAGGTATTTATCTAAATATCTATACATGCTTCATATAGGTATTCTATTTCAACATCCAACCTATCATTCTCCAGTTTCGTGTTTCCGCATATTAGTAATTTTATATTAGCTATACGTAGAATCTCATCACCTGTAACTTCATCACGCGATACTCGCATAAAGCGGTTATGTAGACACGCAACGCAATTCACTGTCACGGTGGAAAGTAAATAAAAATAATACCCGTGTTTCTATGTTGCCTACCTATATGTAGCTATTTAAGCTTTGAATACAGCTAAATTTTCTGCGTAAAATAATGTCACAATTTTCACCGTTTCTCCACTTTTACTAAACCACATAACAGATTCTTGCGGAAGTTTTATTTGGTTTATATGCATAATCATACTATACCTCGCAAGTCGCTAGTATGTGATAATAGTACTGAAACAGATCACTCATACAACTTGAAATCCCCATTAAAAAATTGCATGTGTTTTATATTACCTTTTATACTGAGGTGATAATATAAAATACATATTGTCACAAAAACTAAAAACGTTAAGAATTATATACAAATAAATACCATTTCATGAAAAAATGTAATTACAAGTTATAACAATTTGTAATTTTTTTTTAAACTAAAATTAGGTTCACCTTCATATTTCTTTAAGTTAAAATTCAGCTCAATTTAAATCATTCGATTCAGCGGTCGTTAAGTTAAAATTATTAAAACTACTTATATTTCAACATATACACTTAGAATTTATACGCATTGATGGACATTGACGAACAAACTATTATGTAAATTACAACGTTACAATCTCACTTAGTGGTCTTGTGAAAGGCAAATGTCCAACAGTGGAGCTGAAGTTAAAAAATACTCTAATAAAAATCTAGTAAGTCTTAATTTGAGTCTTTATTTTACTGTTCTAGATTGAACATTTGAAAGCTAGCCTGGATCGCACGAGAGTGAAGACTTCCATTGCCCTAGAGGCCCTAATGGCCTATTCGGAGACCTTCGCTCCCTACGATCCCTGGCTTACCCCACCACAGCCTTCCAACCCTTGGGTCAGCGATGACACTCTCTTCTGGCAGATCAACAGTCCTCTGTAAGTATTGATAGGATATCTGTCAATTTTCTTTTGACTATATGCTTGTCTACATTATTTATTAACTCGTAACCTGGTCTATAAATAAACGTCACCACGTACATCAGGTTACCATAAACGCCAGTGACACTACTCATTCTTTAGCATTCCGGAGATGCCATGCTTCTTACCCCTTGTAATCCTTCAATTTTACCCTAAATTTCACTGCTTTGTAACCCTATAATCGAAACAGCTTAGAAATAAGCTGCTTGGCAACTGAAGTAAGTAGACTGAGATACCCTCGCAAAAGACTTTCTCCAAAACGGCAACACATAAGATTCTGCATACTGTATATAGGCTGACCGTCAGACTGTTTACCATTCCAGTTATATTAAAATATTTGTTCCAACTTTCAACAAAACAACAGTTTTATACATTTGATAGTAAATTACTCAGCCAGGACAAACGATTTTATAAGTACCTATAGATGTAAATTTATTATTAACATTTCTTATTTGTTAAACCAGAGTGGAAGTGCCAAGCGAGAAACGTGTTCAACGCTGGGCACTATCAATAGACGAATTGGTGTCAGACCCGACCGGTCTGCAGGAGTTCACCAGTTTTTTGCGCAAGGAATATTCCCACGAGAACATTCGTTTCTGGCTCGCCGTTATGGACTTACGTCGAAGTAGCACCAAGCAAATACCTAAGAAGCTGAAGGAAATCTATGAGTTTGTATTATTTATAATAAATCAAATATCCTATGTAGCTCTAGTTTAAGCCTAAAAAAGCCTTTAAGTAATTTTACAATTCAAAGTTTTTTCTACCATATCCATGCATTCAATTTGTAATGAGTATTCATTTTTTATTTCATTAACACTACCCTAAAATTAATTGTACAGTATTGTGCAGTAGTGGTGTATCTAATAAGGACGCTATTCCTTATCTATTAAGACGCTAGACCTTATCTTTATCAATGTTATAAAGGGGCAAAGTTTATGAGCTTGTGAGTGAACCGATTTTGAAAATTCTTCATCTTCTATTTCTGTCGTACATGTTAATAATAGGAGTATGATGTCCACAGAGAGTTTCTTGCGCCGGGCGCGCCGTGTGAAATCAACATCGATGGCGCAACGGCGGAACGCGTGGCGGAAGGAATCCGTTCTGGTTCACGGTTCGCGCTTGACCACGCGGCCGGCCATGTGTACGGACTGCTTCTCAAGAAAGATTGCTATCCCCGTTTTGTACGCTCTGAGCACTTCCAGCGGTTGCTCGCAGACGGGAAAAATGTACACCAGAAGAAGGCCAAGTCAGTTCTTTAGTTATATATACCTCCGCATTCTCAAATTGTATTCGAATCATTATTATTACTATGTACTTGACTTTATAGTAACTATACTCATCTCTGTTCAATGCTGTAAAGAAAGAAATCGTTCTTTCTAAGTATTGTCAGAAACCCATTTAACTATATTAATAATACGTGTGGATAGTAGATTCTTCAACTTCGGTGGCCAAGTAAAGAAGAAGCCGGGCTCGTCAAGTACGGGCGCGGGCGCAGGCGCGGGCCCGCTGGGTCGACGGCGCGGTTCGGACCGCTCGCTGTCGGGCTCCGCCCACGAGCTCGCCGTCTGCGCCGCGCAGCCGCCGCGCGCGCCCGACCCTCCGCCCCACAGCCACTCGCAGTCCAACCTCTGCGATATACCCTTTAGGTAACGCACTTCACAACTTCATAATACCGTCCTTGCGACTATCGCATATTCTCAAAACAATTTCTGCAACAACCACAGTTTAATTAATATAAGGAACCACGGCTTAATCATCTTAGTGTAAACTATAGTTACCTCTGTCCTTATATCTACGCACTTAACTTGTATGTACATATATATTTCCAAGTACGTACTTTATTATCACTTGACTTGTGAAACTCATCTGATCGAGTGCCCCATATCTTATATATGTTAACGATGACATCATAATACTTAACTGTGACAATTTAACATTAACAGAGATCCACTCGATGATGATACTTGTGAAGTACTACCATGGGAGAGTGCATCTCGTGAGGGAGTATATGGCGTCGCCAGCAGAAGACGTCAAGATTCGACCGCGGATTCTGGCAGCTCGTCGTCGGACGTGAGCGCGGCGGTGGTGGTGGGCGAGCGTACGCGGCGCTTGCCGCAGCAGAGCACGCTGGACGGCGGGCTGCGTGGCGCGCCGCCGCCGCTGCGCCGGCTGTCGGCGGTGGAGCCGCGACACCTGGCGCCGCTCGGCTCGCCGCCGCACTCCCCGCGCCCGCCACGGCCCTCGCCCGCACCTCCGCCCCCACCGATCGCGCCGCCGCACCCCACGCCCACCATCAGCGTCAGCTCCGCACCCGACGACGAGTCCCCGCCCAACACCGCCTCGCCGGAGGAGGCGCGCTCGACGGCGCAGTCCGACGAGCCCTCCTCGGTGTTCGCCTCCGCGGACGCCACGCCGACAGAACCCAGCCGATCTGCCGTCAAGGCATTCGAGAATCGCAGCCCGCTCTCCTCCGACGCCACCCTCCCGCCCCCGGATTCCGGTTGTGATGACTTTCGAACTGATGTTACGACAGTGGAAGTGAACGTGAGATCCGAGTCGCGCGACGGCTCGACCGCCTCCGGTGCGATGTCGGATTCTAGGGGTTCCGAGCGGACGAGGTCGTCCGACGACGACGTCGTCTCGGTGAGAGGATCCGTTTCCCTGGAACCGTCGACGATAGAAATCAGTCCGGCCTCAAGTAAGGATACCAGTAGCAAAATCGGCGATCTTCCAGCGAACGTGGACGAGAAGGTCGGCAATACGGAGTCGGTCAAGACGATAGCCACCAGCACTAGTGCCCAGTGTGCGACGAGCACGCCGTTAACGGGACCGGCACCGTCCGTGGCGCCGAGCCCGGCCGCGAAGCCGGCGGCGGCGCCGGTACCGGTCTCCGTTTCGACGATAGGTCCGGCGCCAGCCCCGGCCGTGCTCCGGCCGCCGGTGGCGCCTCTCGCCGTCTGCGAGGACATCGGGGTCGACGACGACAACGTAGACAAAGTGCCTTCGGCGCCCTTGCAAAGGGTCTCGGGTCTCACCGAGGCGTCGTCCGAGTCGGACGCGACGAAAAAAATTGCTCATACAGACGAACTGTCGTCGGTCTCTGAACCCAATATTGTTAAGCGTGATAATAACAGCGGCATCGGTGAGCATAAGCAGCGGAACGACATTTGTCCCTGGGAGGACGAGTAAGTACTCGTGAGTTTAGTTTGTGCGTTGTTATAATGTTGTGACGTAGATGATATTCTGAACTTCGGATAACTATGCAATCATTAGAACAGCACGGTGTGTTGCCAGTTTTTAGTTTTATTATTTTATTTTATGTAATGATAATATTGTTTTCGCATGATCATTAATAAATATATTTCAATGGTGAAGTTGAAAATACAGCATCTCTCACAGAAGCATTATTAGATGTAAAATGCACCTTTTGTTTTTTTAAGTAAAATAACACCATTAAAAGTATTTTTGCTGTTATTGTTTAGACCATTCATTTTAATGACAACATACCTATTGATTCCATTTCGCCTTATTGCTATTGCATTTCTAATTGCCTTAAAATGTTTAAAATATGTTGTTATGATTATGTAGGTATAGTCCTTGTCCTCACCTTGGTATCATCATTACTGAAGGTGGTGAGTGCCTCTTGCTTCTCCTTCATAGTTCCTTATGTATTTTACTAATCATGAATAACTGATTTTCGTTTTTCTTTTTAAACCTATACAGATTTAAATCAAATTTTATGGCCGTTTTTTGCGATATTAGTTATTTAATTAAAGATTAAATATAATAAAATAGAAATACACATTTATATAAACAATAATAATATATACCTTAGATTGAATAAATTTTAAACTGAAACCGTTCATTAAAATCTGTTTATTCCTTAAAAAGCAATTATGCATGCATTAGGCATGCATAGACGATATAGATAGCAAATGTTTTTAAAACTATATAGCATCGCTCATTCTTACAGCATTACCCATAAATTGTGTAGTTACTTAGGATTGTTGCACAGATGGAACAAAAAGAAATGGTAGGTAAATAACACATAATATATGTACATTACACAAATAAAATCATTTAAAAGCGGTAACATCTTGAAATAAAACCCCAAACTTATCCTTTTGATTATGCAAAAACGCTTCTTTATGTGCACGCATAGTTCAACTGATATTATAAAACCTGTGATTTTTTTACCATATCACACAGTCAACAGCGAAAGCTAAGAATTAAATTAAAAAGGGAATTATTTGAATAGATGCCGCAGCTATGCCTCTAGTAAGTATAGCGTTTCGATTTGGACTTCATAACTAAAAGAAATATTCATACATTTTTGGTTATTTTAAGATTGAATTACGTAATTAATTTTTGGCAAATTAAATTTAATATTTACTACTATACTAATGATGTTGGCCATAACTAGACTTTACAGCTTCAACTGACGAGAGCGAGTGATCCACTCCAGACGCGGAAAAACTTATGAAGCCGCTGAAGGCCTATGTCCGCTCCTATAGTACTATTAAATTGGTTCATTGCACATTTATTACCTATGAGAAAAAACATTTCTCCGTAAGTAACCGTGTTGACAATAGGGATACTTTTTCTTCATATTGACCGTCTACAAGTAAATCTAATTTCGACTATATAAATCGAAATTTCCTCCTAAATTACCGATGACTACATTTAAGTTACGATTAATAAAAGCTGTTATTATAGTTTTTTGCATCACATTGAAGTGCCTACTTGTGGCATCTATTTAAATCTGTGTCTACGTAATTCACATGCAAGTGCAATTTTTTATACTTATTTCTTACACTTTTGATGATGACTGTAGGTCAATATTCCTTTGTATTGGTACTTGATTGATTAAAGATGTGTTGTATGTATGTTATAAATAATTAATTTATTATTTGTATTAAGAATACCAATTATTTGTACATGCATATATGTATTATACTAACAGAACGGTGTAACGAACTAATAGAGCATAAGCCTTTTATAAAAATATATAATCGAATATAAAAAAATGTTCTAAAAAAGAATATCAGAGTCATTCAAATTCGTCTTATCTATGCCTTCCCCTCGTAACTTCGTAACAAGAACACTTCGTAATTTCAGGCATATGCCCTATTAGTACCTTAAATTACATTTTGTTAAAGAATAACACACATTGCATTATTTAATTACTGTAAAATCTCAATAAAAATGAATATGTGATGACGCCTAAAGAATGATTTTCTCTCCCACTTTAATGTAACTGAATAAAAAATATATTCATCTGATAAATACATATAGTGGATTAATAGGTATTTTGTACAATAATAATTTATGTAGTAGCTATTGTGGTGAGTCGATTTCTTGTATGTAACCATTGTTTTCACTTCCTATTCATACACTAAGCATGGCATTGCAAGTATATATATGTACATTATATTAGACATATAACATATATATATTCATTATCACGTAACACACCTGGCACATGGAAAATACTAGAAAAGTGGATTTTGCGAATAAACCTGTCGTATATTTTTTCCGCCATATTTGTTTTACACTGACGACATGTTGCATGCATGAACCATTCCTTTACTGAAGAGGAATGTACCGCCATTCCTTTAAAATCTACCAACCACTTATGGTTACTTAGGACGTAATGTAGGTACATGCATACTTTACACAATGAATACTGCTATTTTTCTTTCTTAGTTAGTTAAAAAGGAATATCAGTGCTGCAAAGTTGAATATATCACATTGACACAGTACTAAAGAGGACTGGCCCAAGCAAAAATGTTGAGGTTTCCCAGCTGAAAAACATTAGGCATCCACCTACTTAGATGCGGAATACCGAGAGGTTTGAAAAGGGTACCAATCCCACTGTCTAAAGCGGGTCTTAGGACTCTTTAAATATAAAAATACACACATACTCTGCAAGCCTCGTCTCATTCATCTATTAAGGGCAAAATTAAATTAATACTTTTTAACTGCCAAAATTTTCTATTCTGTTATATTTTTATGTATTACTAGCTGTACCCGCGACTTTGTCCTCGTGGAATTTTACCTTATTTTTCTAAAATAAAAGTAGCCTAAGTTACTCCTTATTACATCAGTATCATACCTGCCAATAAAAGTCCCGTCAAAATTGGTCCAGCCATTTCAGAAATTAACCGGACCAAACAGACAGACAAAAATTGTAAAAAAATGTTACTTTGGTGTATGTACCGTATTTATATTCATATACATGTAGTAAAAAACGGTTATATCTATATTACAAACAGACACTCCAATTTTATTTATAGATGTATACCATTCGCTAAAGACTGTAACGAAATTTAAATCGTAGCAATCAAAGTCAAACTGAAACGACAATAAATAGTATCCTTGAAATCAATTTACTCGTAACCAATAATTTAAGGAGATATATAAATAAAAAATATACTAAGATACTACACTACAATGTTATAAAAAGGCATTTCAATTCCGATTAAATTGTATTCTAAGACAATCCAAATAAAATCTTCCGTATGACTCTACTCATACTAATTTGGTTACGATTAATAGTCTTTTTAGTGCCCAGCTGTTGTTATCGCAATCTAGATAATGACAAATAATCGTAACAAAAGTATCAAATTTTATGCGTCATCGTAATTGATGTTAATAGCATTTAGTATACATATTTCGACTCATGCATTTATTCTTATTTGATGTATATTGAACTACCCTTTGGATCCTTTCATTATATCATATTTATCCTTAGATATCGGTATGTCGCTTTAGATGTGCAATGAACTTTTTGTTATAAATTTTCCTCCAAGTACATAACATACAGCATAGGTAGGTACCTGCCTAATAATTATGATCGAAGCAGTCAAGCTTATCATACTCTGCTTATCATTCATATTAGTTATCAACAGCAAATATCTTTATAGCAGTCATTTATAAATATTTTACACTAACCACTCGATATAGACAATCCTTGTTCTAAACATGTTTTTCTCTCTTTTTCAGGAATTCCTGTGAGAGTGATGCTCCATTTGTTAAAACTTATGCAACGCTCGGTTATTTATAATTTTTGTAGGCGAATATCAAGAATATTTTATGATGTCAGGGTTATAGAAAGAAATAATATTTAATTTTTTATCTTAGACCCTATGTTTTAATTATCACAGATTTAGCCATTATTATGTAATTATATGAATATTTTAAAGTAAATGATCGTTAATTATTAGAACATACTGTGTTTTATTTTCAAAATAATGATAGATATAGATATAATTCTATTACATCAAGGTCAGTAACAATTTTCAAAACATTACAAAAAAATAGTGCAATAAAACGCGAAAACAACTAATTTCATATAAATTTTATTCTCGTAGGTATTTGATATTGTCAGTAGTTGATATGTACTTAAGTTTTTATAATGATTAAAAATTTTATTTACTTTTCAGAATTAGAAGTCATATTTTATTGAATAATATATCTATAATAGTCTTAATTTTATTGAGTAACCATCCTCTTAACTACCAGTGGAATGTTAATGACCTGTTAATGATGATGATGATTTCATTATCCCAAAACATGACATATATTGGCTGTATAGGTTGAAAACTAAGGCGTAATAGGTATATCTCAATATTTAACTAACGTTTAGAATACCTCTATACCTATATACAGGACACAAAATACTATATACCTTCGCCTAAATTAACGACGCATTTTGCATTTAAAAGGAGAGTACTAATAAACAACAAGGTCGGAACGTGTCATACTGCTAAGTATATATTACACTCTGAATGCTGTGTCGGAGATTTAAGGTAGGTAGAGATTTAAATTGAGAACAAAAAATAAAATACAAAATCACTTTATTGAATCCTTACTCATTATATTATTACGAAGCCTTTACATTCAAACACTGAATAAACATTCCAAACAATAATAATACTGCGAGCGTCTAGCTCTGAGGACAAAAACACTTATAACGTAGGTAAAGTTAAATAACTGCTTACGAGAGCCGCCACTTCAGTTTCCATGCAGTTCAGATTTTGGAGTTTATAATACTTTACTAGAAATAAATTAGGTATTAAACTTAATATATAATACTATATTTTGTAAATTATCATTTACTAGAAGACCTCTCGACAGACACCATCAGCTGACATCTCGTAGCCCTTTGGGCAGTTTGGAGGCACCACGACCACGTTCCTCATTTCTACGTTCGGAGATGCTTCTTCTATTGTATTTGTGTCTCCACCGGTAGTCTTATCTTCAACATTAGCAACATCTACTTCCAAAGTCTTTTCTTCTTCAGGAAATACAATACGATCGCTGTCTGCCATTGTACTGCGAAAATAAGAATGAATAAAATTAATTACGCATTACTTAACCAGCTTATATCTGTTGAACTTGTTAGAACCCTTACGAAAATTTTAGAAAACAACTTATTCTTGCTCATTTATATTTGTGTACAGAAACGTACCATCTCTACCTATTAATCAATTTTGTACCAGTTGTAATAGCGAGCAAGCTTGCGTTCCACCTGATCGAATATGACAACCTTCACTTATTAGTCACAGAATATGCTATGACGTCTTCATGACATTGCCAATCTAAAGTTATATTATCTACTGTCCTCATATTGATGCACATAAAATTATGAATCCGGTAAGGTATATAAAACACTGCTAATTGTGTGCCAGTGTTTAACCTGACATTAATATGCAAATAATACAATTGATTCCTTAAGTAACGTAGGATTGATAACTTAATGAAAACAGTTATAGAAAGATGTAAATATTTCATCAAAAATAAAAGAAACTAGCAAACTAATCGACTAATTTTTTTTTTCTTTTTACGTTTCTGTAGCAGTTGTTTTGTTAGTTTCTCTTGCAGTTGGTTTCTTCCTGCAATCCTAATTTAATAAATTAAAATATATATTAATCCTTAACGATATTCATATTTTGCTGTACCTACTTAGTAGTATTTTACTTTTAAAACATACCTATATACTTAATATGTTAATCTTTTAGAATCAGTCGGTCGAAGAATTATTCAGTCGTGTATACCCAGTCATATTGTCTTGGTTTAATTAATGCATTTATATTTTTCAATTCAATATTCTCTTTTATTATTCAATATCTTCGTGAAATCTAGACAATAATTGATCATTCCTTTGTAATTTATTAAAAACTTGTTTTTATAACTACTAAATTAGTCGTTATTGTTACCTACTCGATATCTTTAACAAAACGCTGGTATTCAGTGATGGAGATCTAATATTAGAGATTGGTAAACTTTTTTGTATAGACGGACGTATTGATTCTGACTGTTGCCATTCGTTAGAAATCGCGACATCATGACAGGTGAAGGCCAGTCTGCCAGTTTTTTGTTTGTCATTAAACAACGTTCATTTAGAATTAGATGGCTATTTGCGAGGATGATATCCAAACACACAGTCCGCGGTAGTAAACGATCCGTCTTATATTCTTTTTATATAACTGAAATAACAAATAAAGGCCTTGGTGGAAAGAAGCAACTATGGAATATATGGGTATATGAATAGCACCATGACCATCAAGCAATTGACATCTACGGTACTCGTGTTTTGCCTGTCGTGAGAACCTACTAATTATATGAGTCATTACTCATGACTACATACCCCGTAATTTTTGTGTCTTTAAACGAAACACAGCTTACTTTATACTAATAGTTGAGACCGATGTGTCCATGCCAAATTTATTAATTAATTTGATATTCATAAGCGGCTAAAATGTCCTACTTGAATAAATTATTTTTTAATTCGAATATGAAAAAAAAAACAATTAAACGAAATAGACAGAGTCTACACTTGTAAAAAACAACAAACTTAATGTATTCTTACCCACTCCACATAACTCACAAACCATGTATTATCATGTATGTTCTACGTTAAATTAAATTTAAAATAGACCCATGAAATTCATTATTCACTCACATATTAAATTTTAATTATAATTAATTATTTAAAATACTAAACATTCAAAAAACTTTTTCTTCTCTATCAGTAGGTATTGAAAACAAAATTATGAATAATCATTTCACCTAGAACAAATGCAATGCAATAGTATCACTATATCTTATCTGTGATAACACTAAATGTATAAAAACATTATTAAATAGATCAATTGTTAATTACGACTGTATTTGTTAATGATGGATAGATGGGTGTTCATAGGAAGCATACACGATTAGAATGTATAATTAAAGTGTTATAGATATTTTCTGTAGATTACAGAACACTTGGCATTCAACTACCTACCGCTATACCAACGCCGCCACCATTGATCATTCCAACAATTAGTATTAATCAGAGTAATTTCTAAATAAAGCATACAAACTAAACATGTGTGCACTCCACGGCATATTTGCTGTGCTGTCCGTATATAAATAAGCACATGATTATTATTTCAATTCCTTGTTTGCTTGTCATATTTTGAGAGAAAAGTCCATAACAGTTCCTCATGTAAGAGTATAGACGTCAACTATGAAAAGTTTTAAGATATTAGCATGGATAAACATGAGAAGTTCCGCAAGTTCATGCTATAGAAATAACTGTTCTTTTTCAAATTGAAACTATAATTATATATTTTATTTTTGTTATAGTATAATAACTCAAATATCTAAAATAATTAAAATTTCTTTCATCTATCAAAGAATAACAGGAGCTTTTAGTAAAAAAAATTAAAGATGTCCAAAATTATTAAACAGTATTTACGATACTGTTTAATAATTTAATTAATTTTGATTTTATGTTAATTTAAAATGAAATTAGTCTGGAATTGTATTTCAGATTAATTTAATTCCAAAGTATAAAATTTGCCGAAAGGTTATTCCTTGAGTTCATAGTTACACATACATTAGTATAAGGTCACATTCTGAGATGTCTGTTTAGATGCATCATCAATGCACAGATGAAATAGGTATTTCCTAGTAGATTATTAATAAATTAATACTAAAATGCCACAACTGTTATTATGTATTAAAATTGTCACTGTTATTTCTTTATCAATATTATTAGTCCTATTACATTGTGACTGATCGTAATTATGAACAGAAAAAAAACTTTCCGTATACACTTATAGATATATGTTAAAAACAAAAAAGAAAAGCTTTTATCACTGAAGAAATTGAATGAAATATTTACTCACTTTAAAAAATAATTGTAGATATTGTTATTACTTTTGGTTGTATTTAAACTCACAAGCACCGGCAACGCAATTGGTTCGCGAACTAATGGAGATCTCGCCGACTGCGCTGTTATATATAAGCAGGGAAGTATTTTTCCGCCAACTTTTCTTATCACGAAATTCGACGTGAAGTTGCATTTGAGTATGATATAATGTGTCACATAAGTAAGTCCCTGTAACATAATGCTTTATTTTTATACTCAATATTTTCTCTAACATCCATATGTGGAGCTTTTTTTAAAATTTTATTTTATTTAAGCGAGGACTTTAATGTTAGTTCAGTAAGTATATTTGTAACATGGTTAGAAATATTTTGTTTCAGATATGTAAAAAAGTCATTATAATTAAGTGTCACATTATTTAAAAAATATTTTACACCTGAATTACTCAATTATTTTCATAGAATGCTATTTAAAATGTATTAGTTGTACTCGTTAGGATCCTAAAGTCCTGAAATCGGGTGGTAAGCATCCTTGAATTATTACCAAATTCTATACTGAAACGTATCTTGCTTTAAAGTATGCATAATCAGTACAATTATAACAAGCTACTTCTCTTATCCTCATAATGAAATCAGAAAACGCTAAAATCAAAACTCTAAGAACCTTGTTTCCTAGTTTCTGTAGATAAAATATACTCGTATTTGTCACTGTTTCCAGGAACTATTTTTAGTAAAGTTACAGCACTGCTTCGCATGATTTGTACCTACGTCATAATATATGCTATGTAGTACGTAGGTACGTCATAATTTAGATATAGGTAAAAAATACGAGTATTATATTATCCCTTTAGCAAGTACCTACAGTTATAAACCTTTAAACAACGGTGAGTATCAAATAATGTATATGTAAAGACGGTAAGTTCACATTTCGTTTGTTAACTATTCAAATGAAGTAAACGAGATTTTATTTGAGACTTAATGGATGGGGATAGAATACTTCTCACTCCAGTACTGCACAGCGATGGTATATGCTATTCAATCAAGAAATATCATAGTAGGAGGCCGAAGTAAAACAGTTCGCCGAAGGTTTTTACCAGTAATTAACTTCGATTGTCTTCACGGGTGCCATGGAGGACCTCACATAATACACAAATAATGTGGTACTTGGCCTAAAAATTCTCTTTCCAAGTCACATTTGCGTCACCTTGTTATTCTTGGAAACATTAACCCCATTTATTTATACCTTTGTATGTTTACATCTATGATTAGATTTGCAATACTGGGGTACCAAGCACCGCCAATACTAAGGCGTCATCGTCTGGTCTTTATCAATGTGCGAACAGGAAGTTTGTTTATAGATAATACGAATAGCAGAATGTAAATAAATCTGCACTGCACAGTACATATTACCTACGTACAGATACAACTGGCCATTGATTGGAAAAATAGCATTAAAAGTGCATCACATATCTAGTTTGATTACAGTATAATTACTCCCTAAGACATAATATTATAATTTCCGAATGTTATTTTCATTCTTTATAAGTTTAATAATAATAAATAATAATTACTAACCCAGTACGTACCTATATAAAAACAATAAAGATTACAAGATTTTTAAAATATTATATTAGCCTGCTATGTATTACAACATCGATTTAATTCGTGTAGTAGAATTTGAATTAAATTATTATATATTTAATATAAAAAGTTTGAATAGTCCAAATCACAATGAATTAAGTTAAGTGGTCAATGCGTAACCACTGTCGTATCACATAAGTTTTAATAATTACTTTTAAATGTATAATATATTATTTACATTACTAACACTTAAAGATAGCAGTATTTTAATAGCTCTCTTCAACTTCAACTATCTAATAAATTATTCAGTATAGCAGTAGGTACGAGTATCACTTGCGAAAATTCTAAACCAAATCACATTAGCTAATGAACAACATCACACAATTTAAAATTGTTCATGTTATTTACAACATCTATGAATTTTTCATTTTATAATAAACGACCGTCAACAACTATTAATAGGCAACTCTCACAATAGGATATATATGTCCGCATTTGACACATCACAAAGTTTCTACACTAAAAACTTTATTTTTCTCTCAGATGCAACACTTTTTTTTTAGTATATAGATACTCTTAGTCCTTGTTCATTATTCAAAGATATAAATATCCACTTATGAGTTTGTTGTAATTTTTTTGCCTTAACTGCTTGGCTTGCATTTGGACCTATTTTTATCTATGTAACATCAGATTATGCCACTATTTAAAATATTTTTATGGTTGTCAAGTATTGTAAAAAGACATAAACATTATCTGCCAAAAATTATTAAACAGTTTTGGGCTTTTCTATTTACAATAAATACATTAATCTGTGCAATATGGTTTATGTTTCTATATTATTATTTCAACAAGTTTGAAATGCAAAAGAGCCTAAGTTTAGAAAAGGTAGTATTTCATGGGACCACAAAATGGAGTAACTTACTTCTCTGTTCTGGGATGGCAATTGTGATTAAGATAACGTAGGCATTTACCCAACAAACTCCTACGACATTGGTCGTTGTTACAGTTACAGTACAATATTGAGCACTACAAACTCGTGCTACAATGTAGGGGAACAATAGTATGCCTTGAAAATAATACAATACAGTTGATGATATAGTAAAATCAAATATAGTAGCGTTACTTGTTTTTTAAAATTTCGCCTTGTTTTTAAGTTCTTACACTTTATTAATTATATATAGTTAAGTTCTTTATTTTTGTGGTCTACCATACCTTATACATTGCCACGAGAACTTATAAAAAATAATATAGTTAGAATACAGGATAATATTTTAAAGACTTCTATTTTTTGACAGGTAAATACTGAAGTAATATCAAATGATAGAAATAATACATTTATTTGCAACCATCCAAAGTAAGTATTTAGGAGACCTCAATTATATATTAAAATCTTAACGTATTTATTAACTTATAAATTACCCAGATAAATAAATGACATCTCACCGAATAACAGGCTCTTGGATATATTTTCATCAGTAACAGTGAATAACATCGTCTTCGTTTAAAGCGTTATTTTTAATCATGTGGTTAAAGAGCAAGTCAACACACTCAACTGTAATGTAATATGGTATGTATTGTAGTGTGATATCTATCTGTCTGTTTTGTATCTCTGTCATTTGTACGGTGACCGTACAATCTGTATACATTGTAAAATAAAGCTCCGACTAGATGTATATTCGCGATAATCTCACAAACTACTGAACGAATCGATCAATAGAGTAATTCTAAGAAAGGTTTTTATGTATATTACCTAATTTTGTTGAAATTATTGAACATCAGCGCGAGGCCGGGACAGATGCTAATTAAGAATGCATTACTTGTTACAGTAACACTGAACTACCCAAGAGAAAATTTAGGCGATTTGGAAAAATATTCGAACATTACTGTATAACTATTAAGCCTAAATTGTATAGAAGCAGCTCTTTAACTGAATTGACAACAAAGACTAGCGATATCAGTGAGTAATTGCTTTGTTAGTATTTTTTATTAGATTTTTTTGTTGCACGTCGTAAATGTCATTTGGTTCCTTATTTAACTTTTTTTTGTCATATAATAATGTTCACCATAGTAGGTATTGTTTATGTCTTTATCCCTTACTCAGTTGCAAATGTAAAAAAACTGTATATTTGATTGTTGTATAGGTGTATTCTTTATTTACATGTACGTGTTACCTCCGTCCTGTTTTTCAGTAGTGTCATTTAATAAATTAAAGGTAACAATTAAAGGTACAGATGCTTTTTTAGTTTATTCACTATATTGCGACTATCATGGGAATCAGAGAGAAAGCGGAAAAACAATCATACTTTAGATTAACCTAACGGTACATTTCAATAATCAACACTTTATCTTTAATTCATTATTATATTTAAATATATAGGTAAGTAAGGTAGGTAAGAGATCAATATAATTTATCTCCCATACATATAATGATGCAATAAATATTACTTCCAGCATTAGACTTTTTCAAGCGTACCAGTAATATTCTGTCCAAAGAATTAGTAAAAAACTCTATATGTGGTAGTTTTGGAGACACAGTTAACAAACATTGCACTACACCTCTGACTAATAAGCCATACATGTCTTGGAACTTAAAAGGGAAGTAAGTATTTTAATCCAAATACCAAACATTCTTAAAAATCACGAAATTCTTAAAATTTAAATGGTATAGTCAAATAATAAAAATTCTTTGCGCATTGGTACTTATTTACCTATTTCAGCCGCCAAGTAGTTTGTTGTAAATTGTAGGGTGTGATTAGGCAGTGTAATTACAAGAGTGTAGTTTCTTATGAAGTGGTAGAACTTGAAAACGTGATGTCTGTAGCACTATAAATATACATAGGGGATGTGCTGTCAGCTTGTTCGTCATATCAATTATATAAAAAATGTAATCCTTGTACAATTTTCAATTTTATAAAATCCTACTAAATAATAGGAAAACAAAGAGAAAAAACGTGATGTCACCTGAAACATATGCGTCTAAATTTGCTGCTGACTACATCCACAATATTCAAAAAGAAGGAGATAGCACAGACGTTAATTTTTCCTCTGGTGCCGACAATTCAAGGTATCAAAAGCATTTAAATCAATAACAATTTACACCTCGATAGTAAAAGATGTAATTAATTTTATACGTGCATTACTACAATTTACTACTATCATAATAAGTACATAATTAATTGTTAAAAAAAATATGTATTGTATATTTGATATATTTTGGTATAAATATATTATAAAAAGCTAACGTGGGTAGATATCACATAGATTCCATGAAATAAGGCAGGAAAAATATATTTTTAGGAAAGTTGAATCATATAGACTGCACATTAATAACATTTTGTTTTCACACTAGAGTGGTATTTGTCTAAACAAATTGTATTTATCTAAAAATAAAATTATGGATTTTAGCATGTGCAGTACCGACCAAATTAATTGTCAAAAAATTGCCGCATTTCCATTCAAATCTACGCCAAGTGGTAATTTAAAAGTTGAGTCTAACCAGGTAAAAAACAATTTCATATTTTAATAGATAAAACATCCAATAAACTCAAAATCAAATATATATATATATATATGTAAATTTTTTAGGTTGTATTTCAGTCTTCGACTGTCGGTGTTCTTTTGGCAGATCCTACACAAGCAAAAGTCAAAGTAAAGTTTGAAGGGAAAACAACTAACAATATTCAAAATAATATACAAACTTTTGTTAGTATATCATCAATAAATATATATCACATACGTACAAATTTCTATAATCTTAAAATTAAAAAAAAATATCTACTATGATTAAATATTTATTTATATCACTAATATAACAAACCAACAGATAAGTTTTGATAATCAAAATGCAATATTCGATTCAATAGTTTTTTCCATGTATATTGAACTTAGTACTTAATTTCTTGATGGAAATTTAACGAATCATTATTAATTATAAACATAAATAATAATCATTAAACACTGCAATTAATTAATTACATCTATTAAGTTAATATATTTTATATAGGATAACGAAATTGATTCCGAACCTCAATTGCAATATGGACCCAGAGAGACTGTGAATGCAAACCTACAAATAAATAATACTTCATTTGAACGGAACATCAGACATAAATCTCAAGATAAAGAAACGACACAGAAAAAGGGTAAAAAATTGGGCAGTCTGGGGTACGCGGTTCCTGAATCAATAGATTGGATGCGTATACAGCTGCCCAAAAAACAAGATTTGTTCCAAGAATTCTATCGTAGGATACACAATCACGTGTATGATATTCAACTTTAATCTTAATATTATAAACAATCTATTCCCGGTGTAGGTATTTACCCGCGTGAAACAATTTAGTTCCGTTCACGTGGAGTTTTGAGAGATATCTTCTTAGTAGATTGTAAACCATATGCAGAATTTTTTTCGTGATAAGTTAAATAGCCATCAATGTGTCAATTAATATAAAGCTTTAAGTTATACGCGACTTCATAAAATAGAAAACTGTACCTCAGTATGTAGTATTTCTACTTATGTTTATTATATGTAGGTTGTATTAAAATATAATTTAATTTCACCCTATTGTCTCGTGATAATGTAAGTCATTTAATTTAAGAAATGACGTAGTTAGGTTGTCCCTAAAAGATCATTATATTACTTCGGAGGCCCTACCTTTACCTATTTCTACACGTACTTGCAATGTACCGATGCGATGTGAACCATAGTAAAAAATAAAAGTGTTTGGTTGTTACTCATTTACGTTTAAAGATCTAAATAATAAATAATATTATATGCATGAGAGACATTTCAAATCATGTGGATAAAATCGCCGTTTATATATTAGTATTGTAATAGATAATAATACAACCAGTTAAGTGGAAGTGGTTGTACTAGTACTTAGCCGTAGCTGAAATAGAAAATAGCGATTAAATGCAATATTAACTTTTCCCTTTTATCGTCATTTTATCACTTGCAGAAACACAGACATGATTGTTCATATCGGCGATGAGGAAATACATTGTCATCACATAGTACTTCAGATATATTCTGGTTTCTTCGACATGAATCGTCATAGTGAGATAGAATTACCAATAGTTAGTACGCATATCATTGTTGTTGGTTTTAAGTCTGTTAAACTAAGAAATTAAGATTGTTTATAACTAGGTATCTACTTATCTATAACAATATTGAAGCAATAGATTGATAGACATATCATACTCTTTAATTACTAATACCTACCTATACTAAGAATCATTAGATATTTCTTTAGCTTTGCGACACTGATTCTCATTAGTGAATAGAGACATTTTTTATGGGTGATGACGGAATGGTGCTACCGCCTGCTCTAATGGAATATGTTGTCGGGATACCAGTGGAATATGATAGTATGAGAATGAAGTCGTCAATTAGCCCATTGTGATTAATTAATTCATCACGAATAATTATCATCATACAATTGTGTCTGCTAATAAAAATCAAGTATCTTAAGTGTCGTTCGAATTATAAAACATATAAGTTTATAAAAATAACATGTAATTAAAAAATATTGTCATGTACAAAGTTATCTAGATTGTAATCATATCTCAATATTATTTGCTTTATATATTTATCAATAGATATTTAATTTGTAAAATAATTGCTACTGTTGCACAACTGTACATGACATGGACAGGTTATTAGTAAAGATAAGTTAGTATATCTATATTACCGACTAGTATTATTATGTCTGTAAATAGGTTTATTCAAATAAACTTAATATTAGGCATTATTTTTGTTTTTTTTTAACACAATTAGAAAACAGATTCAACTAAGAAAAATGGACATGAAACTTGGTTGTATGACGCTCTTTTAAAACTAAAACAAATGCTATTGTATTGTATAAATATTTGCACAGAGGTAAATAGCATAAAATCATGAGTCATAATACTAAATATAAAATTTGTCGAGTAATAACAATAAAATAACGAGATTCATTTTTTATCAATATTTGACCAACAGACCAGTGTTACCCCGGAAGCGTTTCAAGCTATCTACGATTGGATGATTTTCAGTGGCCCAGAGAGTAATAAGTTATTGAAGAGAGATAATATATTAGACTTATTTTGTGCAGCGCAATTTCTTTCTATAAAAGGTATGAATTAAAAATTTACATTTTAATTATTTACTATAAGGCAACACGAGCAAATCCTATCGATTATAAATTATTATCAAAATCAGTTCAGATTTGGCGAATATAAAGACAAAATAATAATAATAATAATTCAATTTTTTAACGTCTATTACAGATTTAGAAGAGCAATGCTGGTCATTTATAGTTAATGAAAATCTTTTCGCTGAAGATACTGCATTTGCTTTATTTATAGAAGCAAGGACAAAGGGCATGACACCCGTTATGGAGTTAATGGTTAGTTCTTTTCTACCTAAAGTACATATCTACATTATTCTGGTGAAAAAAAATAAAAACTAAAGTCCAATCGGAACTTTTTCAGATACCTCGTGTGATGAAATTCTTTTTGCCTCTCGTCGCGTCTATAGATTTTCTCGAACTAGATGCTGAAGAAGTTATGACACTTCTTAAGTCTAATTACATTTGTATTACAAGGTAATTATTTCCAGGAATTAATTTAAACTTACTAGTGATCCGCTGCGATTTCTCATGACTGCAATATTACAGCATCATCTTTTTTTTTTAAATACAATGCATATAATTGGCAAAAATGTTATTTTTAGTCGGTTTAGTGTTTTTTTTCGTCTATTCATTAGAAATACAATTAAATATCTCACCTTTATTATTATAAAGGTTAGTCTGAGTGATAGTATTGAATCGATATTATTGATAAAAATTAAAATATTTTATTACACTAATTTCAAGTTTCATACATAATGACGAAAGAAAATAAGATAATAATAGGACATTTGTATTTACTGTACATAATTTGCATTAAATTGTTCAAATGCAACAGAAAATTTATTTCCTGTACCAGTGAATCTTTAAATTGCCACTGTGGTCTACGGGAAACTAGTCAAGGAGACCCCATTTTTTTAAGTTGTAAATTTATTTAGGTATGATTCGCCTCCACTTTATAAAGTGTTGTTAGCTAAATACTTTTTTTTTCTATTAATTTTCCTACTACAAATTTAAGAATGGAACTCAGCCACTACGCAAATTTCCCTCGTTAAACCTAACCTTCACAAATAGATGTTTTTTTTTTAACTTTGCGCAAGCCATAACCATAATCTATAATATCTTGAACAGTGAAATAGAAGTGTTAATGGCGGGTGTGCGATGGTTGTACGCGAATTGGCCATCACGCCATCGGTACGCTGTCGAAATGATGCGTTGTGTACGGTTTGGGCTGATCTCGCCATGGCAGCTAGTTGATATCAAGCGCAACCCAGACAACGCTGAAATACTCGAAATCGTCAACAAACCTGAAGTACAACAGATGGTAGACGATGGCCTAGCGTGAGTCAAATTTAGCATACCAAAGGCATTTTTAGTTGGTCATTTCAGTCTCACAACACTTACTGAATCTGTTTGTTTAATTATCTTAAATTCATTATAATTCTTAAAAGAAGAACCTCTGTTTTTCTGCCTGCTCTACAGTAGTATCAACACGAACTGGTCCCTACACTACACTGGTACATACGACATGTAGACAACTTATCTTAGCACTTAATAGTGGCCCCATGCTCAAGGTATGCAATCATCATATATTTATACCCAGAAAACATCTGCAATCAAACAAATCGAGGTTATCATAACGGTGACAACGCAAAATCAATAAATACTAAATGAATTAAACATAGGTAATGATATCGAATTATATTTTGATGCATTTATATATTTAACAGATACGTAATAATTAAATATTGGTACGGGAACAACTCAAAGAATTACTATCACTGGATAGATGTTCTTGGTCTAAGTGAGCCTGCTGAGAGAAACTGGATGGGGGAAGAGAAGGTACGTACAGTTATAGGACTTATTTATATCCATTTATTTATACTACGCGCGACATGATTAAACACATGATGCATAATGCAAGGAAGTTTGTTCTTTGCAATATTAACGAACAATGTAATTTCCAATATACTTAGTGCAAACAAATTAGACATTGATATTACGTGAACAACTAAGTATTAGTGTGTACTTTAAATAAGGAAAAAATTTTAGTCTGTCTGTAAATATTGCGCACATTATAGCTAATGATGTTAATATGTTTACATTCATTCCATCACAGAATCATGTAACGTATAAAGACTTCTTGGAATATTTGGAACAATTTATGGTACCAAAAGATCAATTGTACCAACAGATGGCAATGATGCAACCACCAAGAAGGAGTGATGACTTGCCAGGTAAAGTTTTCTATTGACATACCAAAATTAACTAGATTCATTATTAAGTAATAAATGATTAGTAATGATGTACACAATTCTACAGCAATGTAAATAAAAATGAGGTACCTATTATTAGTGATTTTAAAGTAATTTGATCTTTGTAACCTTTGAGATCATTGTAATATTTATAGAAACTTATGTATAATGAATGATGCGTTTTATTTTAATTCATGTTTATTATTTTAAAACCATACTAAAGCACTGTGTATACCGACACATCACAACGTAACATATAGTCTAACTAGTTAAACTAAGTATACAAGGCATACTTAGTTTAACAATTTACTGTGACTAATAAAATATGAAAGACACAACACTCTTCTTTATATCTACCAAACCTCACTCTAATAAAAGATTATCTAGTCTTACAACCCATAAATTAAGTTGTTACCTAAAACTAATCTAATATTTTTTTTCTACTTAAGTAATGCGACTTTGTGCTTAGTCAAAAAGTATAATACTTTCTCACCTAGGCAGTTTACGAGGTATAGACAACGATAAAATGGATATGAGGAGACGCAACGTGGATTTCCCTCTACCAGCGACATTGAAAGGGCTTAGTAGTGATAAAGAAAAATTTCCAACTATGAGTGACTTCTTTGATAATAGGAGAAAAGTAAGTAAACAGAAATGGGAATCTTCACAATATGTATTATACAAACTTATATTATTATTAAATATTTCACTAATTTAGAAACAGTATTGTTAAAATTGAACACAATAAAAATATACTATCACGACCGTTATCGAAGAAGGTAGTCAGAGGCATTTTCAGCTGTCAATGCAATCCTTAACATGCCCATATTGCTACCGGCGTCTCTCGGATTGTTTGACACAATTTTTTTTTTGTGAAGGTCAGATTTGACCACTTTAGTGTAATTCAGACACTCGTTTAAATTTAATATAATCAATGTAAGGATAAGAAAGAAAAAGTAAATAGAGTAAACATTGCGCAAGACTTTTTTTATTCTATCTAATTATTTATTATAAAATGAACGTTTGTAAGATATTTACAAAGCAATCATGATTAAAATAGTTAAATATACAAAATAGGTTAATATACATATAAACAATATCCTGGACTAACGGATATACTTAAAAAAATATATAACATGGAATGGAAGTAGAAGCGCCAAATTAATATACTTTAATTTACAAAACGGTCACAAAAGCAAAGCAAATTGCGTGTGAATATAGTTTTTGCCTAAATCAAATTAAAAGGCGTTATTCTTGTACTATATTTGCCTAATCGAACAATACAACATTAGCTTTATGTTTACTTGATTAGGAATTACTTTATCTGATTGAAGTTTTGTATAATAATATGTCAAAATATTTAGTGAAACCTGTCACTCCTGTACAGGGCCTTGAAGGCTACCGCTCTCAATCGCCAGCTCGATCGCCAGTGGAACATATGGAATCTTCATTGGTTATGCCCGTATTTACAAGCCGTAGACGGAGTCCTGAAATTGAAAAGCAGCAAAAATTAGTGGAGGTACTTTCACTTCTTACAGATGAACAAATCAATAGTTTAAAAAATATTGCCCATTCTAGGTCCATAGTAGGTACCTTTTTAAAAATTGTAGTTAGGTTACTTCTAGATAGTATTACTACACAGGTAGTAATATGCAGCCTACATCTTTACAATTTTAAAACAAACCTATTCTTAAGTTCTTTTTTTTTGTAATTTGTTTTTTAGTCTCATTCAACATTATTTTAGGAGCAACGGAGACAAGAAATAAAACAGATGCATAATTCACAACGTACCGAGCGGACCCAACAGATTCATATGTGCACAATACACCAAGCCACTGTAAACTTTTTTTTTATTATCCAGGTTTTATAAAAAGGACTTAATAAAAATCAGTGAATATGAATAAGAATTATGAGTATAAATTATGACGTAAACTTACCATGTGGGAATGTATCTAAACTATAATGAGCCGTTTCTCAGTTTCTCAGTTTGCCTTATGGTTGACTGGTAGAGAACGCCCTTAGGTTAAGTTCATATGTACATTTATATATTGTATTTGTGCATTAACGTTTAAATAAATAATAAATATAAAATAGAACTGGATGAATATTAACTTTATCCAATATAGTAATAATTAACAGATTGTACGTAGTAGTACGTCTAAGTTATGTGTATTAAATTTTTTGCTTATTGTAGCAGAGAGAGATGTCCATCTCTAGTAAAATTAAAATATATAAAGAGCTACATGTATAAATTCTATAATAAATAGGCTCAAAACATAAAATTAGTTTTAATTCTATTTTACTTTCCAGGAAGATAAAAGTCACAACCATATATTCGAGAGACCAGAAAAAGATTCCACTGAGGAGCTGATTACAACAAGTGATAGTACCACGCTTAGTGTTGATACGAGTGTCACAGAGAAAGTAAATAAAAAAACATATTCTCACAATAGCAATGACCCCTGGTGGAATAATCAGAGACATTAATCGATTATTGCCATTCGAATATAAATAGTAGGTACTCGATTTGCTGATTGTAATATCAATATAATGCCAGAATCATATTAATGTAACGTCTGATTACATATATGGCACTGGCTTACATCAATTAGTCGGTATATTACATGCATTGTAATTGTTTAGATCCAAATACTGCCATAATCAGTGTAATATCACATAAAAGACATATAACATATTAGCTGTATAATTTTTTATTAGTAACATCTACGGAATTTCCAGTCCTTAAAAAAGGTTAACTTGGGAAAGAGAAGATAATATTTGAAATTAAAAATAATAGAGGTATCATAAACGGCATGGTAACTGTAGTGTCCGGGCCGTCCGTGACACCTTGTGAATAAAATACAATTTTAAAATCAAATAGCCTTTTATATTTCTAAAAAAAAACACGCCATTTTTACCGTTTTACAAAATTCCTATTTGCTGGTTCTGCCATAGATATCTTTTATTTTTACCATAGACAAATTACTTGTCTATTATAAAATAGACAAGTATACAATATTTTTAATATATATCAATACTCCCCCCTTACAAATTTAATCGCTGGGGTTGTTTAACCACTCTGTGTGACCTTCTGACTGTAACCCCATTACCTGTATTAACAAGAGGGCTACTAGGAACAACAGACTGAAGAGCCTCAATCACAGTCTCATCAGTTTGAGGAAATTTAAGCTCTACCTGTCTGCGAATTGTTTCATGATCATAATAATTATCACTGCAACTTTATATCATTACCACTTACAGTATTTTTAATTAAACTATCATCTTGATCCTGGGAAGAACAACTTATAATTTGATCTATATGTCTCCTCCAAACTAAATTTTTATTAATTACTTTGCAAAGATATGTTCTTCTTCCAAGGACTTCCTCAATTACAGCTTTTACAAATATTTTCTTATTTGGATGTCTATAATCTCGACAATAAACTCTGTCTCCCTCTTTAAACGTTATTTCTCTTTTTCCTCCACCATTTATATTACTAACTTTCCCTTTACAATTTTTATTACTTAACAAATCAAATCTGGTTCTTAATTTCCTTTGAAACATTAATGTTGCTGGAGCACTGCCTGTAGTACTATGTATAGAGTTTCTATAGTGAAATAAATATCGATTCATTAATGTTTCAAAAGTTACATTATTTTTTTCTTTCAGTGTCTTTAGCAATCCTGACTTAAAACTTCTTACAGCGTTTTCGGCAAGACCATTTGTAGCAGGATGAAATGGAGGAGATGTTTGGTGTCTTACTCCATTTTTATATAAGAATTCTGAAAATTCCTTACTACAAAAGTTTGCCTACTAAAACATTCTCTGAATTTTTCAACTGTTAATCTAGCTTCTAAATTTTTCATTATAAATGTTTCTGGCCATTTTGTATAAGAATCAATGATAATTAATATTATTTTGCCATCAATAGGCCCAAGAAAATCTGCATGAACTCTTTCATAGGGATAGCTACAACTTGGCCATGAAATGACATTTGACTTTGGTGGTTCTGGTCGAGCTAACAAACAAATATCACATGTTTTAACTACATTTTCAATACAACTATCTAGTCCCGGCCACCAAAAGTAAGATCTGGCCTTGGTTTTCATTTTAACTATGCCTTCATGAGTTGAATGTAACTCCTTAAGTAAACTTGATCTTAATTTATCAGGGACAACTACCCTATAACCCCACATAATTATATTTTGATCTAGGTATAATTCATCCTTTCTTTGGAAATATGGTTTAATATATTCATTTATTACTTTCTTTGGGAATCCGTATCTTATCATATTAAAAACAGAACTTAATATTGGATCTTTTCTGGTCTCTGATCTAACCATATTTAAGTCAATAACATTTTGTTGTTCTACAAAATTAATGTAATCACACTATTTTAAATTTATTTCATTTTCACTAAAAGAACTAACAAGCAATCTGGACATACAATCAGCCATTACATTTTCAGAGCCTTTAATATGTTTAAAAATATAATCAAAATTAGCTAAGTATAGAGACCATCGTTGTAGTCTGCCAGCAGCCATTTGAGGCAAACTTTTGTTTTCCCCAAACAGTGCTAACAAAGGTTAGTGATCTGATTGTAGTTCAAATTGTGTACCTACCAGATATTGATAAAATGTTTTTACTGCCCAATAAATGGCTAAAGCCTCCTTGTGAATCATTGAATAATTATTTTCTGCTGGCTTATAAACCCTAGAAATGAAACTTATTGGCCTATTAGAACCATCTGGCATGACATGGCTAAGCACCGCTCCTATGCCATTTTGTGAAGCATCACAAGACAATTTCAAAGGTAATTTTCTATTAAAATGAACTAAAATATTTTCTGAAACAATCTCCTTTTTAATTAATTTAAAACTGTCATCACAATCCTTAGACCATATAAATTTGGCATCTTTTTGCAAAAGCTTATACAGTGGTTTCAATTTAACTGACAAATGCGGAATAAATTTTGAATAATAATTGACTATACCAATCCAAGCACGGACTTCTGTGACAGTACTTGGTGGTGGTGCATAAATTATGCCATTTAATTTAGAATTATCCTTCCTTAAACCCTCTTTTGAAATTATGTGGCCTAAATACTTGACCTCTTTCTCAAAAAATAAGCATTTTGATTTGTTCAATCGAATACCAACCTTTTGAAATCGTCTTAAAACTTCTTCTAAATTTTGCAAATGTTCCTCATCATTTGCCCCTGTAACTATAGTATCATCAATAAAATTTATAACTCCTTTTGCGCCTAACAAAACTTTTTCCAATTTTGCCTGAAAAATCGCACTGGCAGGCTTAGTGCCATATGGTAGCCTATTCAATCTGTAAATACCCCTGGGTGTAGACCATGCCAGAAGGTTTCCTGTCTCATTATCACATATCAAATGATTGAATGCATTGCGTAAATCTAACTTAGAGAATTTATCACCCCCCTGTAAAGCTGCAAAAATGTCCTCAATACGAGGTAGAGGATGGTTAACATCTTTTAAATATTTATTTATTGTTATTTTATAATTCGCACAAACTCTTAATTGACCATTTTCTTTCATAACAGGAACTAACGGTGTTCCCCATCTGAAATTTTCAAATTTTGTAATAACACCCTCCTTTTCTAATTTCAATAACTCCTCATCTATTTTGTCCTTGTAAGCATATGGAATGGGCCTAGGTTTGTGAAATACTGGTTTAACCTTTTCATCTAATAATTCTAATTTAATTATTTATGCTTCAATTTTACCTAAGCCTGGTTTGAAAACCTCATAATATTTTTGCAATACATAATCTAAGTTACTCAACTTCACATTTTCAACAATATTTAATGGAATACAATTTTTAATATTTAATTTAAATTTTTCAATTAAATCCCTTCCAAATAAACATTTACTACCATTTTTTACAACTAGTAATTCACAATTCAATGTTTTGTTATTATATTTTAATGGCACAAAAATCTTACCTATAGGTTTAACTACTTCACCATTATATGTCTTCAACTCACAGTTGACAGCTTGACATTGAAAGTTTGTAAAGCACCTGTTGTAAACACTATCCGGAATACAAGAGACAGCCGCACCTGTGTCCAGTTCCATCTTAACTGCTTTTGAGCCGATTATACACTCAATGCTGTATGGAGAAATATAATTTAATTGTGGCACCGTGTCCATCTCCATAGTAAAAATGCTAACCGAACCATTCTCCTCTTCTTTATCTTGCATTTCCACTGTGTGCGCAGTGTGAGTAGTCTTGCTTTTACATATTGCTGCTAAATGCCCTATCTTCCCACACAATTTACATTTATAGGTCTTATATTTGCATCTTGCAAAAGAGTGATTTGACTTTCCACAGTGAATGCATTTTAAAATAGTTTCCTTAGATGAGTCCTTAGCTTTATCTGGATCATATTTTGAAATTTTAGAATATTGAGGTTTCTTGACTACTTGCACCTTGTTTACAAAACTCTTTTGCCTCTCTTGTAACACTGACTCTTTGGCTAAAGCAATTTCTAATAATTCTGACACATTCCGTGTCGTGGATTCCTCACATAATCTTTCAAAAATTGGACCAAATCTAATACCTGTAACAAATTTGTCCTTGACTCTGTCTTCAAATGTTTTGCCGAAATCACAATCAGCTGCCATTTCTCTTACCCTTGTGTACCACGTCGAAATGTTTTCGTTGTCGTTTTTTGATATTTTGTCGAATAGTGTTCTAGTTCTATAATAAGAAACTCTTTGTCTAAAGCGTAATTTGAGAGCTTCGCATAGCTCTTTATAGGCTTTTTCTTTTGGTAGCGTAGGGTGAAAAATACTTTTTAACGTTTTGTATGTCTTTTCATCCAAAGACATGAGCAATACTGAAACTTGCTTCGTTTGTTCCACTGCATATGCCACCATGTATTGGTCCATTCGTTCTAAAAAACAGTCAATATCATCTCCTTCTTCAAAATACTTGATTTGCGAGGTATTTGTTCTCGTCGCCATTTTTGTAGTGTCCGGGCCGTCCGTGACACCTTGTGAATAAAATACAATTTCAAAATCAAATAGCCTTTTATATTTCTAAAAAAAACACACCATTTTTTAATTGTTTTACAAAATTCTCTATTTACTGGTTCTTCCATAGATATCTTTTATTTTTACCATAGACAAATTACTTGTCTATTATAAAATAGACAAGTATACAATATTTTTAATATATATCAGTAACTGTGAATACGATATGTATATTGTATATCTCAATCGTCAAACATGACTTCAAACTTTCATTAGGCGCCTGTGTATTTTATACTGCAATCTTGAACACCGTCGACGGTGTTCACATTATTATTATTTACAGTACGTATATTATAATTATGACCATTATGTTACAGAATCAGTTCTCTAGCTCAAAACAAGGCGAGAAAAGACATAGTGTGGCGGCCAGCTATTTAGCAGCAGCTACGGCAGCCTTATCTAGTTCTAGAAGGTTGTTACTGTTGTACATAAACTGTTAAAAGCAAAAAAAAAAGAGAAATTAGATTTTGATGACTCTTTTGTTATGGGCAATTTATATAAATTGCCGATATTAAAAGAAGATTTTAGGCTCTTTTAAAAAAGGGCCATAAAACATATATATATTATTATTTTATTGAATTATGAAAATGCTACTGCGATAGTCTCCTAACATTACACTAAACGTACAAGCATGCATTTTTATATTTGTAGTCACTTTTTGTCGTTTAGTTTAATTGCTCTAAATATACTTAAGGTAAATTTTTGTATTTGCTTGTATACTTGTACTTATAAGTTACTCGTCGCACAATATAAATATATATTATTTTAGACTATTATACCTAAATAATATCCGTGTGGAAATAGAATATAACATGTATCTCTATGTCTACGTGGTAGTGACACGTGTACACTTAGATTGTGTAATGAACTACCTGCCGAGGTTTTATTAAAAGACTACAGCTTGAGGTTTTTCAAGAAGGGTATATTATGGTTTCTTAAGGGACTTACTTAGTGTCTGGTAGGCTACTGTAACCATTTACCATCAGATAAACCGTATGCTTGTTTGCTACCATCGTAGTATATAAAAAAAAGTGATACATCTGGAATGGACAATCAACCATGTTTTATAATTTATCCAGGAATTCAATAATTCCATCGTCTCCTACGGCTCGTTCCCAGACCACTGCTAATGGACAACGGCCCGAAACAACATCTAAACCACCTACACCTATGTCCCAAAATAATTTTCAGAGTCCACAGTTATCACTCTTTAACCAGTCAAAGCAATCACTTGCTAGAGTTAACATGTAAGTTTTTCTTTATAGTTTATACTCGCGACTTCTATTGCATTTTATAGACAAAAGATAGCGTATGTACATCTTCGTAATCAAGGTGTTAAATTTCATTAAGAGCCGTTCAACCGTTAAATCGTGTATAAGAAATAAACAGACGCATAGACTTTCGAGTTTATAATATTAAGACGTAGTTATTAATAATAATATTCATTCAAAACGTTACTATATTTGCAACTTATTAATTAAAAAAAAATATGTATATGAAGTTCAACCTGACCATTTAATTACTAAAATATTAATATATTTTAATAGGAACAAACTGTCAACATCTATTCTTGGACCATCTAACAAGAACTACATTACCGAAGGATCACTATTTAATTGGGATAGGGAAACAGTTTTAGTTTTTGGTGGTATTGATCCTCACAATCCGTACGGAACTGGACGTAATACCGGAAAGAACATTTACAGGTAGTATAACTTGAAGTTAAAATGTATGCCTTTAATTACCTCATAGTATTTTGGCGCATATTTTTGTAATAATGTTAATTTTCTATTGTTAATGTTAAATCATTTAATGAAGTATATACTTAGTGGATTCAAGTTACATATAAGTAATTGCTCACTATGCAAATAATAATAATTCCAGTCAATTCAAATGAATACAATTTTTTGTATCTTGTATGAAACTGAACCTGGAACCATCGATAATAAGAAGATCTCATCTGATCTCCTTATTATCGATGGTATCGAGGATGATGATCCTCTATACCATCGAGGCCATCAAATAATTAAATAAAACATCTGTATAAAAAGGATATTTCTAGAACAGTCAAATATTGCACAGACTTTATTGTTTCAAAACAAGAGCTCTATGTTTCGTCGGCATAGTACTTTATTTGTAAAGAAAGATTAAAATGTTAAATAAATTGTATGTTCAGGTACGATCCCGTGATGAATGTGTGGGACTATGTCGGTGATCTACCGGAGCCGAGACATCACCATTCGATAGCGTTTTTACGTGGCAGAGTTTACCTCGTTGGTAAATAATATTTTATGTGAATTGCGACTATGATGTGTCTATATTGTTTTCACTAGCAGAATGAACTCCAGTAATTTATAGCTTTTTCGTTTTGGTTTATGCTGGCATGGCACTAGTGGAGTGTGATAAGATGAAAATGAGGTCAGGTCAGTTTGTCCATCATTTTAAATTCACCCTGAATTTATCAGGATGGTTTCCAGGGGGAACCACATGGAAGGCAACATGAAATGGTATATTGCTAGCAATGGAGCTATTAGTCCAAATTATTAACAATCCCCTTTCCCCCAATTTTGTATGTATATTATATCCGAAAATAAAGTTTTAAAGTTGTTAGTTTAAAGTTAAAATATCATTTAAGTACCTAACCATCAGCCACATGTCAACCACATCAACAACCATTCTCTTTGCTTATCTAATGAGAATGCTACTCTTGCTGCAGGTAAGTATGTATCATTAAAAAAACATAAATGATTGTCAAAGGTCCTTTTATCTGATCAGTGATAATTCTTTGATTAGTTGGATTGATAATAAATTCATTACAACTGTTTTAATGTAAGATAAAGAATATATTACATATATTTAATGTAATATTTATATTGTAAATAGATACAGTCTATTGTCTGATGTAGATTACCAATCTGTGTACCTAAATTACAAAATGATTAATTTTAGCTACTATTATTATATATTCATCGTCACATTTTTTAGCATCAAAAATCGAAGCACATTTTCTAAAGTATATATACTTCACACTTCACAGTAAAAATGAGTTTTATATAATCTACATATATTAAGATGTTATTATTTTATTAAGACTTCTAACATTATTCTCTCTTACAATATTATATACATTTTATGAGATTTATATGTATATTGTCTTATATAACTTAATTTAATTTAACATAATTAGGATCCCAAGTTCTATTCTTGAGGATTCTACTATTTAGAAAAATTTCCTATACTTTGAAACTTTCATCCCTCATTGTATCCGTGAAAAGATAACCATCAGGCAGAGAGACTGATACATTTTCAAATTTATAATATTCGTAGTAGTTAGTAGTAGGTGTATATTTGATTTGTATCTACCCAAGGGTTGAATGAATCAAATATATAAAATATTCATGAAATGGTACCTCAATATGAGACTGGTTACCTGCCACCAGGAGGCGCCGATCCCCGTGATGACGACATCCGTGGCAAATCTGTCGTAGTATCCACAGTATGGAGTTTCGAACCAGTCACCCGGTCGTGGTACAGTGAATCTGGTCTCGCCATACCAAGAAAGAATTTCGGACTTGTTGTACATCGTATGGCGTTGTATGCTATAGGAGGACAGGACAAGAAGGGCAGGTAATATGTTAAACTTCAAAGAAACAAAAAGAACTGACTTTCCACTTGATTGACCACATCGATTCACGGATATAGGTAACGTTGTCATGTAATAACCTTGGTACCCAGGGGTTGTCATTTCTTTACATTACCTAATAGATTTATATTATTTTGTTCAATTCCGCTACCATTAGCATGTGTGAGACTTTTCGTACTCATGTCTTTTCTTTTCGTACTCATGTCTAAAATTAATGGAAAGCTGAAAATAGAAAATGAAGTGCATATCTAAAGACGATTACGAGTACGAGTTACGAGAGAGTACCTACGATTAAATTGACAGTCTCTATTTCAATCGTCATTTTGTATGCATTAGTAGTCTTACTTTTATAATTATGAAATAACTATATTTAAAAATAACTGTAACTTGTTCGTGTAGTACATTAAATGACTTTGACCTGATTTCCAAAACAAAGTGCACAAGTATAGTAAAATAATGCTTAATGCTAACACATCAGAAATCGTGGTGACAACTTGCTGTTAATGCAATGTAATAATTTTAATTTCCATTACATTATGTTTTAATTTTACATACTTACTTGCTATACATTTATTTATTGCTATTGATTCTTTATTATAAACTATCTTTGTATTTGAAAAAAAAAATTCAATTGACTTGCAAACAGGTGTTCTCATTTTATCTGCGTTTTTACTTATTTATTTTGTTTTGTACTTTAATTTCGCTAATTCTGAGTAGATTTTGATTATTCTTTTAGCAAATCGATAGCATTTACTTTCGTAAAGCACTAATGTTTTGCCCATTAATTAGTTCTGTTTTTAACAAAAAGATATTTTCATATTGTGGAATGTGGAATGTATCTTCATTATAAATTTACAATACTATCTAAAAGATCAAATTTCCATTTCATTTTATGCAGAGTTCTTAGATCCGTTGAAAGGTTTGACCCTAAAACGGGCTCTTGGAGTGAGGTTCGTTCAATGAGTGTAGCCCGAATGGCTATTGCATCTGTAAAGTACAGGGAGTACATCTGGGTAGCAGGAGGCATGACAGGCGAGAAGAAGAGACCAGTATGCAAAATTGTAGAATGCTACAACTCTAAAACAAACGAGTTAGTATACATTAAGAGTATATCTAGATCTAGTAGATGTTTTATCTCGCATTTTTAGAGTACAGTCCTCTGTGTTTAATGTACATAAAACGGCATACAAGCTGACGGCCTACCAAGTATGTGTTAACCATCGCCCATATTCATGAATAGCACTACTACATCACGTTATCGTCCCATGCTCATCATGAGCATGACCGTTAACTTATTGTCATTCTAGAGTACTGTTATGAGAAGACGTTATGCCTTAATGCCTCATGTTATGGTTTCTACAATGGCTACAACTTGTATGTCACACGACTAAAATTGACTCAGGGATGGGATTCTTAACACAGAGTCGGCAGTATTTATCTGTAATACATAGGTACTACATGTAAAAAAAGTTTGGCATTACGACACTGATCGTAGTGAGAGTGTTATCAGCAGAAAGAATTATCAATAGTCACAATTATTACATGTATCGCCTATGACAGGCCAATATTGAAATATTTAAACTCTTTCTTCAAATAATCAGTCTATCTGATCATAATATTTCGTGTTATTACCTTAAATATTTGATAAACATGTCAAAAACTTAATACATTTGTTCAAGATAAGGATAACTCTAAATTGAACTTAACATTAAGGTAGGGCCTTAAGTATTCCGATAAGTCCACCTTTTATGAGGAGTAGTAAATAACAATCCAATAATAAATTCTAGAACTGATATAATTTGTTATGGTGTAAATTATATAACAATAAATAATATATTCAAACCTTAAATCAATGACATTTCAGTATGATTTCAGATGGACTGAAATTCACAATTTGCGCTTTCCACGATGTTTTGCTACGTTGTTCACCATGAACGATAAACTTTATATTGTCGGCGGTGCCGGAAAGAAGTCTGATAAGGTTCATTATGTTACACGATTAAAATATAATTTATTTTCTTTTACCATGTAACAGTCAGTGGGAAGAACTGAGATAATATTTCTTAAGTTGAATAAACGTACCAAATAAAATAATAGAATAACTATTTAATGATAACTGTTTTTTATGTAATTTGAACATCTCTAGTTCTCAGTGTTATAGAGTGCAAAACATATTTGTAGTTGTCTCAGCCTAATATTTAAAAACGAGATTGTGTTCATTCAAGTTCATTCATGTAAAATAAATTTTTGACTACCAAAAACAAAAGAAGATCACACTGCTGAAGCCGCAAATCATAATGACATAAAATTTATGATATAAATCACATATAGGTACTGTGCTGATTTCTTAGAGTTTGATATTGAAAAAATCCAGTATTAAAAATAGTTTTAAGTATTGTACAATATTTCTTTGAATAACACAGACATCGACAAACTATGCAACTTGGAAATTCCCACGAGAATGGGCAATAACAAATACTTCGTGGATGCATTGCCGGATCTTCTCTTATTTATTTTGTAGGACAAAACGGCAAGCAGTGTAGGTGCCATTGACGTATGGGACTGGAAAGACCGCGCGTGGATACCTGCGACTGAGATGTCCATACCACGTCATGGCCACGCACTAGCATATCTCGGCACCCAGCTCATAATACTTGGTGAAATTGTTATATTTATTATTCACTCACATACTCTCGTAATAGGTGTAAATCAAAAGAAAATCCATGATCTATATTAGCATTTAGCAGTAATGGGTTTTTATGTATAAAAACTTACTACTTTTTTTGTTATGTTACCTTTGTCTCGAAAATGGCAAATCGATTATGGCGTTTCTGTTTTATTCATAGGAGAACTATACTAAGACCCTAAACTTTAACACTAATAAAGTTACTTCCATTTTGCAAACTAAGAGTAAATTAAATTATAATATAGGTAGTTTATTCTTGTCCTGGAAATAATTTTTAAATATGCAACTATTATTCGCTTATTTTGCACAATGCATTCTCTTGATATCGCTTCCTTTTGACATAAAATTAATAGAATAACTTTAACTCTTTGATAGTAACTATTATTTTATAAATAATAAGATCTGATCATCTGCCAGATCTCAGTATGATGATAGATTGTAAAACATGTATGCTGTTATGTCACCACTCCTTTCTGCCATAAAACCAACTTAGATATCAAAGACACCAGCCACAAGGGAAGGAAATTTTGAATAAAAACCTTATAGCGCCTCGATTAGTTCAAATTATTATTTAACAATACCCTCATCTTTTGGCAATAGACACGTCGCCCATAGTTGGACGTTAAATTGTTGTTATAATAATAAGGTAAAATAAATTCAATATTTATTGAATCGTTACATATACATTACACAATTCAATGGAAAATTTACCGGAAAGAAATATATGTGTGAGTACGTGTGATATCAGAATTTAACAAGGTTGCGTTATTATGAATCAAACGTTCGTTAAGGCGTGCTAGAAAAAGAGATGACTAACTAAACGTGCCCTCTGCAACATACTTATTTACATAATCGAACGATTCTAGATTTCTTGTTAATGATAAACGTGTGTTTATATTTTTCCTGACTATTATATTGATTAAGTATGTGATAGCTCTATGGTTTAGTTGTTTATCATAACACAAACCTCGATGGTTCATACCCAAAAAACTTAAAACTGCTTAGTTCAGACGATTTCTCTTTAATGGGGTAATAATAGATTTGTCAATTATCTAAAGTACCTATAATTGCTTATCTATGTAATCCTTAAGTTCTATTTTAGACTGATTTTAAGAAAATTTCAAGTAGTACATACCTATCAAAACTCTACATTGAAATAATAAGAAATAATTTTGTAAAAACCATCAATGAATCAGATTTCTTTGTAAATAAAAATAATAAAACGTATAACATCTTATCTATTTTGTTTACATAAACTTTTTAAAAGTTACGACTCTACTTAATGCTACATAGTATTAAAACCAAGCTACTTTTGTTTATCCACAAATACCTATTATTATTTCATCGCCATAATTAACTAAGAAGTCAATATCTGCATGACATTAATATGTGCTATCATAATAACTAATCTTTAGGCAGGGAATTTCAAAAGTATATGTTGAAGATTGAATCTCTTTATCTATACTTTTTTTGACATATTTCCTGAAATTATATCCTAATAAAATTATTTTATGAGCGTTCTTTTATTATTGCAGGCGGCATGACCACGATATACATGCGCGCACTCAACAACGTAGAATCATTTTGTTGTGAGCGCGGTGCATGGATCCGAGGGGTAGCCACCCTTCCATCGTCACTCTCAGGACATGGAGCCATTACACTGCCCCCTGCGTCTCTCATGTAACCAGATCTGTCTAATCTACTTTGAGTTATAACTGAAATGGTTTACCTAAATATACGTCCAAATTAGATTATAAATTTTTCATGTAGATAAACAAACCTTTAGATTAATATTTCCAAAATTTACATCGTCTTGTTTTTGGAAAAAGTTTATACACTATAATGTATTGTAATTACGAAATTATAATAAAAAATCGACGTACCATGACTCTACTCCAGATTCTAATATAAAACGAATACAGACCACAAATTAAGCATTAAGGGTCAATGAAATAAATGAAAAAGATGAAGAATAAAGAAATTACTAATTACTTGCTTTATAGATAAAAAGTAAAAACCTGATATGTAATAAACATCCAAGAAAACACTTTTTAATAACTGGTTATAATTATAACTGGTCACATAGACAAATATTTCGTGCGCTTTAAATAAATGTCTGTTACCAATGTATGTAAAGATTGTAATGTTATTATTGTTTTAATATTGTGTAACCGTCAATCAATGTGTTATAATAAAATTAATTGTGATATAATTTATTTCCTTACAAATGTGTACTTGTAATAAAATTATATAACGCACAGTTTTTATGTTTATCTTAAAATAGTTTTAAATACTGTCGAATAAATAGACAGGGATAGAAAATCTACTTAGGTATAAAATTAGGTGTGAAGTGCTATTAAATAAAATTTTAGATATGTTGAATTAATTTATTTTTAAATTAAAATAATGCACTTAATAAATTTATTTACAAACTTTATCCATGATTCACGAACGAAAGTTACCTAAAATTAATATCACATAAACAATTTTACAAAACTATATATGTATAACTTCCAATTTTAGTTCCAAACTTCCCGGCAGATTCCAAATAGGTCTCGTTCGAATCCTTCCTCGCAAGGAGAAAACTTCTTGAAGAATATTACGTTGTTAATTGGAACGAATCGTGTGGGTTTGATGTTTTTAACTTCATCCTGTAAACAAAAAGATAAGTATTGATAATTCAATCGAATATTTCTATTGATTGAGCTACATAATTACTACTGACACATATATACATAATATTTAAGTACCTGAAAATTCTGAAAAATTAACTGAAATATATATTTTAATAGACGTATCTTTATATAGAGATAGATATAAAGATCGTTTTACATCAGTTAAGAAAAGTATTATTGTTTTAATATTGATTGGAATCCATGTCGTTACTAAAAAGAACCGTAATACTGTAATAATCGTAACACAGTCTCACAGTACAGAACATAATTTATTATCGCAGATAGATTTCTATAAGATAAGAACGGAAAGAAAACCAATGTCAAATAAAATAAAAATAATGAACGTACAAATTAAAACTAAATACAGCTATTAAGAAACTTACAGCGGATGTATTAAGAGCGTCTACAATATCCTCAGGGACCGCAACGTTTAAATCACCATCATCCCAACTGGATACCACATGTGGTTGGATATGTCTTGCTCTTCCTGTTACCGCCATACTAATAACAACAATAAGAACAAGTATCGACTTCATGTTTGAAGATTGATATTAGTTTGTATTTTGGTTATATTTTGCACGTTTTCACCGGAGTCCAATGTAGAATTGATATGTGAATTCCTTTTTCGCACTTATAAATATTACTATGCTATCTATATGGCAGTACGTCATATCTGCGTTAAAGGAAACCGACCCAGGTGCCGAGTGGGCTCGCTCGGACCACCTCTGTTTACAAAAGCGTTCTTACGTCACTAAATGTGGGAATTATAAGAATTGAATTCTATAAATTTGTTTTGACGCAACTAGGTATGTGACCTCTATCAGAATATTACCATTATTTCCAATACACTGTGTATTATAGTCCATTTTTAACTGTTTTGAAACTAAAGTATTAAACAGATACTTAGGTATCTTATTTTTATAAAAAAAATAGGTAGGTAATACAAGTCAAAAAATAAATTTAAAATTACAAATGTCAGCGGGTAACATGATACAAATAGGGGAAGGTTGTTACGTGTATAATAATAAATATTCACACAAATCAAATACATTACTACCAATCCGTATCGCTAGCAATGTGCCAACAGGGATTGGTAGTAATGTATGGGACATCTGATTCACGTTGTTCCCTGGAAACTATTGTGGTTGATTCCTAGCGGATTTGCCACTCAGACTTGACCTCATACTTATCTAATCATACACCAGTGGTCCACCGCTAGAGCATACTGTTAAACTGCTATTCATGCGACGCTACAGTTAGATCTAACATCAGGTGGCTATTAAAATTAGATTTAAAAAATAATTATAAAAATATAGGTGAAAATCAAATAAATCATTGAGTAACAACAATTTCTTTAATTGTTATATCGGCATTCAGTCCTTTTTCGATTAAACTTTGCTCATATTTATCAATGCACAAAAACCAATAAGTATACATTCGTGTAAGCAATATTTCTTAATCTTTAAGTAGGTACCGTACGCGTTTCGTCATACTAACACTTTATTTACTTTTGGGGTAAATTCCGTTCTTAGAAGCGAATTTTATCGTATCGTTTATACGTCATCTGTCTTACATTTTACCTAGAAAAATGTTTTTGTTTGTAAATAATGTGACATACTCGTAACTTACTTAACGTAAAAAGTAAAATGTCAAATTCCACACGGGTGGAAAGTGATTATTAACAAAAGAGTGACTCCATTACAATCTAGTATTATCAGATCGATCTTTACTCAAAGAAACAAAAGCTTTATTAATACCTGGTGACATCACTACAATGGGCTAGCTGGGTTTACTTCATCCTCGACTGATGCACGGCCAGCCATTGCCTTTAGCGCAGTAGGCGTCATCATTCCATATTCATGTATTTGAAGTAAAAACAAATTCAACATTACATCCTTATTTGTACCCTACAAAATACCTACTTAATGAATCGGTAGAACGGAATCCCTTTCTAGTTCTCTGATAACTAAAATGAAAGTCTAACTCCATAAACAACTAACCAATTATAGTATTGTGTACATTTGAACTTCTGCCTTTATTCGTTGATTGTAACTCTACAATTCTACACATTATATAAACGGATAAATAATACCATGATAATAAATATAACTCCCGATTATTCGCTCTCTTTTACAAACGTCGTGGCCAGATGGCGGTGTACGTAAATAATTACGAGCAGACAAATGTATTTATCCGCTTTCTTAGTCTTTATTTACTGCATTTAAATTAAAAGTCATTTTTATGTATCGCCTTAAAAATAATATAACAAGACTTTCATACTTTATATTTATTTCCACTTTATACAAGTCATATATTAAAAGTATACTGTTAATGTAACGTTGCTGAGTTATTCTCGTACGTAGATAGTTCATCATAGTGTTCCCAGTGCGTCTCGTTGGTGATTGTGGTGCGCCTGCGCGTGCTACACTGTAGATTAGATCCCATAACCTCACCTGGTGGGCATGAAGTTTTATCTAAAAAATAAGAATAACTTTATATATCGGATAACTTAACCTAACAATTTATCGACCCCTCATGCCAGCAATCAGATATGATAATAATAATCACCGTTTTTATAGTAGTTGATGTATGGATGAAGTCGCGTGTTCTATTTAAAATATTTTATGTAGCTTTTTAACAAATACAATATAACACGTACAAGTAAATTATGCGATTATGTAATAAACAAATACCAATACAAATTTTATAATACACAATGTCATACAAATATGATAAAGCAGGAACGCACTATTGCGTACAGAAAATACAGTGTAATATATATATATTTAGTTTACTATTACTAATAGTAATAGTAATGTCAACTCTACTAAATTATCGTTAAAAAAGTCAAATAATATTAAAAAATAAGATAATAATGAATTTCCTTTTCATAGTAAATGAAAATTTTATCTATTTTTGAAGAATGAGTATATTTAGTTACAATTTTAAAAACTTGTAATAGGGAGAATTAAATGTAGGTATATAAATATAGGAAAATAAAATATTTCATTTTTTAAACTCATTCAATAATTTTATTTATATAAAATTATTACATATAACATGAAATCACTGAGACTTTTTGATCACTGTTATTGATTGCTAATTGAAAAAGATTACCCTATATATTGTCTAATTGTTTATATGTTTTTTCCCCGTGATAACCGGTGGTTTTAAATCAGTTCGATTTTGCTTTATTTTTGCAGTATGTTTATCTTGTTTTTTGCTTACATTAAAGTCAGTATATTCCTTATGGTTCTCGTGTTCCATATTTTCTAAAGAAGTCTTTGCAATGATTAATTTCTTGTTGTTGTCATGTGTTTTATTGTTGTCGTGTACTTGATTTTTTGTTTCATTCATGTCCTTTGATTCAGCGCCTTTTTCGTGAAGTTTTTCTAAGGATGGTATTTTATGAGAATATTTGCGATGTATTCTCTGACCTAAAGTACCACGGTATATTTTTGGTGAACATGATACAAGAAGTGGTAATGTACCATCAGGAACAGTATATGGATATGCTGCTATTTGACGAGAATTATAAAGTTCTTGACCATAATACGATGAACGCACAAAAGGCACTGCCATCGTTGGAATAATGTTATTCATTATAGCTCTATGAGACAATTCTTTTATAAAATTCTCTTCGTCTTTCGAGCGTACCACGCGTACGGGTCTACTCAAAAAAAGTCCATTTTGTTTATCTTGAACTGGCAGTGATTCATGAATATGTGTTAGAGAAACAGGTGGTAAACGAGACACCGAAGGTAAACTATTCAATGAAGTAAATAAACTTGGGTCCGTATATGGGTAATGCAGGCCACTGATGCCACCATACGTACTCAATGCGATCTTGGGCACTATATTTCCTTTATTCTTGCGATATATAGCTCTTCTTGGTGTCTTGTTCGACGTATCTTGATGTGATGTTTGTGATTTTGTAATCGATTCTTGTTCGATCTCATGAAAATTTTCGGAGGCGGGCGATTCTCTGGTTTGAGTACAAAGTTGATTTCCAAGTCGATCTTGAGAACAAAAGATAATTGAAGACTTCTCATTAACATTTTCTAATGCCGTGTTACTGATCCCTCCAGTACCAATTCTGGCTAGTGCAGACTCTATTTTCTCTGAGGTACGTTGTTTTATTGTCGTACTACAAACTAAATGCGAATTTACGAAAAGAAATGCCAATACAAGTGATATTATCATTATGGTAGAATATAGTGTAATGATTTTTATGCGTTCAACCGATGACGATGCACGAGTTAAAAATTCATATGAGCGACAACGTACCTAAGTAGACAAATAATACTACGTACAAATTGACACACTCTGTCGCTCTCTACCGTTTATGTTCGCCTTTTCGGTGATTGTCCTAATTGGCGGTTGAATTAATAAAAAATGCATAGTTACCACTTTAATTTCACAACACTTACAAGTTATCGTAAATGTTCAAATATAACAATGTATTACTCATCATAAGTTCACAATGACAATGCATTCTCTCAAATTACATCCAGACCGATCAATACCTAAAGCCTGATGGCTAAATTTTATTGACATAGCTTTAAATTTGTAATAGATATAAAATTAAAACTATTGTTAATGTTCTAGTAAATGTATAATAATGTATTAAATATGGATAGTTTTTTTGCTTTACGACATTCTTCTCTTATTGAACATTACGTACCTAATTAATAATTTAATGAAATACTCAATCAAATTATTTTTAAGCACACTATTATTATTACTATAATTACTTATTATAGCAGTATTTTTAACAGCATGATTATATCTATTTTTAATTAACGTTCTTTACCCATAAATCCATTTCAGAAAAATTTACATGACCTAAACCTTTTTGCAAAACCTAATTGTTAAACGAACCTGACAATGGTTATTCTTGTACGAGATTGTTAGTTTAATATTAGAGGCATCTAATTAGAAAGTTTCTCGTCAGTTCTTCTTGACTAGCTAGGATAAAAAATCTTAATTGCCAGAAAAAAACTCGATCAACTCTATGTTATTTAAAGGAAATGTTAGTTGTACTAAATATACCTACCATTACTTATTAAATACTGATAGCTAACTATTAAGGAGATATCTAAAAATATTACTATTAGATTTTTTATGCTTACCTCCAAAATTAAGTGTGTACAATAAAAAGATGGAATGTAAAATGATTTCAAATGATATCTATAACTATTTAGTATTTTTCTATTGTATTCTACCTATGGAAAACAATAGTAAAATTCTGCATTAATTTTGAATTGATGTATAATTTGCCAGAGGGGATAAGTTATTATTAACTACATAACTATATTGGAATTGTAAACAAAATATATAGTATCAAAATACTTTTATTAAAATGCTTAATAATTTTGTGATGTCTTATTATATTCGGATTCAAAATAAATTATACTTTATTCAAAATAAAATAAATTAGTTCAATAATAAATTAGCTTAATTATAAAATCAAAAATCAATAAAATCGCGCAATGGTCCCATTTTTCTTAAGACGTCAAACTTTTTTTATATATCACTGCTTTTTATTAGTGGAAACTGTGTCGGGCACCAATTTCGTTGTCTTCGAAGCCCGTTTCAGTTTTGTACTTAATTTGTCATTACTTTTTTTAATGTCGCGCTTCATATGAATGTTATGTTCTTCGTTACCTCTATAGGCAGGTATGTTACCACCATAGCTCGTTTCGTGTCCATAACTAGACTTAGTTAAACTGCCAGGCACAACAGAAGGCGAACAGCTAAGCAGCAAAGGAATTGCACAACCACCCACGTTTGCGTTAGGGAATACTCCTATCGCACCAGAACCAGACGTTCCTGAGGCAGCTAGGTTAAGACCACTGCTTCCATAAACGGGACCATAGGCAGACCTTCCTCCATCTTCCTTATGTGTCCATTGATGCATATTTTCCAGTGCCGATTTTCCCATAAAATCAGCCATATTCATTTGTAATGTTGGTTGCATAAAATTGTCCATGTCAACTGAATTGGCGTCTCTCATTTCATTTATTGGAGCTAAATGACTTTTTAGTGGATGTGAATGAATGTGATGACCACCTCCATGCATAGGGTAACCATGCGATGGATGTGAGAAGTGGTGATGGTGACTTGTGTGCATATGTGGATTCATCAAATGTTTGTTATGAAACTCTCCTGCGACTTTCATCTGGCCAATTTCTTCTTTATTTTGGGTATGTTTATGTGGCCAAAATGTTGGATTGTTTGTATCTAGTCCTGTAATAACTGCAGATTTCTGAATGTGCTCGCTATGTAATTCTGTTGGATTTCTTGCTAAAGTTTCATGCTGATTTGTCGTAATAGATGGTGCAAACACTTTATTTTCCATATGCTTGTGATTTAAATTAAAATCTTCAGAGTGTCTGGCTGCCATATCGTTCCAAGCACTTTTTTCTTCTTTAATATGCTTTTCTATATCAACCCAATTATTTTCACTATTTATATGTTTATTCGTAGTCATTGACTCAAATTTACCTGTTTCAGACGATTTTAATTTATTTAAGTTACTTACACCTTTGTGATGATTTTCAACATTTTTAGTACCTTTATTCATATTACTTTCAACTTCATGTGTAGCGGCTTTCATAACGGCGCTCTCCATATTTTTCATCAAATCTTTATTGGTACCTAATTCGAATTTTTTAGACGGAGTTTTCACTAGAATGTCGCTTTGAACATCTAGTGAAAGATCAGGTGATTCGTTAACCGATGATTGAGTATTTTTATGCTTTGTTTCTGGTAGCTCAATTTTCGATTCTTTAATCTCGGTTTCCGATGCCTTCATTTCATCTTTAAGATGGTCTGGTTTCATAGGGTCACGTTTATCAGTATTTGAATGCTGTTCTTTAGATATCTTATCAGAATCAAATTCTTTCAGTGTATTATCGTTATTTTCTAAAGCACTCTCCTTTGTAAATACTTCTGCTGTATTGAACTTTTGATTTAGCTTCTCATTTTTATTTGTCTGTGGAGCATCAATTTGTAATGTTTTGCTTTCTCTGTCCGTGGGTATTAATACATCTTCCATGTTTTTTCCAGTATCCATATTTGTTTGAGTATTCTCCTTCCACTGAGCCATTTTTTTTTCTATTAGTTTAGCGTGATCATTATTATCTTGCATATCTTGTACATCATGTAATGTTGTAGTTTTTAAGTCCATAGACTCTAGATTTCCAAAACTTCGCTGTATGTGGTCAAGTGCCTGCCTTGCTACTTCAATTTCATCATGAAATTCAGTATTAGATGAATCAATTTCTCGTTGTTTATGTGATAACAGCTTAGCACCCGACGTTTGTTCTATATTTTTTAAATCTCTCTGTAGATTTTCTATTGCTTCTTTTGCCATTTTAATACTATGTTCCATATTATCGTCATGTACATCAGCTTCATGCCCAACGGTTCTTCCGCCATTGTGTTGTTCTATATTATTTCTGTCACATAGCTTAACGTTAACCTGTTTAGAGCAACTCTCTTGTGGGTCAGAATGTGCACGTTCTTCTTCAGAATCTCTATATACATAATGTGATCCTCGATGTCCTCCTGTTGTCTTAACTATGATAGGTTTTTTAAAACCAAAGCTTCTTCCTGATGTTGCTGTCTCATCAAATTTCGATGTAAGATGAAGAGGTTGATCAGCGGTCTTAAATGTTTCTGGTTCTGTGAAATGCCGGGATGACTTCTTTTCCCTTTTGATAAGTTCTGGCCATTTGCCTGGCTGAATTCTTCTAAATTCCTCTCCAGTTACTGAGGGAGCTGCTATGGCAGTCGTCGCCAAAGCACAGAGAACCACTAAGGTCTTCATACTGTGCTACTGTTGTTACGTTTGATGCTGGGATCTATTCTCTCGTGGTATTTATACTAAACCGAGTGTAAATGCATTTTGAAAGAAAGTAAATTTATACGTGACAATAACCATAATAAAATCATTAAATTAAAAGATACAATTGCTGAAACAGCGTCTTCCGCTTCGATGTATTAATTATCACGCACGTCCTAAAATATTAACCTGCTGATTATGATATACTAACATCTGATTTATATTGATTTACAACCCCGTAAGGAATCTGATACGAAAGTACAAATAAATAGATAAAAAATATGATGAATTAGATTAAAAATAATTATAAAACTAAGATTAATAATATTATGATTGAAACATTAAGTTTCTTTTTATCTATTTATTTGTACATTTGATGTTAAACTGTTTATTAATAACAGTTATATGTATTAATGTTAAATTAAATTATATCCATCGTTCTGAGTAAATCTTAACCCTATCTTGAAAATTTTATTATAATTTGGTTTTGCTTCTATATTTTTTCTAGAAAGAATGACTTCATTTTTTACTTATTTTTATCTCATCTATTCTAACGCCACGTACCACTTTTTGTAATTATGGAAATATCTTGTGCAGAAATAAGTAATAAATACATAACCTTATTTATATGAAACTATCCCTCTGTAAACAATTTTATTGAATACATTATTAGCTAATTACTCAGTTAATATGCGTAACGTAATTTTTTACACATTTGTGTGTAAAATAAATTGAATTAAGAGACTTTTTAAATCGGTTAAATAGAAAATATACCGATAGAACTCAGCGTAAACCACTCAAATTAGGAACTCGAACTTTTGCATAGCGGTTCTTTACGTAATACAGTAATAATAACAAGACAGTACCAATATGAAAAATTCTCATGAACGAATGAATGCAGACATCTCTTTTTAGGCTGGATGTAAATAGTATTGTGCAACTATCGGCGCTAATAGTGTATGCCCTGGCACCAGTGGAGGATGATTGTATGCTGACCTAACTTCATGCTCATCTTCTGGTGTCCAGCCAGCGTAAACCGTTAGCGCAAGCGGGTTCACCATTCCATTATCATTTATAAAAAAAAACTTCATTCGTCGCTTTTCCAGGAAGTATCGCTTGGGGATCTACCCTTCATTACAAGCAACAGAACCACTAGTTTTATTACTAAGAAAGCCGATGTATACAGATGCATCGTAAAAAACTATGGAGATGTTCAGCTACATACTTTGTCTACCTATTTATTTTATTCAGAATACTTATTAAGACTATTGGGATAAAACAATAATAATAATAACCCAGGATAATTTGCACAGCTCCATTTAGTCCTAAATTAAACAGAGATTGTGTTGTGGGTACTAGAGAACTAATATATATTTTTTTATACATAATTATATTAATTATTGTTTGTTTAATACAAACAAGCATACTCATATATAAAAATATTTTTACCGTATAAGGAATCCAATCCGCGACTATCAAAGTAAGATATTATGTTAAATCCCTAGATCACGGTTTTTAATTTTCAGTACCCCTGTAAATTGTAACTATACGGTCACGCTCTATAATTTATATCATGTATCATATATACCTGAATACATACATACATTAATATAGTAATCCGAGAGGAAACCTTTGTTTAAAGAAAATACTATTCAATTTAATGGTCAGGTGGTTTTTTCCGATTTGTATTTAAATTATTTTTTATATGAATGAAATGGCAAAGCTCACGTTTCAACCACGGTATACATAGAAAGACTCATGTATCCGTCACTTTTTCTTTTAATAATATAAGTTGTAAAATGACCAATAAATATTTTCATAAAACCATACAGATAGATATACCTATAGATTTCATTAAACAATAGGTTTGCCATAACCCGAATAAAATAAAAGCCCTTTAAATAAAAATAATCCCTAAAAATATCCTATTTTTAGTTTCATAAATTAAAAATAGGATATATATATTAATTTCATATTTCAAGATATATATATGTATATGTCGATATAGAACCCTAATCTATTTCCCAAGTAGGAAACTAGTACCTATTGGTAGAAGCTATATGTCCTGCATGTCAAGAAAGAAAGGGGTCAATATAATGAAAAATATTTCATATTTTCGATTTTATTTTCTATATGTTCAATATTTAATCTGTGTAGTATTTCATCGGAAGCTGTTCAGTCCTTATTCTCTGGATGTACTTATTGGAAATAGCTACTAAATATTATATCTAATAAAAAGCAAGGATATTAGTATGTACATATTTACAAGTATCATTATAAAGAAAAAATAAGTACTAAATCAATTAAATAAATAAATTTATTGTATTCATATGAATGTAAAAATCAGGTCAATCACTAGTTAAGGCTTCATTAAACATTCTTATCCGTTTGCTTGGCATTGTGTTTATGAGTTTCTTCATTTTCAGTGTGTACGTTGGTGATTTTAGAAACTAAATGATGTTTATTCATATGCGCATCTGGATGGTCCTCAGATGCTATATGATGGTTGGCTACACGTTCTGCATCCCATTCACTCTTCATTCCAAAGTGAGGTTCTTGCTCATGAGTCCTGTATGCCGGATAAGGTGCTGCAGCTGTTAAATGGCCTGCTACTACATTTGGCGAGCAACTTAATAACAATGGAATGTTACAACCGCCGATTTTTGCATTTGGGAACAGACCTACCGCACTTCCACCATGGACAGTCGAAGCGGAACTCTGTCCTGCACTTCCGGTTAATGCACCCGATCCGTATCCTCCAACATTCAAAGCGGCTGAACTAATAGCTGATTCGTAGTATCCACGAGCTGATGGGTTGACATCCTCTTTCATATTGCCGTCTTCACGGTATTGTGGTGCCTGGTATGGGTGCGGTGATGGTATATTCTGTGGAGCCAAATAAACTGACACCGGTCCGTATGGAATAGACCCAGCACATGGTAGCGGTGCTGCGGGCAATACCGGCGCTCCGTATGATGACGATTTCTTCGTTCTTTGTAGATCGTCTGTAACGTCATCGACTGGTGCGCCGAAGCCTGAGCTTACAATGGCTAGTACAAGTACAACAATCTTCATTGTGAATGGTGATGGTATGTCGTCTACTGTGTGTATTAAACCTTTAAATACCATTATGATCTTTCGTTTACATGTCTGAGATTAAATATCGTTATCTTAATAATCTGCATTGATGATCACGTACATCGCGCCTTTAATAAGATTTAACACGTGCTTTTTAAATTCCTGACAGAAGTACCTACCTACACAAAATTGTTTTAATTTTATTTTTAAATATGTCCCATAAATTCAGATTATTGTACCTTAACAATTTGTATATATTCGATATAGGCAAACTGTATGCACAGCCAACGGGGACATTGCTATAAAATTTGGGTATTAAAAATATTTCAACAACTGATAGTCAAAATCGGTAAAGATAGCGTTTACCGATTTTTATGGCATTTTATCGAAATCTTCAATTCCTTTGTCAATTTACAATATTTTTTCTATCCATTCACATCTATCACGGAACAGTCACATTTTTATTCCGAAAAAAAAAAAAGAAGTTGGTGTCGATGGTAACAGCTATTTAAGCACACCTTATTTTCCAATGGTCACGGGTTCGATTCCTCGCACTGTGCAAACATTTCTATTAATATTTCTGAACTAATACTTAACAAATGTATCAAGTGTATATCCAGAACACATGCTCTGCTTAGTTTAGGGCTAGATGAAGTTGTGCGGATTGTCTTGGGTTATTATTTCCTTTAGTAGTTAGTACACTGTAAGCACCGACACCCAGGGAATAAAAACATACTAGTGCATGAGAATAAATCAATAGAAACTCGTAGGAGTTTCTATCGAGATTTATTAAGTCACAATCTTAAACGTTAGGTTGGAAAGAGAATTCTTAGTAATGTATAATGATGATATTATTGCTAGCAATGTACCATGTCAGGTTGACCTCCACGCGGTTCCCCCTGGAAACCATCGTGATAAATTCTTGGTGAATATGTCACGATGGGCTAACTGACCTGACCTCACGCTAATCTTATCATCCTCCACTGGTGCCCCGCCAGCATAAACCGTTTGCGCACGCGGATGCACCATTTCATTATCATACATAAAAAAAACCATAAACTGTGTGCTAATACAAATTGGTAGTCAGTAAATATTCTGTAATATGTGTAGGTATGTAATGAGATCTGTGGCTATAGTATCTATAGTAATAATAATAGTTGAGAAATTAAAAACCCTAAAAAATAGGATATATTATAATTATTCACCTACCACGGAATACATAATAGTATCTGCCAGGGTTATATTAGTACTAATGCTATGTAGTTAATATTTCCGATGGTCGAGGATTCGATTCCTCGCTGGGTACAAACATTGGTATACGTAAGTATGATTGTTTGTATCGGTCTAGGTGTTTTCTATGTATATAAAGGATAAAAAGTATTCACAAAAAATATATCTATGTATGTATATCAGTTGTCTATACCTATAACACAAGCTCTGCATAACTTGGGACAAGTTGGCGCTGTGTGATTGTACTGAGATATTTTTTTTTTATTATATATATTTTTATATATAATAAAAAAAAAATTATATATTTTTATTTATTATATTTTTTTTATTATTTATATTCTTAAGGTATAAGTAAATTAGTAAACACAATTAATTATTTAAATATATAATTCATTACTAAATATCAATTACAACTATTTACATATAACTATATAACTAATACTTTTACTGGTGTGTGCTAGTCTGATGGCCAGCATCATTAACGGCAGGTAATTGCTCATGAGTCTGAGGTTCCTCTTCGTGATCTTCGTGGAATTCCTGATGAGCCTCATCTACACCTCGGTAAGCATTTCCCGCCGCTACCACAGCAGGACCACCGTATCCGTAACCCTGGGATTTCACCAACCGCCCTGGAACTATCGATGGTGAACAGCTCAACAGAAGAGGAACATTGCATCCACCAACGTTCGCGTTAGGGAACACTCCGAAAGCCGGACCAGCGGGGGCCACAGGGCCCAACGGTCCTCCGCTCAAACTACCCAAACCGCTGCTGGCATGAAGAGCTGGGCCGTAACCGCCATACCTGGCCATCGGAACATGTTCAGACATCATATGATCCATATCCGGGAAGAAAGTCTCGTGTTCTGCTCCGAAATCGTCAGAGCGGTAGTGTGGTGCTCCGTAGCCATACGAATGAGGTGCTCCATAACCGTATCCCGTATGTATTGGTCCCAAATTAAGCTGGTAAGCCGAAGGAGCGACGGCAGGGAGCGCGGCAACTGTTGGGAGCGCTGCAACCGCACCACCACCGCACGGAGCGCTGTATCCACCGTATGATGGGTACTGGGAACGTTTTTCCCGTAAAATCTGAGGTTGTTGGCTGGACAGCACTATATTCTCAGGCTGCTGCGGTGCTGCTCCTTCGTTGAGAGTGGGCGCCCCCGCCACCGAGGCAGCAAAAATACACACAATAACAGCAACCTTCATTGTTACGTTGATTCGATAATGTGGTTATTGAAATTGACACCACTCCAATATTTATACATAATTTTGCTTACAATTATACATTCGTATACAATTACTTAGGTTGCACTCTAAGTATATTTTGCGACACATGACCGAGTATTTTTTGCAAACACAGAATTTTTAATCTCTTTTAATGTACATTTATTACATAGTATGAATGTTTAGTCTAATATTATATATATATGCAAGTCGATTATTATAACACAATAATTGTAATGTGTTGAATATCATAGACTTGAATTTCATAGAGCATAGAGAGCGTTTTGGTCTAGTAGTTTTCTTCCCAACACCAAACGCCGTGAGTTCGATTCTGAGTGACACAAAAAACCTTCGTATCAATACAGATAACATAATGTGTCAATTTATATATCTAACTAACTGTCCAAGTATATCTATAACAACCCAAATGAATTTGAGAAACGGTGGTAGGCTTGCTCCTTTGTACATTAGATTCAAATATACATATATATATACATATATACGCTTTTATTATTACTTTAGGAGAATTACAGTTATTATAAAATATTAATATACTTACCTTTTTAATATAACAATTTTTATCATGGTTCAAAATATGTTAACTTATATACATAAATATGTTTGAATATTGACATTTAAGTATTACGACAACAAATGTCCCACAATGTTGTGCCTATGAAAACATTACAATTATGTCTCAAAGTTTAAGGTAAAGACAATTAATGTAATTGTTGAAAACTTTTATTATTATTTATAGGTATTTATTATGTAGTAACATAATAAATCACTTATTTAAATTTGACCTAATTACATGCTGCTTACGAAGCATAATGAGAACGTAGTAAGTAAAACAAACAAGCACGTCCAAAAATGGTATTACATATACCTAAATACATACATATCTCATATACCTAAACTTCATAAATGATAATAACAAAATGTGTAAAAAAATATTTATAAGTACCAATTCATCGTAATTCAACTGCTTGTTTCAAATGCTGAACTGATTTTGATGTAACTTTATAGTCATATAGATATATGTATACTTGTACATCAGAATATCTCATAGGCTATAACTTGAAAAGATATTGTGTAAATTGTGCGAAATATAATAAATATCAAGTGTGATACAGACGCAGTCGCGCGGTTCAGCTAGTAATAATATAAATTGTGGTTGATTGTCATGCAATATTTTTTGTTTCACAATTGTAACAAATATCCTGATAGAATTATGATTGGTTACCTGGACAGGCCTGTACTGAAATGCACTTCTTAGTATATTCGTCCCTAACAAAACCAGCTGAGCATCGGCAACCCACTCTGCACTCCCATACTGAGGGACAGATCAATTTTTCTGCAGCTAAGAGACGTAGATTAACACAGGTTGGAGGACATTTCCATCCACAAAGAGAGAACTCTTCATTGTTCCTCAGACACGTGGATGTTCTATACGCGATGGATTTATGTAAAAGGATTGTATTGTATATGTAAATTATGTAATGTAGTCGCATTATTTACTAACAATCACGCGCAATCACAAAATACTATGATGTATGTATACTTTTATTGTTATAGGTAATATGAATATAATGCAATATTCTATTATTTTTCAGTACCATACTATAGTTATTACATGCATTTTCAGACGACTTTTGGTTGCGTAACGGTTTTCTCCCGAAGATGACGGGTTCAGTCTCGGACAATACAAATATTTCATATGATTTTTCCTATTGATCCATATGTATTTTCTATACGTTATATAATGTAATAAAAAAGTTATTGTTTCTCATCAGCGTGTTGGTCTATAGTTCCAGCTCTCTTCTAAGGTCTATAAAACATATGAACCTATACTTTTGCTGACCCGGTAAACGTTATATCATATAAATTAATAACACTACAAATAATAATAACATTACATATGAGAATATTTATTGTTTTACGTATTTATTTACCTATACTAATTTAAAAAAATGTAATTAACATATCCATCTCTATCACTTAGGGATATCAAAAATAGATAACAACCCATTTTCAGACCTACCAGTATACATATAAAACTTCATCAAAATCAGTCAAGCCGTTTCGAAGAAGTACAGCAACTAACACAGTGACAAAAGAATTTTATACATGTACTAGCTGTCCCGGAAAACGTTGTTTTGCCATAAAAAAAAAAATTGGGGTGGACTACCCCTAACAATAACATTATATTAATCTGGTCCAATTATAACTCTGTGTGGTTCCACTGTTGGGCAAGAGTATTTTGTCTTTAGAAAAGACCTCTATACCTACATACATCTGTTCATACTTTTGTAATTAAATATAAAGTATTTTATATTGTAGATACAACTAATACATATGGAATGTGCAACAATTCATTTTTGTTGTAAGTACATATTAACGCATGCCGTTTTTGTCCTCGATTGTTGCAATTATTTTAGGTCATCTGCTAGACAAATGACAACGCACTATTTAACACGTTTAGCCACCATGTAATTATTAAGTAGACCTAGATCTAAAAATTCGTTAGAAAAAAAACTGTATTTATAAATGTTTCAATTTCTTTATACTCTATTAACAAATTATGTTTCTATATCTACCAATTTTTTTGGATTATGTAAATTATATAGTGCGTATATAGCTTAAATAGCTTTTCATTTCTTTTTTGTCTTAATTTTTTATAATTTTAGTGCACTAAACCTTAAAAAGATACTTAAAATATTACATATTATTTCTTTCTATGTTACGGAATTAAGAGTTTTCGAATAATATTGAGTTTGAATGAATTAAAAAATATCTTTTTTTTAAATGTATGAATGAGGCATAAAGTAATAGTCCAGGTAGTTTCTAAATGTGGTGTTTAGATACGAACTAAAGTGTCATAAAGTAGTATTCCGTAAACCTGTAATTTTAGTGTACTTTATTCATAGATGAAATGGAATAGATATGTATTAATGTAATATATATTACAATTGTAATAAAATATTGTTGTTGTTATTGTAATCTTAGTTTTCAAATATTATATATAGGTACACCACCTACAATTACAATTGCCTCACAGTACATTTATGAAAATATTATGTATACAAGGAAAAACTTAGATAGTTTCAAGAAACTTAAAGACTGTACAAGTAGAAACTTACGCAATAAAAATAAGCTAATTTTACCTAAATGCCGTCTACACAAAGTTAGTAATTCATTTTATGGTAATTGCGTAAGATTCTATAATAAACTGCCAGAGTCTACGCTAAATCTTACAGAGAGGCAATTTAAATCTTATATTAAACAAATGTTATGTAAAAAAGCCTATTATAAGATAGATGAATTTATAGATGATAGCAATATATAGCAAGAATAAGTTTATTTGCGGACAACGTTATAATTTTAATTTTCATACTGCTTTCTTGATATATGATAGCGTAGCGGCTTTTGTATTGATTGCCGCATGCATCCTTATGTAAAGTGCGAATACTGTAACTACCATATAGTAATTTTTGTAGCTGTGACGTGGTCGTGTGGAATGAGTAGTCATGCTCACTAAAATGTCCAGACATGTGGCGGCGTGGTGGGCCGGGTCAATGGGCTCCCTAAAATATGGTCGAGCGCAGTGATGGCTGGCTCATCCGTCATACTCGTGAACGAGTGCTGCTTGTAGGGACTGGTCTGCTCTTATCACTACGACTGATTTAATCTTATTGCATGATTATATTTGACCCAAAAAATTAGTGCTTGTTGGTAGTTTGTATTCACACGTTTCGACTTGTAAATGTAAACTTACAAGGATTATTTAAAAGAGCAACACACAAGTTTCTTGCTCGTTCTTCTTGTGATGAGACAGCTTTCCGAACGAGTGGTAGATAAAAACAAATTGTTATGACTATTCAAAAGTGCTTAAATTAAGTTTATTTGAATAAATGATTTTCTATTCTATTCTATTCTACAATAATTCTCCGCACCACCTATAGTTGACTTCTAGAAAATGAAGCATGATGTTAAGATCACCAAATATACTGTTATCTTTAGTGTATCAAAATTACACGAAATATATAAATAGTAGTCTATATTCACAATTTCTGACAGATACACATATATCCACATCTATTGGTCAGAGAACACTTTATCAAATCTTGTAATCGTAATTATCATTGTTTGCCTATCAAATATCTCTACATAGAGAACGTGAAAATATGTCCGAGAGTATGAACATCAAAACGTGTCGCGATCAGAACGCCGATTATAATTGTAATTACTTAATTTTATTCTTATCGCAATATCCTTATAAGATTGTATCATATAAAAAGCAAGACGTATTCCTAAATGTGGATACAGTAAATGTTACCGTACATCTGTAACGTAACCATGGTGAACTGCTTAAGTATGTTCATGGCTGTGCTAGCCACGGCTAACGGACATGCTACTTATTGGAACACACCCAACAGTCTCCAGCCTGTTCATGGACTATATGTAAAACCATCTGTGGACGGAACGACAGGGGACCTGTACGTAGCAGCCACGGAAGAAAATGGAGTCAAATCACAATGGTTAACTGACCAGCCCGTTAACTTTCTACCAGCTGCTACTCATACACAACCGATCGCATATTCTCCAAGTATTGCCAGTCCAGAAGAAACAGTGAATACACAGAAACGAGCAGTGGTAAACCCACCTGTACAATACGCCTACGCATACCCAGTACTGGGACAAACTGAAGGTAATTCCGTTGTTCCTTACCCATACCCTACCTCATCATCTAGTCCAGTACCTTCAAATCCCACTGAAATATGCAACAAAGGTGACGTGCCTACCAGAACAACTACAACTTTACCACAATACAACCCTTTTCACTACTTTTACCCGCAAATAATATCAGCCTATTCCAATCTTATGAATCACCTCAAAGAGACAGAAAATAACGAAGAAGAAACTGGCTCAGTCGCGCCTCAATCTCCTGCAGTGTGGCCTGCATCTTATGGATACCCAGTACAATATGTAATGGTAGACCCTAATATGTGGGCACAGGCTCAGACAGCATCACAAGCCTCTACATCTTCATCTACATCTGCTGGTGTGACAGCAAACGACAACGAATAAAAGATATCTAAAATGTATTTAATAATTAAATTTAATAATTTATTGCGTACTTTTAAGCCTATAAAACTGTCATGTCAGGAATAAAATTTTGATTATTAAGTGTATTACTTTATTAATTACATCGTGATTTTAAGTCTTCTTAATTTAAAGGTATCAGATAACCCTCTACAAATCATATAGAGACATCTAGACCCAAACTAAGTTGAACTCGTGTTTTGGGTTCTACATAGACAACTGACAGAAATACCTACTTAAATATTTTTCATACATGATTATATACATAGGAAACATTTGATGAAAGGCTATGTGGTAAATCACCAGGCCTCCGAGCTCGTCAGGACATAATTGTATAAACGTATGAGATTTATAGGTTTCTACGATTATTTTCATAATATTTTATCCTATTCCTAGCCTTTTCTTTCCAATAGTTCTTTTTTTCATATCCTAAATCCAATATATCATTAAATCTTTAAAACTAGCCAACGCATTTTGAAAATATATTTAATTTGTAAAAGATTTTCCTGGATACTGATATTGGTAAATAGGTACTTTCTGTTCTGTTGCGAATGGATACATTCGCAACAGAACAGAAAGTACGTATATATCGAAAATAAGTATCCTATCCTGTCCTATACACAAGAAGAAAAAAACTGCAAACGACTTTTTTTAATTTCACTGATCACCATATAATGACAAACCGAAAAGTATACAAAAATAAAATCTTTAATATATAAAAAATAATGCTGCTTTTAGTAAATATATTTGAAGTTTAGTCATATTTACTATAAGTACAATATAATAAGTGAACATTTATTTTTAAATCTATTAATACACATTGAATTCCATTTGCCAATCCAATGGCCAATCCATGGGATTAAATCCATTCCCAATTAAAAAAATAATCTCAACTTCTCAATTTGTAAATTTAATTGATATTTTTAATTTATATATAGCCTTTGGATTATTTCTTTCGTACAAATCTGAGCTTAAAAAGAAAAAACTGACATTACTGTACTGTCATTATCTGAAATGACAGATTAACCTGACTGACAAGTTGAATAAACAAAAAAAAGTTCTTTTACGTCTGGTCTTCGACCAATTTAGGAATATAATAAATATATTTACAAAATAAAATCGAATACATTAAATATCATAAATAAAACAGTTTATTATATTAAGAAATAACCAAAAATGGTCTCCAAAAAGAAGAAGAAGGTTTGTATAGCCAAAACATGAAATCTTAACACGTGCGAATATTTTCTAACCATAAAACTATTTCATTCCAGTATTCCTCTGGAGAAGGAGCTCAGTTTATGACCAGAAAAGCCGCTCTGAAAAAATTGCAATTAACGTTGAAGGATTTTCGACGTATTTGTATTCTGAAAGGAATTTATCCTAGAGAACCTAGAAACCGTAAGAGAGCACAAAAGGGTCAAGGAGGCATCAAAACGTTATATCATACAAAAGACATAAAATTTCTTTTACACGAACCCATATTATGGAAAATAAGAGAATTAAAAGTAAGTTACAGTAACAGTTTTAGAATTATTTGTATCATTTTAAATAAATAACCACCATTAATTATCTTTAAATATTTCTTAGGTATATCAACAAAGAATTCGACGAGCAAGAGCTATGAAGAAATATGGACAAATGAAAAAGTATTTCAGAGACTATCCTGATATGAACATAGATCATATAGTGAAAGAACGCTACCCCACATTTGTAGATGCATTGCGAGATCTAGATGATTGTCTTACCCTTTGTTTCCTATTCAGCACTTTTCCATCAATAAGACGGGTACCAAGAGACCAATCACTGTTGTGTAGAAGACTTACTGTGGAATTCATGCATGCAGTCATAGCGGGGAAAGCACTACGTAATGTATTTGTGTCAGTCAAAGGTTACTATTATCAAGCTGAATTTGAAGGTCAGACTATTACTTGGATTGTGCCCCATCATTTTTCATTCCAGGTAAATATAAAAGTTTGATCAGATCTTACATTATTATTGATATATAATTGTTTTATTAAGGTTCATTTTAAACTTTATGTACATAGAAATAATTCAAAGTAACTAATGAAAGTTTCTTTGAACTATATTTTGTTTTTGATATATGAAAGCATGATCAAAATTGCTTCAATTAAAATTTCTATTTTAGCCTCAAAGCAAGGATGATGTTGACTTTAAAATAATGTCTACATTTGTTGAATTCTACATTACAATGCTGGGTTTTGTAAATTTCAAACTTTACCACTCACTGAATTTGGTATATCCTCCAAAATTGACATCTGGATTCTCTTCCAACAACGACAAAGATCTTATTGATGAAAGGGCTTATGTGTCAGAGAGAATATCTGCTATGAATATACCACTTGTCAAAGTATCAGGTGTTGGAGAACCTGAAGAAGTACCTGAGATTGATATTTTCAACACAGAAGAAGATCCCCAGAAATTAGAAGAAGCTAAGCTAGAAGCTGAAAAGATAAATAAGTTGAAGACTATGTTTGATGGCATCAAGTTCTATCTTAATCGAGAAGTGCCTAGAGAGCCTCTAGTATTCCTGATTCGCTGCTTTGGAGGCTTAGTATCTTGGGACCGTGATCATTTTGTAGGTGCAACATTTGATGAGTCTGATGAATCTATTTCATACCAAATAGTTGACAGACCCAGTATGGAGAAGCAATATCTCTCCCGTTATTATGTGCAACCTCAATGGGTATTTGATAGTGTGAATGCTAGAACATTGCTACCTATAAATAAGTATCTTATGGGAGCTGTATTACCACCACATTTGTCTCCATTTGTTGACAAAACTAAAGATCAGGTATATGTTCCACCTGAACAACGAGCTCTTAATGATCCAGAATTTAAACCGTTAGGTGAGTATATAGATATATAAAATTAAAAAAAAAACAATCTTTTTACATTATTTTTAAATGTATAATTATTATTCTCCAGAATTTTGAATAAAATAATCTGATGAAAGAGAAGCAAAACTTGAAATAAAGCTACAACGTTGGCTCCACCATGGCATGGTGTGCCTATTAACTTCACAAAGATGTTTTCATACATCACACAAAGTTTAGAATTAACTGAATTTTAATAAGTAAATCTAATTTGTCAGTCTCTGCAGTTTAGCTTTTTTAAGCTTATCATATATTATTATATTGTAATTTCTTATCATATAGTAAATATTTTTTCACAATCTTTGGTAGATGATGATGATGATGATGGTGAAATTGAAGAAGCCAGCGATGAGGAAGATGGAGAACAAAGTGACGAGGAATCTGAGGACGACACAGAGGAAGCTTTAGCAAAACAATATCAGGAAGAGGTGAATCAGGAATCATCTTCAGAAGAAGAGAATGAAACAAATGCACAGAAAAAAAAATTGGCTAAAGAAAAGGTAATATGCATCCATCTCGTAAAAATGGTGAGGGCAAAAAGTTAATAGAAAAAAGAGAAATAATAAAGTTAACAAAGTAAAAACAATATAACAATTCAGTGTAGGAAAGACATAGATATTAATTGTAAAAACAAAAACATTTAATATCTGTAAAACCAGCAATTTTATTTATAAGTGCTCGTTTTACAAATCCTCTCAAAATTAAATATGTCAAAGGTTTTTTGAAGTTTAGTGACGCAATAAATCGTCAGTAACGCTTGACAGATATCAACAGTTTGGGGGAAAAATTGTTGTTATTACTATTTTACATGCAATTTCTTCATATTTTATCACCGTTTAAACTTTCCCTGGACTTCCACAAATATTTCAAGACTAAAATAGCCATTCTCGAGTTTTAGCAAGACTAACGAACAGCAATTCATTTTTATATATATCGATAGATGTGAGGCTAATTATTTGTACTTTTTTTTAGAAAAAGGCTATGGCGGTGACAAGTGGTGTTCCTCACAAGGACAATCCATATGAAAAAGAGATTGAAGACAAACAAGCATTCAGATTACGTGAGAAACTTGTTCGTAAAAAACATAGAAATCTCTACAAAAGCATGAAAGCAGGACAAGAAAAAAGGAAGAAAGAAATATGGCTTCTGAGAAAGAAGAGAAGGCTTCATGATGAAAAAGCTAAAGAGGAAAGAAAATCAGAGAAACGGAAACAAAAAATGCAAGCATTGGAAGCTGCTTCTGCTTAATTTGAGAAATAAATACGACACTTTTAATAAACAATGTTTTTTATTCTATTAAAAATAATTTAAATAGTATTTACAACAAAATAGTCAGTAATAAAACAACAATAATTTATATACATTTAGAATATGCTCCTACCTAGATACATTTTAAACTAAACACAACAAGTATAAAAATATAATTTCAGATATTATCTACTACATAACGCAATTTCTTAATAAAAAATTTACAACTGTCAATCAGGTAAACTACTTATAAGTACATAATTCTTGTAAATAAATCAAATTCTAATCAGATTCAGAATCACTCTCATCTTCAGCATCACTTTCTTCAAGCTCTGGCATTGGAAATCGAAGTACAGCAGCTATACCTGTTAATTGATCCAGTTCTGTAAATAAAATTTAATTTTATATAATTGCAATGTATATATTTTTATAAGGGTTATTAATCGGTCTTACAATAAAAATGCTCCCAAATATAATAGATCAAATGCAGTGTGTTATTTGGATATTTTGTTGTGATGCATTAAGCTTGTCATTAATTTAAGTGATGAAGACATGTTCTTCTGAACGTAGTTTTTTTTAGGTATTTTGGGCTATTGTCAGATGCTATAAGACTGCAACTCTTTAATTTACATAGATCTATTATGTTCGCCTTATTTCAAATTTTGGAGCAATGGTTTTTTTTTCTTGTCCTCATAAACGAAATATCTCCTTTGGAAAAGTCTATTTGTATAATTTTCGAAGATGTTTCGTTTATGCATATCTACAACCACATAGGATGTGTAGTGCATTTCCTCTTCTGCTTGAGAAAATCTGAAGATTGTGCAATAATGGACCTATATGTCATGATACATATATTGTTTTGACTCAATAGCAGAAGTCTATTGGAGTAGGCTTTCGAGTAGCAGGGCTATGTGTATTATACGTACAGACAAGAGAAAGGGAAATTTTAAATTCTAATTTCCGACCATGGCTTGCCTATAACGGCCTTCCTGAATCTGGAAGTATATACTATTATATAAACAAAGATGTTTTTCCTTCATTTGCATGAATTTATGTAAAAAACTTTCTGAGAAGACATTTTGAGCAAAGACGCATTTTCAAATTGCGTAACACGCAATTGACAAAATACGCATAGTAGACGCGTTAGAAACTTGATAAAAATATACCAAGTCAACTCACAAGCGAGTCGTAGCATGCCTCAACAAGATTTTAATGCTAACAGAAATACAGTATTTACCTCGGCTTTTAGATTTAAGAATAAAAATATTTTAAACTTACGTTCACCAGAGACGTGCATGCTTGAAAATATTCTTACATCGCCACCATTGTCGCGTACCGAATCTACTAGAGTGACATACTCCTTCCTTTTTTGTATGTCTTGACACCTGTTTGCGACATAATTTAAATTACTAATTGCTAAAAATATTTACAGAATAATTGAAAGCTTTTTTATAAAAGTAGCAAGATGCTCTACAAACTGTACTTTTAGTTGGAGGGTCAGATATGACAATTAAGTTACAATATATTGACTACACAACTCAAATATAAGGTTATACACACAATCTATAACATAGAATCCATAGCTTAAGCATCTATTAATATATCAACAACACACAATATTATTAAACATGTTCATATAATTTTCAACTCAAACTCATAATAATTTATTCACATAGGACCTTTTGGACTCTTGCACACGTCTCACGTATTCCTAACATCCAATTCTACTTCTACTTCACTAGAGATTAATAAATAAGTGATAGTTGCTAAGAATTAAATATTAACCTAAATAATTTATCAGAAATCATAAGAATTTCAATAGCCATAGCTTCATTAGCTCTTTCAACATGTTTTTTCCCATAAAATGCCTTAGCAGGTTCCAGCTGCAGCATAGTGTAGAAGCTCTCTAATAATTTTACTTCACTTGCTGCTTTTGTGTCCGATATTTTTGAAATCACAGCAGGCTCTTGAAGCACCTCTGAAACAGAACATAATAAAATTTTCTGTAATGTTCAATCAAAACAATATCTATTTTCTCCAAATTTTTCAATAGATTCTTACTCCGATCTAATCTTTTAAGTCTTTTTAGTTAAATTGATAGGGTCAATAACTACAAATAATAAATATTTCAATATAATTATTTTTAAACTATTATTAAATCAAAAATAGTATCAAAATTTTAAGCAAATACTAACTTAATATTTTATACAAAAATAGCAAGTTTGCTAGCAGCTCTCACCTTTCAAAGAATGTTTAAAACCTGAGGAAGCCTTGACCAATAAAAATTTTCCTTTATTATCAATGAGGAGTTTGTTGTCTGTCTTAACAGCCTGCTGCATCATGTACTCAAAATATTGATCCTTTACAAATCCCGGTGAAGCAAGTATCACACATTTCACTATATTGAAATCAACATGTCTCAAGATGCCTTGCATTACTGCATCATAGAACTTATTTAGACCCTGTATAATAGATAATTACTGATTAATATAAAAATAGTATTATAATAATGATAATTACTTTTAATAATTTAATATATCTTATATTTTTCAGTAGCTATTAACAACTATGAACTACCTGTACCCACTACTTTGTTTGCACTTTACTATTACTTTTATTTATGATGATTCCTGGTGGTAATATAGTGCTTATAGGTAACATAAAACAATGAGTAAATATAAGAAATTTTAATAATTAGCTATACAGTAATTTGATACTTAAGTACAATTACAATTTTTATAATAAAATTTATAAATCAATTTAACTTCTCTTGACATGAAATTGCATACAAAGTTTTGGCTTATGTATATAAATAAATACTATAGTTTAAGATTTGATGGTAAGATAATCATACATTTACATAATGTATGGCTAGCAACAATTTTGTGATATACCTTTTCATGTTGTTGAACAAAACCCTTCCTTTTCCTTGGAATAGTCATATCTATTTTCGACCTCACCAATGTCATGGATGGTGTTATAAGACATACATGTGCTAGGCCTTCCTGCATAACCACTGCAGCCACATCTGCATTAGCTGCAGGATCACAGGCCATCTCCACCCGATCTAGTGCAATGGAGTCCCATAGTATTTTCTGCAGTATAAATTTCCTGTTTAGCTCCAGATCTAATGTGTGATATGCACCCATCTGGAATGTGATATTATTATGATGTTACACTGATATTGTGTAATAACTCTGTAAAATACAATAATAATAATAACCCTGGACAATTCACACAGCATCATCTAGCCTCAAGTTAAGTAGAGGTTGTGTTATAGATAACTGTTAGAAATACTTCTGTGCATTCTTTTGTAAATATGTATTTATATATATAATAGTCATAGAAAACAACCAGATCAATACAGACAACCACACTCATGAATATAAATGCCTGCAACATGCTAAGAATTTAACCTGCAACCATCTAATGTATGTTACACATATTAATACAAATAATATAAATGAAAATATAAATTGAAGTCCATATTGTATAAAGAGGCAGTCAACTGCCTCAGTCTTATGGTTGCAGGTTGATTCCTTGCATGGTACAAATGTTCATTAGTATTATTGTGTTTATCAGTCTGGGTGTTTTCTATGTAAAGTCTATATGTATTTTTGAGAAAAATGTATCTATGTATTTGTATTATCTTGTAACCATAACACAAACATTAACTAGCTAAACTTGGGTCTAAATGGCGCTCTGTGAATTGTGCTGGGATTATTATTATGAAAAATACATATATATACATTCACTATGATATATATATATATAATGAATAATTTAATCTCAACATTATTTGTAACCCACATATACCAATGGGAATGATACATTCTTTAAACATTCCTACCATACAATAGTTTGGTTTGCATAATTTAAAATAAATAAACTGTATATCTTCAATAAATAACAGCAGGTCAACAGTAAAGTAAAATACATTCATATTTTGATTCAGCTAACAATCAATTTATTGTTAATGGTGTCATATTTTTGTTAACAGCTGCTAGGTTATCTCACCTTCACATATTGATTTTCGACAATATTTCGTCCCTTTAGTCTCAGCATACATGCTTGTGTGTCGAAATCAATATTTTCTACTCGAATGGTCAGAGTAGTCCTCACTCTGTTGCTTGTGGAGGAACCGGTGGACGACTCGGTCTGCACCTTCCGCACCGTGGACGCAGTCACCGCGTCAGCTTCAGCAATCAAGTTGTACGCATGCCACATGTCCTCGGACTCTTCAGGAATGAGTCCGATGCTCCTAAAACAGACAAGAAACCCATAGAATGTGTTTGCAAAACGTAATTAAACAAACTCGTAGCATTCAAATAATACGCTTACCCGTAGCCATCTTTTTCTATATTTTTATGCACTAGCTTCATTGTGAGTTTTATATTAACAAACACATTTTACAAATGTTTATTTAAACCAAGCAAATGACAGAATTAGAAAATAATAAAATAAACAACAATAGAGACATGAGTAAGATCTGACAGACGAGTTTTTTCACTTTTCCGTTCACAGATCGTCTATTGCCCAGTATTGTAAACTTTTTTAAAGTCCTGAACAGAATTGCCACATGACCGTCTAACTTTCTCCCAAATTTTACCGAAATCCTTCAAAATAAAAATCCGCTGAATAGAGTAAGTTAGTATTGCTGGTGACCATTACCAAAAATTAATACCTAAATTAATTCTGCACTTATTTTTTTATCTTGTTACTTTATGATCTTTCGCAAAAAAAAATCCTCAAAAATTTGTTCCTTCAAATTTCCAATCATCGAAACAATATGCCCCCAGATTTATAGGCAATCCTTCCATGCTGGTATCACTGATCCAGATCAGGCAGAATGATCCAGAGTACTTCTACAGCGAAGCAACTTGCTTAAAACCATTCTGCTGTATTCGATAACATCACTAGTGTAAATAAGGACGATTTCACAGTAATGCTGAAACAATATTTTATTAACACATACCCCGAAAAGATTGTTATATAGTTGGAATGGCAAAGATGTTGATGGGTTCTCTAATAATACCACTTATTATTAGCGACAATTATACAGATAAGCTACACTACGGAGATTTGTTCATTATATAAAGCTGGTGATGCCACTCATGCTTTGCAATTCGAGTATATATTCCATGCCTTTTTTGAATTGCGGGTAACACAGCTGAAGTCGAGTTACAAAACCAGTTTCAAGGCGTTTGTAGCCGGGGTCGCCACCAACATGCTGCCCACCTTCATGAAGAAGAATTACAGACGAAGAGAGTGGTGTATCGGCGTTACTTAGGTAGATTGCCGTCGTCAGTGCCATGACACAGAGAGAATGAATATTTATTTATATTATTATTACATATGTTAGGCTATAATATGTGACATTAGCAACCTAAACAAACAAATGAATTTATCTTGTAATTTAAGTGCCTTATCTCACCTTTCAACCGAACTTACAACGCAAGCTGCTTAGCGGCTAAAATAGGTGAGACTGACCATTCAGATAGCTTCTTAGAAAATACTTGTAGCGCGATGGTTATCCTCATCACTGTATCGTTATGTATGTTGTGATGAGGTGGCGCTACATAATATATTATTTATTGTAGTATGTAGGTAGTGAGTATACCGGTAAAATGATTTTACTATTTATTAGGCATTATTAAATTTATTGGTAGTGTGCTACACAGCTTAATAATAACGTGTACAGTTGACGCGGAGTCGGGACGTAGACTGATTTTACACAACTTAAATCTATATTAGTGGAGACGTAAACTAATGAAAGGGTCTCAAGTGTCGAGAGAAATGTTACAAGTGTAGGCACATCCATAGTATATATATAATTCTTCCAAGCAATTTTTTATTAAATTACTACATGTTGGTAAAAAAATATTTCTATTAATAACATAGTAGTCATTGATTTATGTTCTTTATTTCAGTCATATTTTTAAATAATTTATTTTATTTCAAAATACCTATTCCTATCCTATCGTATTCCAGCTCCAACTTTAATTTATCTACAGCGACACCTCCGCGGTATAAAATAACTAAAAAACATATAATATGTTTACTATGACTTCGCAGTTTAAGTGCTATGAAATATATATCCACATATTTATGTGTTCTTTTGGCAGACAACTTTATAGTAATAGTATGGAAGCGTCTTTACTATAATCGGCCCAGTTATGCGTTTTATTTAACCTATTCGACAACTTTTTGTCTAAAATAAAAATAAGTTAATGTAAGAATAGAAATTGATAAGTTAATGCTATATATAAAAATCGAAAGAGTAATTTATTTAATTTCTTTTAAACTTAATATTAATAATATTTTATGATAATGATGTTAGAAATGTAATTCAACTTAAAAGAACAAAACGCAATCGATATGTTTTGAACGTGATTTAACTTTCAGTAAACGTAATAGATTAATTTCCGTTACCTACGTGTTCGGGATTTAGCTTAGCTTTTCGCTAGCTTTTAAATTACGCCCATTGTTGTCATGTTATTAATCGCGTGTTAAACAAAAACAATTATGTTCTGAAGTGTTAGTGGTGAATAATTCAGTTTCAATATGATAGTGCTATCTATTTTGTCAAGCTCAGCTGGTCGTGACGAGCGGTAAAAATCTCGCTTGTTTTACTTTAATTTGTGAATACCACTTTTTGTGCTCCATTTCCTCGAGGTATGCCGTTACAAATTTATATTGCTTATTTATCACCAAATAATACACACACACTTGTACAATGCCTGTAGTTGATGTAAATTGGTGGTAAAGTAGATATAATATTTTTGGTTGTTTGTGAACGGATTTAATTTTTCACGTGTTAATTTTAGTTCCCAATGTTAGAAATTATAATAATTTAACATATAAGATAGGTACGCAATCGCAAAAGCTTTATTTGTCATACGTACATTATTTACAAAGATCACATTGGCCGTGATCCAGATTGCGCGTCCTCATAACTGCGCGGGAACTTGAGATAGGTATTTTTAGTTTAGTCGTGTGATGATTTTCATCACGTATCCTGTTAAATTATTTGTTTTCATTTCATAATGATAAGAAACATTATGGAAAGTTAAATTATGGGTCCTTAATAAAAAAAAATACATTAAGTGTTGTAAATTGTGAATTGAAAATGAGTGAACTGCAAGAAATTACGTCGTCGAATGTGGCACCAACACCACCCGCACCAGCATCATCAACATCATCTGAAAATCTATCAACAACCAGCACTGCCGCTACAAAGTCAGAATCTACAAGACCTTCGTCATTGCCCAAGCCATCTGGTCTAAAACCTCCTACTAAGATAGGAAGACTTTGTTCCAACTCTGCCCCAAAGCCAGCTGTCCCAATCTCTCCGAGAACTGGTGAGTAAATAACTTTCTGAAATTTATTCTAAGAATTGTATCGTTTGTAATATAAAAAGCCATAAACTATTAAATATTTGGCCATAGATTAATGAACCAGGATTTTGTATTAAATATTTAATTTGCTTTGATACATACAAACTGCAATTGACATTTTCTTGGTATTACAAATGCTAAATAGTAGCTTAGTACTCATCAAAACATTTAAGTTGTTTATTAGCATTTAACTAGGTGCTGCAATTAGTGGCAGAGTTCGAAGTTTAATTATGAATTTCTATTAGATCAATTACTAATGGATGCAACTTTATTTATACACTGGATTGGATCACTCTTATTATCTATTATAAAATATCATCAAGATAAAGATCTTTATCTATATATATATATGTTACAATGGTTTTTTTAATTATACAAATAAGAAGGTTACATTATTATCATTATAGTTTATGTTATAATATTGATGATTTTTTGCACATCTTTGTTATGAGTGTGTTGCAATACTCTAATGTTCCAGTTACAGACACTGCACACTGTAACATTATTATTAATCACGCATATTTCATAAGAATTTTTTCAAGATAATTAGACCAACAACAAAGTTGATGAATTTGCACTTAACAGTATTATTTGACAAAATTAAACAAAATATTTAATTTAATGCTCTTCTTAGTTGACTGTAAATGGATGTGTATGTTACTGGCGATATGTATAATTCAGGTATTCTAAATAACGCATGGGTAATGTATTTAAAATTTCTATTAGGTCAGTTTAGGTTCCATACAAGTATTCTTAACATTACCTAGATATTATATAGAATACCGGAACTATACATACTGCCGGTAACATAGACATATGCAACTTATAGTTCATGATATTATATTTAATATGTTGCAGACTAAAGTGTTAACATGTTATTATTGACATGCACAATATTAGGTCATCGCTGCTTATAATATCGATGCCGCAAGCGAAAGACGCGTGACCTCTACTTTTCCTGTATCATGGATAATCATGAAACATGAGGAGGTATCTAAAATGCGACCTTGAAATAAATTAAGAAACCAGTCTTCTGCTTGATTAAAATTTGCTATATTCGTGTATTAAATATCCATTGATAACTGATTAATGTAGCATGATACGGAAGTCCTTTTTGTTTAGTACATTTTGTAAGATTAATATACCTCTGATTATGCCCGCTTTTTACTTTATTTTCGTTGGTGGCTAACGAGCATACTGGACATACGCTGGTAAAAAGTTACTGTAGCGTCGGCATGATTGAAATTACTTGGGTGACACGTGTGCGTTGCCATCCCTAGAAACCCTAATATTCCTGTTTAAAAATCACAGGTTAGAACCTCGGCAGTTCATTCCACAATATGAGTGTTAATTTGAAGAAATGCTTTTTTCGTGTTTAGGTGCAGCCAGTACATAAGATGCTAATATATTTGCTACATAGTTTTATGATATACTTATTAAAGTATTTTGTTTGACGGGATTTTTTCCAAATTACAATATATCATCAATTGGATTGTATGGTGGTCAGTATACACTCTCGTGCGTTTTGAAAATACGAAAGCGTTTTATATTTGTTAAAGAAATTATTTACCTAGTATTCAAAATAAAATACTATTTACAACAATATTTTAACAGAGTATTATCAAATAAAGTTTAGTTTTAATGAAGATTAAAAGAGAGACACCATTTTACACACTAAATACGCTAGAATTGAGACTGCAGAATATTATCAAACTTCGTAGTATCAAATACAATACACAAAAAAAAAACTGTGCCCGCCAATATATATGAATCTATTGCAATATGAATACAATATATAACAAAACAGTCAAACTCTATTACTATTTATGTTTTAATAGGTATTTGCTTTGCAATGTTCTTAGTTTATCTATAGATATGAATGAAATGTTACTTACTATATAGGTATTTTAAAGAAAAGTGAGAGTCTAACATAGTAACATTTTTCTATTGTTTTTTTTGCCTCGGTCACCGCTTTGTTAGCGATTGCCACAGTTTCACCTGAAACTGCCTGATATTCGATTGGCGTCGGTTTTCGAGTTCGCTCCAATAATTGTACTTGTCATGAAATAAGTGTAAGGATCTATATAATTTATACAATAGTTTAAGTTTTATAATTTTACATTTGAATGTAGTTACTACTAACTGAGATACCATTAAGAATCTTGATTAACTATGTTTCGGACGTGCCGCAGTTTTCTCGAAGCTGTATGAATAATACTTTCTAGTTTTAAAGGCAAATGGTAAAGATATAGAGAGGTTTTTCTCGTAACATTCAAATATACATACATGTTATAACATTCAAAATAAACAATTTATGTTCTAGGGGGTTAGTTAACAATGTATTATTACATTGATCGCAGGAATTCCCATTGTGTCGCTATGGAAAATACATAGGGGTGCAATGCACCCTGCGGATGCCTTCGGACTTTGTTCTTGACAAATAAATAATCAGTTAATTGATATATTTTTTACTACTAATAACGTCGAACAAATCATAACACATTAGCTCCGACTAAACGGGTCTTATAATAGATTCTAGATTTAAAATGTTATCAGTCATAGCCTTGACATTCATAAAAAAAATATTATTAATATCACTAGTATTATATATTAACACAGTGTGTTCCGTACGTATATGTACTTTTTATTTATTATATGTACGAGTATATTGTATTGATATGAACTTCCAACTACACTGTCTTTTATTCTGTACTAGCTGTGCTAGCTATGCTCGTGGTTTCACTTACATGAAATTTATCGTCTGTGTTATTCTCATGTATAAGCTATATTACTGTAAAGTTTCCTCAAAATCCGTTCAGTAGATTTTGCGTCAAAGAGTAACAAGTATGGATATACTCACAAAGTTCCGCATTTATAATATTAGTACTTACTATTATTATAACTGGTATAACTCACATAATTAAGAATATTGAAAATATGATGCAAAATGAGAATACACATTCAATATTCTTTTCGTGATTGTATTAGTTTGATGAGAAAAACTTGCAAATAAACGTTCATTCGAATCTTGACAGAAGGTTATATTATTTAATTTACTTAAAGACTTGCTAACTCTCGTAACGTAATATATATAAAATAGTAATTAATTAACCAGACGGTAATTTAATGCATCTGCATTAAATTTCTGTTATGATTTTTATTAGAAAATCGTATTCACCAAATCTATTGTATTCACTTAAGTCAAACTTTATCAAAGTGATAACAGTTAACTTCTAAGCGAATTATTCATGTAATTACGTTACTTCAGTTTTCGAGAAATGACAAATAATATATATATTATATATATATATATATATATGCAGGTAGACTGATACGCCCATTAAAATCATATAACTAAAAATATGGAACTCTAAAAATTTGGACCACTATAATATTTACAAATAGACAGTGTTCCATAAAATTTCCATAATAATGCGGTATAATCTTCTACATTGAAAGTGAACGTAAAAAATAACGTACCGATAAACAAAAAACTCCGGGTTTAATAATTTGACCTTCATCTACTGTTATAACAGTCAAGTGTATTATCTACCATCACTTACCATCCGGTACCGTTACTTTTTATTATAAACGTACTTACAGAGAAGTAGTATGGGATTGGTGTATTTTATTCGAATTCTATTATTTCTTTTGCGTTGTATTTTTTGTTTGAGTTGTGATAAATATATTATTATGTAGATAATATACGACACAATGGAATGGAATGGCTGTATCTGTTAAGTACCTAACAAATAATAATATGTAAAACATTTTACTGGTTCTAGAACTAAAATGTCAAACAATAATACATATTGCTTTAAAAGTTCTCTGGAATTCGTAAATTGCATATAAATTAAACATCTATTACGTCGTAAACATAGAGCAATTTCCTTCAACAAGTACTTTTAAATGTGTCGAGCATCGTTAGTTTCTTCACTTTTTATGTCACCACTTAATGGATTCCTAGCGGGTACAGTGAGTCGAAATAACCTATTCATGTTTTAGTTTAAGGCCTTTAGTACATGTCCATTGTTCGTACAATTCAAAATTCACTTTCACCTAAAGTGTGAAGACTTGCTTGCTCCGAAGCGCCTACAGGTCATCTGCTCTATACGCTAAAATTTTCATTAACTATGTTTTCAAAGCAATCTATTTTTTTACAGACTGTTGAACAAGACTTTGACTAAACAATCTTGTTTAGTTCAACAATTTAATGTACATGTAAAGTTTGTAGTTAGTGTAATTACTTATTGTAAACCTAACTAATATTATAATTACGGAAGTCTGTATGTTACGCTTTCATGCTCTAACAACTTGACCAATCATTATGAAATTTTACATATATCTAAGTAACGTTTGGGAAGGAGAAGGGCATGGATAGATGGATATATTACTATTTTTTGTTTCGGACAATCATGGTTAAGTGAATGAAGTCGCGAGCAGAACTTAAATAACCGAGAACTTAATTAATATACCTGTGATGACGGAGTAAATGCGTTCCGTTTTCTTCTGTGATGTATCTAGATTTTCAGCCGTAGATGTATGGATGTAGTAAAAAGCGATCAGGAAACAAAAAATGGATAATCCTATGTAGAGAATAAAGACTCGACATCTCTTAGATAATAGGATAAATTTAGTCGAAATCCGATAAGAGAGACTTGTGTACATCTCGCCATGAGTGAGTATCGAAGCCATTTTTCAAAATGTATTTTTGTCCATGGTTTTAAATATTAGATCTATCGAGGCTAAATGTATTTTAAATTCTATTATCCGAATAAATGATATCGTAAATGCATGTATGTTTTACTTAGTGGTAAATTGGCTTGAGTCACGTTAATTCCTTTCGGGCACGATTATCGTCTCGATATTCCCACAGTTTCGCAATAAGCTGGCCTTCGGAAAGTTTTGAAACCTTCGTACATCACCTCAGAGTTCCACATCGGCGCTTTCTAAAATCCCTCTTG